TGCTGCTGGTATCTGACGTCGTTTTATTGCTTGGACAAACTGTCCAAATACAGCTATGAAGCTGTTGTTAAACGAGGGCCATCTCAGCTGCCGTGTCTGCTGCACTGGCTGCTGACTCATCTTCACACAGCTGATTGAAGTGCTGATCCTGCTGCTGACACAGGGCCTCAAATGTCTCCAGGTATGAGGCCTCTGCCTTCCTCATGAAATTCAGGTATTTGCTGGCTGTGCTCGCAGTGTGTTTTCTCTTCCCTGGGAAAATATTTAGGCAGAAGTAATGACATGTACAGTTCAGGAATGATAAGTTACAGACTCCAAAGCAAACCTGAGGGCAGCCAGTGTGAATGCAGTTTTGTTCTCCAACCATGTATAGTCTCATCAAATGTATTAAATATTATCCAGCAAAGGCCAGTGTGGGGCCAACCAGATTTACCAACCAGATACACCAATGATACAAATAATAAAGTTATTGGGTCAGAATATGATTAATTGAATCAGTGTGACAGTTTTTATATGTAAAATCCTAGATCCACATTGTCACCATGAATAATGTTTAGGAACAACCCTGCCATGACAAAAGCCCTCTGTGGATGAGATTGCCCACCCCTGTTGAAGACAGCTAAATTGTGTGATTAGGGCTAAACAAGTGAACATTGACATTACATTTACGTAATTTAGCAGACGCTCTTATCCAGAGCGACTTACATGAGCAATTAGGGTTAAGTGCCTTGCTCAAGGGCACATCAACAGATTTTTCACCTATTCGGCTCGGGGATTAGAACCAGCGACCTTTCGGTTACTGGCACAACGCTCTTAACCACTAAGCGACCTGCCGCCCCATTGGACATTGGACTGTTTACCAACCAAGAAGGGACCCTTGGCACCTGGGGGTGCAGGGCTCAGAGGTTGCAGGAGCATTTATTGTGTGGATGGACCCTGGGGGTGCAGGGTTTTGAGGTTGTGGCTTCCCTAATCGAGCACACATTGGTAGCTAGATAGTTTTTAGCCAAATTATTATGTATTACTGTGCTGATCATTGCTGCTCTGCATCATCATGGCTTCAAATATCGCTTTCTGATCCACTTTTGTTGTTGTGGTCTTATCTTTTTATATTCTTGTTTGATTTTTTTTTTATTGATTCCGATCTCGGCTAATGTATCCAATCTTTGCTCAAAACCGCTTGGACATCTCCAACTGACCAATTTGCTGCTTCTATTATTCGTTTTCAGCTTTAGAGAGTCTGGGGCTCCTATCTGAATCTTATGGTTCTCCTCTTTGACCCTGTCCTAGACTCCTAGGACTAGGGCTGTTATGGTGACTGTATTACTGCCACACCAGTGGTCACAAGTCATGAAGGCAGTCAAATTTCACGTGACCGTTTAGTCACGGTAATTAGTCTTCTCCAAGCTCTGATGCTGCTAATGGTCATTAGTAGCTTACCAAACTTGCTAACTGCCTGGTACTCTAATCACTCTGACATCAATGCAAATGTAATTGAAAATCTAATCAAACACTTCATGAGAGCCCATGAGCTCATGTTCCACTACATTTCTATAGGCTATGCAATTGCGTGAGAACAGAGTGGTGGATCCCATCACCTTTCTTTAGGCTAGGCCTACTATATTTATTTCTCAACTTTCCTAAAATTAAGCACATTGCACATCAGCCTCATTGCGTAAAACAGGTTTTTTTTAATGCTGGTGGTTGTATTAATTTGGGATCTATCGCATCCCACAACTGTCCCAGAATGTTTGGAATATTTATTTATTGCACAGAATATAATAGGTCAACTTTTGTACTATGGGGGATAATAGATTGACAAAGGCTAGTGCTTTTGCTGTTCGTTAGGCCTACTCATCTTGTTGGCTGACGAAAAGTAAATGTTGACAGTTCTTCCAATATCTTCAATATGCACTTCAGAATTGGATAAGGGCGCGCGCAGTTGCGTCCCCGATGTGTCTGTCTTCACTTGTAGCCTGTGAGAAAGACCTGATCATGTGATGGAGAGCCATGTGAGGGAGAGGTGCTTCAGAGCACGCAGTACTCAGGGAGAAGGGAATTATCATTATTATATTCAACCCAAGGGCACAACGGCCACTGGCCGCAAAAGGCATGGATTTTTTTAGGGGGCATTACGGCCACACAAAAGGGATGCCGCCGGTAAATTCGAGGCATTATCAAGTGCTTGTCAAATTGTGAATGAGAGACTGATGAAGTGTGTACAGCCTGCGCAAAAAACTAAGCAGAGCTCATGCCTTTCATGCAACTTTTTTCAAATCATTAGAGTCACATCATGCAGCCTTACAATGTATTAAAAACATATAGCCCAACATTTGTAGAACAACTAAAGTTACATTAATAACTCTAAATTAAGCATATAGGAGGACCTATTTCTTTGTTAACCGCTCAACACAAAAGAGCTGCGTGTGTGCACTCCCTCAAATCGTTTGGAGAAAATATCCTTTGTATTTTATTCAGCTTTGTTCTATTGTATTCTTCATACTATAAAATAATGCCACGGAATTCTAAGCAAATCTTGTCTGCTAAATGAACTAGTGTAGCCCACAGCCATATGGTATAGCCAGATGAGGACCTAACATAAGGGCAACTCAGAGTATTCTGTTCTTCTGAAATAGACTACATTTTCTTCATATCATGTTTCTTTAGACCTGTCTCAAATAAATCATGGATTTATTGTGAAGGTGTAGGCTATATTACATGATTTATTAGACTGTTGGGGCAGGATGGAGGCCCATTGTGTGAGTGAGAGTGAGAGAGAGAGAGAGAGAGAGAGAGAGAGAGAGAGAGAGAGAGAGAGAGAGAGAGCCGATGGCTTATGGTTGGGGTATGTACGTACGGTCACTGTGGGGACGACGTCATCGGTGCACTTATTGATGAAGTCAGTGACTGTTGTGGTGTACTCCTCAATGCCATCGGAAGAATCCCGGAACATATTCCAGTCTGTGCTAGCAAAACAGTCCTGTAGCGTAGCATCTGCGTCATCTGACCACTTCTTTATTGACCGAGTCACTGGTGCTTCCTGCTTTAGTTTTTGCTTGTAAGCAGGAATCAGGAGGATAGAGTTATGGTCAGATTTGCCAAATGGAGGGCGAGGGAGAGCTTTGTATGTGTCTCTGTGTGTGGAGTAAAGGTGGTCTAGAGTTATTATTTTCCTCTGGTTGCACATTTAACATGCTGGTAGAAATGAGGTAAAACGGATGTAAGTTTCCCTGCGTTAAAGTCCCCGGCCACTAGGAGCACTGCCTCTGGATGAGCGTTTTCCTGTTTGCTTATGGCCTTATACAGCACATTGAGTGTGGTCTTAGTGCCAGCATCGGTTTGTGGTGGTAAATAGGCAGCTATGAAAAATGTAGATTAAAACTCTCTTGGGAAATAGTGTGGTCTACAGATTATCATGAGATACTCTACCTCAGGCGAGCAAAACCTTGAGACTTCCTTAATATTAGATTTTGTGCACCAGCTGTTATACACAGACCGCCACCCCTTGTCTTACCGGAGGCAGCTGTTCTATCTTACCGATGCAGCGTATATCCTGCCAGCTGTATGTTATCCCTGTCGTCGTTCAGCCATGACTCTGTGAAAGATAAGATATTACAGTTTCTAATGTCCCGTTGGTAGGATATCCGTGATCTTAGTTCATCATTGAGTACCTTGTAATGTTAGTGTGGGCATGACTAGGCCTATCACCTCTCTGACAAGACAGAGGGGCTCATCTGGTCCCTATCTCCCCCGACCAGCATGCACACTCTGATTGGAGGGATGTGACTGGGCATATTAACTATCTGGTCATAACTGTGTTTGTGCAGAGAAGTGATGCAAATGAGGGCCTAAATTACTTACTTTCATAGCAGCCACATATAGCATCATCACTTTGTTCATTGCATCTACGCACTCTCCTCCTCTCACCTTTTCCCTTCGCCTGTGCACTTCAGTGCGCAACACAACAGCTGTCTGTGACCATGTGCAAAAACCTCTCCAAGCCAAACGTTCATACCATAACTGCTAACCGCTACACAGCGTACATCGTTGTCCATAGCCATGGGAAGTAGGGGTGCTGAGGGTGCTGCAGCACCACCTGAAACCTATTTTTTTTAAATATCATTTTTCACAAAAGTAGCTACATTAGCTAAGTAAGCGAAAGGTAAACTAAGAAGAAGGGAAAAAAATACAACTAAATATAGCTAGCTTTCTCTCTCTCTGATGCTTCTCCTTAATTTTTGAAGAAATTAATTTGTTCAAAACTGTTAAACTAGTGTCTCTCTCTGAGTCAACTACTCACCACACTTTATGCACTGCAGTTCTAGCTAGCTGTAGCTTATGCTTTTAGTACTAGATTCATTCGTTGATCCTTTGATTGGGTGGACAACATGTCAATTCATACTGCAAGAGCTCTGATAGGTTGAAGGTCGTCCTCTGGAAGTCGTCATAATTACTGTGTAAGTATATGGAAGGGGGTGAGAACCATGAGTCTCCTAGGTTTTGTATTGAAGTCAATGTACCCAGAGGAGAACGGAAAATAGCTGTCCTCCGGCTAAACCATGGTGCTACCCTAGAGGGTGCTGTTGAGGCTACTGTAGACCCTCATTGCAAAACTGTGTGTTTTAATCAGTTATTTGGTGTTGTGAATATATTTAGTATAGTAACTTTTAATGTTTCATTATTTTTATTTTATGAAATTCACTGAGTAGGTTGGTTCTCCCCTTCCTCCTCTGAGGAGCCTCCACTGACACACACACACACACACACACACACATTAACTCCAGGCCCCTCCCCACCTGGTGACACCAGCAGCGTTCTGGGAACCGGTTGTACAATGACAGACTGACAGACAGAGAGGGCAGAGCATTGACGGTAAACAACACAAACGCATCAATACAGCAACAACCACCAGATGAGGAAACCTGCACCATAGGACCGGACCAAACAAACTAATATGTTATCTGCTTTTCTGGTCAAACTTGGGCTGTGAGGGATTTGTCATGGAGAGGCAGTGTACTACGGACAGGCAGGAGAAAACCCAGCCACACTGGAGAGGAGCTTACTCAGGTACTGTCCAGATATTATTGTTGAGTGTTTTCTTTTAATAACCTCAAAAACACACACACTGTCAAATATATCCAGTAATAGATGCTCTCTGTTGTAAAGAGTAGTTTTGTGAAGATGGGTTTTAAATTGTGAGTCTTGAGACAGAATAACGTGTGTATGGTATGTTGTATGTGTAGGCCCCCACAGTGCTTTATGGGGGTCCATAGTGCATCAGCACAGCACACATTGTACAGTTCGGTAGTAGGGTATAGGCCTGATGACAAGTGATCTGTTTATCATGTGTAGAATCAGCCGAGCCTCTCACTAGTGATTCTCATGAAACCAGTTTTAACCATGTTAAAAAAAAACATGTTGCATCTGCAACAATAAACTATCATTCTGAAGACTAAGATGCTTAGTTTATGGCACAGTGTCTTATTTTAAATACATTTTACATTTTCGGCAGATTATTATTATTTTCCCCCAAATTCTCATTACCGAAATGTGTCTGGATTAAATTCTTGGGTCATTTTATACAATTTTACTTAAGAAAAACCAAACTAATTTGAATAAAAACCCAAAATATGTTCCTGTTTGTCCATAAATCATAAAAATTGTATACTAGTTGAAGTTTATATTAAACTGTAATATTTATTACATTAAAGCACAGTGTCTGTGGACATGTTTCTCATTACTGCATCATTTTTAGGTCCATTTCGGTAATGGGAACCTTCATTTCGATAATGATAATAAGCTAATTCTAATGTATATTAAATGGATGTGCTGTGCTGGTCCACTGTTTACACCTATTGTGTGTATATACAGTGAGGGGAAAAAAGTATTTGATCCCCTGCTGATTTTGTAAGTTTGCCCACTGACAAAGAAATGATCAGTCTATAATTTTAATGGTAGGTTTATTTGAACAGTGAGAGACAGAATAACTACAAAAAAATCCAGAAAAACGCATGTCAAAAATGTTATAAATTGATTTGCATTTTAATGAGGGAAATAAGTATTTGACCCCTCTGCAAAACAGTACTTGGTGGCAAAACCCTTGTTGGCAATCACAGAGGTCAGACGTTTCTTGTAGTTGGCCACCAGGTTTGCACACATCTCAGGAAGGATTTTGTCCCACTCCTCTTTGCAGATCTTCTCCAAGTCATTAAGGTTTCGAGGCTGACGTTTGGCAACTCGAACCTTCAGCTCCCTCCACGGATTTTCTATGGGATTAAGGTCTGGAGACTGGCTAGGCCACTCCAGGACCTTAATGTGCTTCTTCTTGAGCCACTCCTTTGTTGCCTTGGCCGTGTGTTTTGGGTCATTGTCATGCTGGAATACCCATCCACGACCCATTTTCAATGTCCTGGCTGAGGGAAGGAGGTTCTCACCCAAGATTTGACGGTCGTGGATGGGAGAGGATAGGAGAAGAGAGGAGAGGATGGAGAAATGTTCAGAGGCTGTCAAGTATGCTTGTCAATAATGCAGCAACTCTGCTCTGCATTTTGCTGACTGAACATTTAATTTAATTTGACACACACAGCAGTATATGGGATAACACCACAGCTCTCAGGTGGTTTGCATGTAATTTGCCCTGAAGGACATGATTATGTGGGTATTTCTCCATACAAAACATATCACTGATTCAAACATCCACACTATGCTAGGCACAGTTACTGTGTCAGACACCTTCATCAGAGCTTTGTATAGTCACTTGTGGGTTGCCTCTCTCGGTCCCCAACCCTCCAGTGGGTGTGTTTTCACGGCTGCTATGGCAACACAGCCCCCTCTTGGGGAAACAATAGCCGTGTGTAAGTCACGTGCTGGTGTGGGATGGAGGGGTCATAGTTGAGTGGGATGGGTTGAATGTCTGATGGATCGGTAATTCTTTGGATAAGCTGCTTGTATGTATGTATGTATGTATGTATGTATGTATGTATGTATGTATGTATGTATGTATGTATGTATGTATGTATGTATGTACTGCTCACTGTACTACTCACTGCCCTGGATAGGAAACACACTTTCTACAATCTACACTAAAATGTGTGTGTGTGTGTGTGTGTGTGTGTGTGTGTGTGTGTGTGTGTGTGTGAACAGCTGGCAAGCCTGGCATGAGGAGTCCAGATGGTGGGTGGAGAAAGCCCTCTTTAATCCCTGCGGCAGGATATCACGCACGCACGCACACACACACACACACACACACACCCCTCCATGGCCCCACACTAAGCATATCCACTCTTCCCCTAAATACTCAATATTCACTTTCTATGGCAGTTTCCACTGTACTGTACCATCGAGAATGTCCGGTTGATGTTAGTGTTAGACTTCAGAATCCTGACTGTTACTGTTGTAACGGCAAACATTGCGAAGTGGGTGCTGTTTGTGGTTAAAATAAAGAAAGATCAGACTTGCATGTGTGTGTGGGCCTATCATTGTTTTACTAGCATGGCTGTTTTCCCTTTAATCATTTATGTGCATATGAAATTGCTCTGGTGAGTGTCTTAGCTCTCCCTAGTGAGGATGCCCTACATATCAGCCTAACTAATTAGAATTAAATCTCAGAGGGATGGAATATTATTTTATTTCCAAACAAATAAAATAATAACTCTCTCCCCTCATGTGAACCAGAGGATCAGAATTGCCCCAAATATGCATATAGCTGCTGTCCAGAATCCTATAAAAGCTACACAAGAGATTCCAGAATTCGAAGCTCTCGCTCTGTCTGTCTGTCTCTCTCTCTCTCTCTGTCTGTCAGTCTCTCTGTCTCTCTATTCTATTCAATTCAATTCAATTCAATAGACTTTATTGACATGGCAAGTTAAATTACTTACATTGTCAAAGTATACATATAAAAAAAATGGTGGGACCAACAGCAATAATAATAGAAGTAGTGGAAATGGGATTACCATTAACAGCAACTACAACAACAATATTAATGAGAATAACAATAAATTAAAGCAATCGTAGTCGACCAGTCTCAACATGACTGAGAAGACACATTACATGGTATAAAAGCCAAAACAAAACAGGAAATATTATTGACATTACATCACTTTTCACTGGCTGTCCCTCAGGTTTTGGTAGGAGGACACATATTTGGCTGCCAAAATTGCACATTTTGGCTTTTCACCCAATAAATATTTGATTTTTTCTTCCTCTTTTATAGTTTCAAATTCTTTGTACTGAATGATAATTTTGGGAAAGAAAGATTCTCTTAGGTCTGAGTATTTGTCACAGTGTAATAGGAAATGCAGCTCTGTCTCTACCTCTCCCCGGGGGCAGAGAGAGCACAGCCTGTCCTCTCTGGGCAGCCAGGTTTGCCTGTGACAACTGGTCTCTATAGTCAGAATGTGCTCACTGAATCTGTTTTCCTCCGTTTTCTGTCAGTCACAGTGGTCAGATAGTCCCGTGTAGCTCAGTTGGTTGAGCATGGCGCTTGCAACGCCAGGGTTGTGGGTTTGATTCCCACGGGGGACCAGTATGAAAATGTATGCACTCACTAACTGTAAGTCGCTCTGGATAAGAGTGTCTGCTAAATGACTAAAATGTAAATGTGCTGTCTGTTTAGAGCCTCTCTGTCTCCTATTCAATAAATCATTGATCTCTATAAACTACTCCAGGCTGGTTCCTCTTGCCCCTGTTCTTTCCATGTTGGGTGTGTCCTCTACGTTATAGTAAACTTTATATATTAGCATTTGGTCTTGTCATTGCAGAAAAGAAAGGCAAGCCCAGCTGTTTCCAGTCCAAGAACACTGATGAGGAGGCCTGTGTCGGGGTGAAGATCGAACACACTAAAGGTGGACTTCACCACTTTCTCACTCTCAATATCATTATCTCCTCTTTTAATCTTGCTATCTCTTATCTCCCCTCTCTACTACAATTATTTTCTGTTCATTAGCTACTGTTGTCTACTGTACTAAAAGAGGTTAACTATTTAACATTTTGAGAAATAACAGGCCCTATAGTGCTGTGTAGATGTGAGCATGGTGTACTGCTCATTGTACTGTGGTTTCCTTCGCTAAAAGCTCTTTCCTCCTTCCTTCCCCCAGCCCGAGGTGATAACACTGTCAGTGCTTCTTAGTTTAACCAAGTGTAGTTGTGTGGTGTTAAGACAATGCTGCATGTGAGCATGGGTGTGTGAGGACAGAGTGTATGTGTGTGTGGGACAGAGTGTATGTGTGTGTGGGGACAGTGTATGTGTGTGTGGGGACAGAGTGTATGTGTGTGTGGGGACAGTGTATGTGTGTGTGGGGACAGAGTGTATGTGTGTGTGGGGACAGAGTGTATGTGTGTGTGGGGACAGAGTGTATGTGTGTGTGGGGACAGAGTGTATGTGTGTGTGGGGACAGAGTGTATGTGTGTGTGGGGACAGAGTGTATGTGTGTGTGAGGACAGAGTGTATGTGTGTGGGGACAGAGTGTATGTGTGTGTGGGGACAGAGTGTATGTGTGTGTGGGGACAGAGTGTATGTGTGTGTGGGGACAGAGTGTATGTGTGTGTGAGGACAGAGTGTATGTGTGTGTGGGGACAGAGTGTATGTGTGTGTGGGGACAGAGTGTATGTGTGTGTGGGGACAGAGTGTATGTGTGTGTGGGGACAGAGTGTATGTGTGTGTGGGGACAGAGTGTATGTGTGTGTGGGGACAGAGTGTATGTGTGTGTGGGGACAGAGTGTATGTGTGTGTGGGGACAGAGTGTATGTGTGTGTGGGGACAGAGGTGTCATCACACACATTCATACTGTGCTACATAGTCCTTTTTGTTTAGGGCAGAGAGAAAATGAAAGCAATAGTGGTCCCATCCAGATTAGATGTGCGGAGGGCAGTGGAATGCATGCTAGACTGTAGAAACGCTCCCCTCGGCAGCACACAGGTTCACAGACAGAGTGTGTGTGTGTGGCTTAGAGCAGTAATGATGTATGAGTCTCTCCCTTCTGTGCCACACTTTCTCTGTCTTTTTCCATCTACCCTCCTCCCTCTCTTCTCATCTACCAGTCTAACCCCCTTTCTCTCTACATTCGTCTGTCCTTTCCCTCTTTTAATTGTATTTCTACTTTTTCCCCTGTGCTTATCTGCCCTCCCTCCCTCCCTCCCTCCCTCCCTCCCTCCCTCCCTCCCTCTCTTCCATTTTTTCCCCAGTGAGGGTAGCCTATCATCTAAAATTGGGCTGTGAATTAGTGGATGAGGGGAGGGTTAATCTGAAGAAGGTCTGGGTGGTTCAACACAGCCACTTAATCCCAGGCCTTACTGTAAATCCTCCTGTCTGTCTCTCTTTCTGTCTGTTGTAGTGGGTCATCTGGTCTCCGTGTCTCTGGGAGTTCAGTATGTAACTATTACTCTAACACTGGGTTTAACTCTCCTTTTCACTACAAGGTGATTCCACGCCAGCGTAGTCTGAAAATATCTCTGATTGTTCTGGCAATTCTCACATAGTAACTTCATTTGGAGGAACAAACCCTTTTTGAGAAAATCATGATGAAAGTGGCAATTTTAGGCCCTTTTTAGACCTATACATGCCTCCTGTAAGACCCTATGATCCGTGAACAGACAACATATTAGTGTCATGATACTCCTTATAGTGTTCTCTCAAATATGGAGTATGTCTAGATTCTGAAATAAAACCTTTCACATTAATTTATTAAACATTAAAAATATTAATATTAATATCTCAAAACTACTGTTTTTGATTTTGCTTATTTGTAGACATATTTTTTGTAATAATATACTCTTCAAACACGTCAAATTTCCAGAGTACCTTTTAATGGCCAGGTAGCAGATAATGCAAAATGTTGCAGGTTTTTAGGCAATGTTTTCTTTTTTTGAGTCTTGAGGTCAAAAACATTGTTAACCGGGAGTGTCTCCTTGGTAATAATATAGTAGCTACCATAGTATTAAAGCTATGCATTAAGAAAGCATGTAATGAGATACCTGCAGAGAGGAATCCCTACTGGTCAGACTGGTTAATAAAGTGATGGAAGGAAATGCCTGCCATTCCCTCCATTCTCCAAAAGCTGATGTCAAAGGGTGTGGGTGTGTGTGTGTGTGTGTTCATTCAAAATGTATATGCATACAACAGAACAGTAGATGTGTTAAACTGCCCATGTATGTGTGTGTTAGAATAGAATGCTGGTTTCCTGTGCGATACAGTAGGTTCTGTCATGAGCTGATTGTTAGAATCTGAGAACCTGATATACTGTGTGTGCGTGCTCCATAATGACAAAGTAAAAACAGGTTTTTACACATTTTTGCTAATGTATTAAAAATAAAAAAACTGAAATATCACAATTTATCACAAGTATTCAGTACTTTGTTGAAGCACCTTTGGCAGCGATTACAGCTTTGAGTCTTCTGGGGTATGACACTACAAGCTTGGCACACCTGTATTTCGGAGTTGCACAGCCATTTTCAGGTCTCTCCAGAGATGTTAAATCGTGTTCAAGTCCGGGCTCTGGCTGGGCCACTCAAAGACATTAAGAGACTTGTCCCGAAGCCACTCCTGCGTTGTCTTGGCTGTGTGCTTAGGGTTGTTGTCCTGTTGGAAGGTGAACCGTCGCCCCAGTCTGAGGTCCTGAGCGCTCTGGAGCAGGTTTTCATCAAGGATCTCTCTGTACTTTGCTCCGTTCATCTTTCCCTCAATCCTGACTAGTCTCCGTTGAAAAACATCCCCACAGCATGATGCTGCCACCACCATGCTTCACCGTAGGGATGGTGCCACGTTTCCTCCAGACTTGACACTTGGCATTCAGGCCAAAGAGTTCAATCTTGGTTTCATCAGACCAGAGAATCTTGTTTCTCATGGTCTGAGAGTCCTTTAAGTGCCTTTTGGCAACCTCCAAGCGGGCTGTCATGTGCCTTTTGCTGAGGAGTGGCTTCCGTCTGGCCAGTCTACCATAAAGGCCAACTGAGATTTATTCCTGATTATTATTTGACCATGCTTGTCACTTATGAACATTTTTGAACATCTTGGCATGGTTCTGTTATAATCTCCACCCGGCACAGCCAGAAGAGGACTGGCCACCCCTCATAGCCTGGTTCCTCTCTAGGTTTCTTCCTAGGTTTTCGCCTTTCTAGGGAGTTTTTCCTAGCCACCGTGCTTCTACACCTGCATTACTAGCTGTTTGGGGTTTTAGGCTGGGTTTCTGTACAGCACTTCGAGATATTAGCTGATGTAAGAAGGGCTATATAAAATAAAATTGATTGATTGATTGATTGGTGGAGTGCTGCAGAGATGGTTATCCTTCTGGAAGGTTCTCCCATCACCACAGAGGAACTCTGGAGCTCTGTCAGAGTGACCATCGGAAGAATCTTAGTGATTCCAAACTTCTTCCATTTAAGAATGATGGAGGCCACTGTGTTCTTGGGGACCTTCAATGCTGCAGACATTTTTTAGTAGCCTTCCCCAGATCTGTTCCTCGATACAGTCCTGTCTCGGAGCTTTACGGACAATTCCTTCGACCTTCGTTTTTGCTCAGACATGCACTGTCAACTGTGGAACTTTATATAGACAGGAGTGTGCCTTTCCGAATCATGTCCATTCAATTGGATTTACCACAGGTGTACTCCAATCAAGTTGTAGAAACATCTCAAGGATGATCAATGGAAACAAGATGCACCTGAGCTAAATTTTGAGTCTCATAGCAAAGGGTCTGAATACTTACAATTGAAGTCGGAAGTTTACATACACTTAGGTTGGAGTCATTAAAACTCGTTTTTCAACCACTCCACACATTTCTTGTTAACAAACTATAGTTTTGGCAAGTCGGTTAGGACATCTACTTAGTACATGACACAAGTAATTTTTCCAACAATTGTTTACAGACAGGTTATTTCACTTATAATTAATTGTATCACAATTCCAGTGGGTCTGAAGTTTACATACACTAAGTTGACTGTGCCTTTAAACAGCTTGGAAAATTCCAGAAAATGATGTCATGTCTTTAGAACATTCTGATAGGCTATTTTTTTTTTTTTTTTTTTTTTTTATATAGCCCTTCTTACATCAGCTAATATCTCGAAGTGCTGTACAGAAACCCAGCCTAAAACCCCAAACAGCTAGTAATGCAGGTGTAGAAGCACGGTGGCTAGGAAAAACTCCCTAGAAAGGCGAAAACCTAGGAAGAAACCTAGAGAGGAACCAGGCTATGAGGGGTGGCCAGTCCTCTTCTGGCTGTGCCGGGTGAAGATTATAACAGAACCATGCCAAGATGTTCAAAAATGTTCATAAGTGACAAGCATGGTCAAATAATAATCAGGAATAAATCTCAGTTGGCTTTTCATAGCCGATCATTAAGAGTTGAAAACAGCAGGTCTGGGACAGGTAGGGGTTCCATAACCGCAGGCAGAACAGTTGAAACTGGAATAGCAGCAAGGCCAGGCGGACTGGGGACAGCAAGGAGTCACCACGGCCGGTAGTCCCGACGTATGGTCCTAGGGCTCATATCCACAGGTGTACCTGTGGATATTTGACATCATTTGAGTCAATTGGAGGTGTACCTGTGGATGTATTTCAAGGCCTACCTTCAAACTCAGTGCCTCTTTGCTTGACATCATGGGAAAATCAAAAGAAATCAGCCAAGACCTCAGAAAAAAAAAATGGTAGACCTCCACAAGTCTGGTTCCTTGGGAGCAATTTCCAAATGCCTGAAGGTACCACGTTCATCTTAACAAACAATAGTACGCAAGTATAAACACCATGGGACCACGCAGCCGTCATACCGCTCAGGAAAGAGGCGCGTTCTGTCTCCTAGAGATGAACGTACTTTGGTACGAAAAGTGCAAATCAATCCCAGAACAACAGCAGAGGACCTTGTGAAGATGCTGGAGGAAACAGTGCTATGAAAAAGTATTTGCCCCCTTTCTAATTTTCTCTACTTTTGCATATTTGTGAAACTGAATGTTATCAGATCTTCAACCAAAACCTAATATTATATAAAGGGAACATAAGTGAACAAATAACACAACAATTACATTTTTATTTCATTTATTTCATAAACAAAGTTATGCAACACTCAATTCCCCTGTGTGAAAAAGTAATTGCCCCCAAATGCTTCCTGTAGTTGTTGATCTGTCTCTCACGTTGCTGTGGAGGAATTTTGGCCCACTCTTCCATGCAGAACTGCGTCACTGAGTTTGTTAACTCAGTGACGTGTGGGTTTTCAAGCATGAACTGCTCGTTTCAAATCCTGCCACAACATCTCAATTGGGATTAGGTCTGGACTTTGACTAGGCCATTCCAAAACTTCCAATTTGTTGCTTTTTAGCAATTTTCATGTAGACTTGATTGTGTGTTTTGGATCATTGTCTTGCTGCATGACCCAGCTGGGCTTCAGCTTCAACTCACAGACGGATGTTCTGACATTCTCCTGTAGAATTCTCTGATACAGAGCAGAATTCATGGTTCCTTCTATTAAGGCAAGTCGTCCAGGTCCTGAGGCAGCAAAGCATCCCCAAACCATCACACCACCACCACCATGCTTGACCTTTGGTATGATGTTCTTACTGTGGAATGCAGAGTTTGGTTTTCGCCAGGCATTACTGGAACCATGTCGTCCAAAAAAGTTATACTTTTGAATCATCTGTCCATAGAACGTTCTTCCAAGTGTCTTGATGATCATCCAGGTGCTTTTTGGCAAACTTGAGTCAACTTTTTGGACGAGATGGGTCCCATTATGCCTGGCGAAAACCAAACACTTCATTCCACAGTAAGAACATCATACCAAAGGTCAAGCATGGTGGTGGTGGTGGTGTAATGAGAGTCACAGTCCATCAGTAGAACATACTGTAGTTCTTGCCCTCAAGAGCAAAGAGATCTATTCCTACTTTGCCCCATGGTCTCAACACCTCTTTTTCCTTAACCCACATTGGCTCTTTGCTCTGTTTTGACCTGTATTTCTGGCATGTCTGCTCTATATCAGCATTAATCTTGGGCCAAAAAAACACTGCTTTTGCACGTCGTTTTGACTTTTCCATCCGTAGATGGCCCGTATATCTGGTTTCGTTCTGAGCTGTCAAAAGCTCTGGACAATGGTCTGCCATTAACAATTATTTCCCTGGCCTGTACTCGAGTTGCAAGTCCATAGTTTTAGAAAAAGTCTCTGTACCCTTGGTGGTATGTACGCTAGATCCTTCTTTGCAATAGTAACCAAAGGTTTATGATCTGTTTCGGCCCACACTGTTTTACCATAGATAAACACATGGAATTTCTTATATACATATGACAGTTCTAATGCCTCTTTCTCAATCAGAGCATAGTTAGTTACACCCAGCCTATGCCAACCTCCAGTCCCTCGACTTCCTGGCGCTGACGGAAACATGGATCACCACTGAAAACACCGCTACTCCTACTGCTCTCTCCTCGTCTGACCATGTGTTCTCGCATACCCCGAGAGCATCTGGTCAGAGGGGTGGTGGTACAGGAATCCTCATCTCTCCCAAGTGGACATTCTCAATTTTTCCCCTAACCCATCTGTCTATCTCCTCATTTGAATTCCATGCTGTCACAGTCACTAGCCCATTTAAGCTTAATATCCTTGTCATCTATCGCCCTCCAGGTTCCCTTGGAGAGTTCATCAATGAGCTTGACGCCTTGATAAGTTCCTTCCCTGAGGATGGCTCACCCCTCACAGTTTTGGGGGATTTCAACCTCCCTATGTCCACATTTGACTCATTTCTCTCTGCCTCCTTCTTTCCACTCCTCTCCTCTTTTGACCTCACCCTCTCACCGTCCCCCCCCTACTCACAAGGCAGGCAATACGCTTGACCTCATCTTCACTAGATGCTGCTCCTCTACTAATCTCACTGCAACTCCCCTCCAAGTCTCCGACCACTACTTTGTTTCCTTTTCTCTCTCACTCTCCTCCCACACTACTCACTCTGCCCCTACACAGATGGTAATGCGCCGCCGCAACCTTCGCTCTCTCTCTCCCACTACTCTCTCCTCTTCCATCCTATCATCTCTTCCCTCTGCTCAATCCTTCTCCCTCCAATCTCCTGATTCTGCCTCCTCAACCCTCCTCTCCTCCCTTTCTGCATCCTTTGACTCTCTGTGTCCCCTATCCTCCCGGCCGGCTCGGTCCTCCCCTCCAGCTCCGTGGCTTGATGACTCATTGCGAGCTCACAGAACAGAGCTCCGGGCAGCGGAGCGGAAATGGAAGAAAACTAAATTCCCTGCCGACCTGGCATCTTTTCACTCCCTCCTCTCTACATTTTCTTCATCTGTTTCTGCTGCTAAGGCCACCTTCTACCACTCTAAATTCCAAGCATCTGCCTCTAACCCTAGGAAGCTCTTTGCCACATTTTCCTCCCTCCTGAATCCTCCCTCCCCCCCCCCCCCCCCCCCTCCTCTCTCTCTGTGGATGACTTCGTCAACCACTTTGAAAAGAAGGTTGACGACATCCGATCCTTGTTTGTTAAGTCTAATGACACTGCTGGTCCTGCTCACACTGCCCTACCCTATGCTTTGACTTCTTTCTCCCCTCTCTCTCCAGATAAGATCCTGCGACTTGTGACTGCAGGCCGCCCAACAACCTGCCCGCTTGACCCCATCCCCTCCTCCCTTCTCCAGACCATCTCCGGTGACCTTCTCCCCTACCTCACCTCGCTGATCAACTCATCCTTGACCGCTGGCCATGTCCCTTCCGTCTTCAAGAGAGCGAGAGTTACTCCCCTTCTCAAAAAACCAACACTCGACCCCACTGATGTCAACAACTACAGACCAGTATCCCTTCTTTCTTTTCTTTCCAAAACTATTGAGCGTGCCGTCTTTAGCCAACTCTCTTGCTATCTCTCTCAGAATGACCTTCTTGATCCAAACCAATCAGGTTTCAGGACTGGTCATTCAACTGAGACTGCTCTTCTCTGTGTCACAGAGACTCTCCGCACTGCTAAAGCTAACTCTCTCTCCTCTGCTCTTGTCCTTCTAGACCTGTCTGCTGCCTTTGATACTGTGAACCATCAGATCCTCCTCTCCACCCTCTCCGAAATGGGCATCTCCGGCGCGGCTCACTCCTGGATTGCGTCCTACCTGACCGGTCGCTCCTACCAAGTGGCGTGGCGGGAAGCTGTCTCCGCACCACGTGCTCTCACCACTGGTGTCCCCCAGGGATCGGTTTTGGGCCCTCTCCTTTTCTCCCTATACACCAAGTCACTTGGCTCTGTCATATCCTCACATGGCCTTTCCTATCATTGCTACGCTGACGATACACAACTAATCTTCTCCTTTCCCCCTTCTGATAACCAGGTGGCGAATCGCATCTCTGCATGTCTGGCAGACATATCAGTATGGATGACGGATCACCACCTCAAGCTGAACCCTGGCAAGACGGAGCTGCTCTTCCTCCCGGGGAAGGACTGCCCGTTCCATGATCTCGCCATCACGGTAGACAACTCCGCTGTGTCCTCCTCCCAGAGCGCGAAGAGCCTAGGCGTGACCCTGGACAACACCCTGTCGTTCTCCGCCAACATCAAGGCGGTGACCCGCTCCTGCAGGTTCATGCTCTACAACATTCGGAGAGTGCGACCCTGCCTTACACAGGAAGCGGCGCAGGTCCTGGTCCAGGCACTTGTCATCTCCCGTCTGGACTACTGCAACTCGCTGTTGGCTGGGCTCCCTGCCTGTGCCATTAAACCCCTACAACTCATCCAGAATGCCGCAGCCCGTCTGGTGTTCAACCTTCCCAAGTTCTCTCACGTCACCCCCCTCCTCCGCACACTCCACTGGCTTCCAATTGAAGCTCGCATCCGCTACAAGACCATGGTGCTTGCCTTTGGAGCAGTGAGGGGAACGGCACCCCTGTACCTTCAGGCTCTGATCAGTCCCTACACCCAAACGAGGACATTGCGTTCATCCACCTCTGGCCTGCTGGCTCCCCTTCCTCTGCGGAAGCACAGCTCCCGCTCAGCCCAGTCAAAACTGTTCGCTGCTCTGGCACCCCAATGGTGGAACAAGCTCCCTCACGACGCCAGGACAGCGGAGTCACTCACCACCTTCCGGAGACATTTGAAACCCCACCTCTTTAAGGAATACCTGGGATAGGCTAAAGTATTCCTTCTAACCCCCCCCCCCCCCCAAATTGTAAAGTGGTTATCCCACTGGCTATAGGGTGAACGCACCAATTTGTGAGTCGCTCTGGCTAAGAGCGTCTGCTAAATGACGTTAATGTGCCCTTGAGCAAGGCACTTAACCCTAATTGCTCCTGTAAGTCGCTCTGGTTAAGAGCGTCTGCTAAATGACTAAAATGTAATGTAAATGTAAAAATGTAAGTTGTCAGAGCCCTGGAGGTATATGCGACTGGGCGCCATCTAGTGCGATACTGCTGTAACAACACTGCACCTAAACCTGCTTTAGAGGCATCTGCTGAGACTTTGGTTTTGCGCTTTTCATCATAGAACCTCAGGACTGGAGCATGCATGATTTAATGCCTTGAGCTCCTCAAACTCTTTCTGGTGATTACTGTTCCAACATCTCCCGCTCTCCAACTCCTGTGCGCAGGCTGCACGTCCCCCAAGTGGTCACGTGGCCTCCTATGCAATATGCCACAGGAAGCTACTCTGAAAATATAGTTTAGCAAGCTACTAAGTTCTTCACCCTGGAAGAAGTTAAGCACTTAACTAAACTTACTTTGAAAAAGTAGTTCGCTACATCCAAACTACTTAGTGAAAAATTATCATATGCAAATCTGAAATGTCATAGACTATAAATTGCAAGAACCGATAACTTTGGGGTCATATGTTTGTTAACAGAATGTTAAATTTAGCCTATTAAACACAAAAACAATATTTCAAGTGAGAATTTACGCAGGTCTGATACCAGAAAATAAAGGAAATTATGGCCTACTTCTCCCAGATTTCTATGTAGAGTGTAGTTCCAGTAGTTAGCTACACCGCTACATGGCAAAAAAGTAATTAACTACTGAAAACACTACCTAGACTTGAACTTAGTTCAACTAACACTAAGCTACTGCAAAATGTAGTTACAATACTAGTTCAACTACATGTAACTTAGTTAACTACTCCCCAACACCGTGTGGGTGGCTAACTTTCTGTGTCTTTCTCTCTCTAGTCTCTCACTGTCTCCGTCCTTGTGCTGTGTGTGTAGACAGCCTGAGAAAGAAAGAGACTGAAAAGGGGACTTTTACTTTCATAACGAAATTAAAACAAATCAGATCAGCAAAAGGAGCATGAGGAATTTGGTAAAGACTTTAATTAGGTTAATGTGGAAGGTGTGTGTGCATCGTTTTATGTGAGTTTGTTTTAGTGTATGACTTAAGGTATGATTTGTTTTATTTGTGTCTCACTGCTGTAATCCTTTCTATATTTGATTAGAATCAAGATCGGACCAATTTAATCCTGATCATATTGGATTGTACCCTGGGTTCATCTCTATATTATACGACCCTCCATGTAGGCTAGTAGGCCTAAAGTGGTATCTCAGTCAAGGTGTTACTGAAGTTGATTAGTTATTATTATAAAGGACTTTGGGCTGCTATATGTTCATCAACCCTCTCTCATTTCATTCTAATTCAGCACATTATATTACATTTTATTGAATTACACATCCTTTCAGAGCCAATTCACCCTTGGTTCCCCTTATCACTGCGATGATAGTGCTATGGGGAAGTGTGCTTGTATGTGTTTGCACATTTGTGTTTGTGCACTATGCACTCGGTCAGTGTTTTATGTCCCTCTAGTTGTTTTGAGAGAGAGAGAGAAGGGGGATGGAGGGAAGGAGAGTGGGAAGGAAGGAGTCTTCCCCTCGTTTCTCCGCTGAGCTGAGTCACTTAGCTCTGAGCTGCAGTGCCTGCCTGGGAGGATTGCGTGTTACTGCCAAACTTTCCCTACTACTCCTTTGGGAGGTTTGAGCTGCCTTGTCTGTCCTGTAAGGATTTCCTACTGCTCTGTAGAAGAGGCTTTGGGTGAGTTTATTCTCATGTTATGTCAGTTCTTCAGCTTGTCCCCTCCTCTCTCTCACGTTTTCTTAGATGAATGTGCTATTGTGGTTGATTTACATCTATTTCTGGAGTTAGACTATTCTCATAGCTGTCGCCCTTTGCACTGAAAGTATTAGATAATGTCACAGTATTTAATCATTGCAGGCAGGAGTCCAAGGACGATGTATGGATTGTGGATGTATTCACTTTAAAATCTGAATTCCTTCCCTTTTTCTTGTATGCGCTCACACAACCCTGCTCATAACTGGAAATCACTGAGAAATCCTCATACCACCCATTTTGAATCCCAGGCAGATTTGATTATAAATACTGTTAGATATGCAGTGTGCTGAGAGTGGGGTGTCCTCTTGGGGCACAGGGCTCTGGTCTATTTTAGGTTGGAAGTAAAAGCAGTAACTTAGACCATGGTTACAGTTATAGTCTGAAACTGTTCTCAGACACGCCCTTCTCTGGGTGGTGGCTGGGTGCAGAAAGACAGGTGTGCCTATTGTTTTTACTCACAGCTCTCACTTGAGTGTCGGGGACACATGTTGTCTCAGAGAGAGAGCGACTCTTATCTGACACTCCAAACCGATCGAAATCTAGCATGCATCGGTCAGAAAATTCATTCAAATGCTACGAATTGCCGGTTCACCATTTCTTGTGCTATGTATTAATTGGCTATGTCAGCAAAAAATTTTGATAAATATTGATACATTACTATTTCAAATACTTAGAATCTGGAAAATGTACAGGTGATTTCAGATTAAAAGTGATGCCCCCCCCCCCCTCATATGGATCAGTTTAGGTGTCTACATACGCCATAGACTTATACATAATTTACACACACGCGCACACACACACACACACACACACACACACACACACACACACACACACACACACACACACACACACACAGAGAAGTCAGCTCAGACAGATCCAGCTCAGAGGCCCAGCTCATGAGCTCCATCAGCAGCAGAATTAATGTGTTTATGCAACATATGTTAGTGCATTGAATCGCATCGAACCGAACCGAATCACATCGACTCGTTCCTCTAATCAAACCGAATCGTTTCAAACTAAAACGTATCATTCCTGTATCGTATCGTAGCCTATGTATCTAGATACGTATCGAATTGTCTTGAAATGGAAAGATGCACATCCCTAATTATACCACAAATTAGATACAGCTTTTTCAAGCATCACTTAAAAACAATATATATTCCTAGAGGCATCGTGGTTGGTCGATCCTGTTATTTTCCCTCTCTCTCTCTGTGAGGTAAAGGATGGGGATACGCTGCTCTTATCTCTGATTACAGAGAAAGTGGTTTTGTTAGATTGATACATTCCTTCATCCTCTCTGAGCCTGGTTGTATTGGTAAACCTGCATTCTTGTGTGTCTGTGTCGGCAAGGACAGGGAGGGGTCTTCTAAATGGAGGAGATATCTTTAGTAACACCAGCAGCACACTGGAGGCTTTAACACACAGACCCTGACCTGAGGTAAACTTATTTTTTTTATTGAACGGATCTTCTGCACTCTTCCTCCTCTGCTCTCTCCGGATGTCATGAAAGATTAAGAGGACAGAGTATTTGGCCTATTTTCAGTTCTCTGCACCATGGCAAGACTCCTCTGCCTTTTAATACAGTGATAGAGTTCAGTACTGCGGAGAATATTTTTCATGTGTCATTATAATTTTGTTAGATGCTAGATAAATGTCTTTGATCATTTTCATTTGATCATTCTTGAGGATTTACTTATGACTGTCTTGAGTGAAGTGAATGCCATGATTTCCACCAGAGTTGGTCTAAACGTATTTTGAAACAAGCGAATGCCCACAAGCTTGTTCTCCCTGCCTGCTCAATAGTAAAATATGTTGTAGTGTTGAGAAGGTTCGGCCCAGTTGCCATGGTAGCAGGTCTCCTACAGTGTAAATCAAGGACAGAGCCTCAGGTGGGATTGTGTTCACCTGAGCTCTGCATTCACTATTAACTATTGGATTTAGCTGCGAATTTTCAATATTTGCTCACTTTCCAGTTTCTACAGAATTCTGTTAGGCCTTCTACCCCAGGCTCAGAAGCTCGCCTTGCAAACATCCATATTCACTTATTCTAACTGATGTGGACTAATGCGGTTTTAAATTGGAATCGGAAGACAGACTTTCAAATAAAAGAGAAGAATAAAGGAATTGAATTACTGTAGTCATGTGTGATATCAAAATTGCAAAAACTTTGGCTTGGTTTGGTCTTGTGCGGTTGTGGTCAGTGTGTGTGTGTCAGGGTTGGGGTCAATTTAGTTTCAATTCAGGAAATTTGATTTTACATGAAAAGCTTACTGGAGTCAATCTATTAAACAATAGAGTATGGATGCTCTATTCTGAAATATTGAATTGCAATTTCAATTTACTTTCTGAATTGACTGAATTGAAACTGAATTGTGTGTGCGTGTGTGCGCGCATGCGCATGTGTGTGCATGTGTGTCTGCTTAGAGAAACATGAATGCTCAGACTTAAGGCTGTTTGAATGGGCCCATCTCCCACGAGGCTGTCATACAGATGCCTGACCATGTTTACATCAGCCACAGCAACAGACCGCTAAGCCCCCTCCTCCCCGGTGGAACTCAAAGAGGAAGAGAATGAAAGACCCTACAACCCAACCCAAGCACTCCGTTCTGCCACCTCTGGTCTCTTCGCGGTCCCTCCCCTACGGGGTGTCAGCTCAGCCCAGTTAAATCTCTTCTCTGTCCTGGCACCCCAATGGTGGAACCAGCTTCCCCATGAAGCTAAGACAGCAGAGTCCCTTCCTACTAGAACTGACTTTGCTGATAACTACTTTATTGAGGGAAAATGTACTTGCTACGACTGTGATATGTGGTTGTCTCACCCAGCTACCTTAAAATTAATGCACTAATTGTAAGTCGCTCTGGATAAGAGCGTCTGCTAAATGACTCAAATGTAAAATAAATATGTATCTCTGAAATAACCCAGAAAGGGGCCCTTTGTGCTGCCTAACAACTTAATGTCCACATGCTTTGGTTTAGCAGGGCGCTGGCTGCTAATTTGCATGGTGGTCTGTGGCGGGCCACTTTTAATGAGAGGAGGCCTGTGTGTGTGTGAACGAGGAGCAGCTGACCCAGAGACAACAGAACGAGGTAGCCATGCTGGCAAATGCGAGGGCCGGAGGTCCATACACTCCACTCCATTGATGTTTACTTCAGTGATATACAGTACTTACAGAACTACAGTGCCTTGCAAAAGTATTCATCCCCCTTGGTGTTTACAAGCTGTAATTTAAATTGATTTTTATTTTTATTTCATGTAAATGACATACACAAAATAGTCCAAATTGGTGAAATGAAAGTGAAATGAAAAAAATAACTTGTTTTAGAAAATTCTAAAAAATAAATAACGGAAAAGTGGTGCGTGCATATGTATTCACCCCCTTTGCTATAAAGCCCCTAAATAAGATCTGGTGCAACCAATTACCTTCAGAAGTCACATAATTAGTTAAATAAAGTCCACCTGTGTGCAATCTAAGTGTCACATGATCTGTCACATGATCTCAGTATATATACACCTGTTCTGAAAGGCCTCAGAGTCTGCAACACCACTAAGCAAGGGGCACCACCTAGCAAGCGGCACCATGAAGATCAAGGAGCTCTCCAAACAGGTCAGGGACAAAGTTGTGGAGAAGTACAGATCAGGGTTGGGTTATAAAAAAAAATCTGAAACTTTGAACATCCCACGGAGCACCATTAAATCCATTATTAAAAAATGGAAAGAATATGGCACCACAACAAACCTGCCAAGAGAGGGCCGCCCACCAAAAGTCACGGACCAGGCAAGGAGGGCATTCGTCAGAGAGGCAACAAAGAGACCAAAGATAACCCTGAAGGAGATGCAAAGCTCCACAGCGGAGATTGGAGTATCTGTCCATAGGACCACTTTAAGCCGTACACTCCACAGAGCTGGGCTTTACGGAAGAGTGGCCAGAAAAAAGCCATTGCTTAAAGAAAAAATAAGCAAACACGTTTGGTGTTTGCCAAAAAGCATGTGGGAGACTCCCCAAACATATGGAAGATGGTACTCTGGTCAGATGAGACTAAAATTTAGCTTTTTGGCCATGAAGGAAAACGCTATGTCTGGCGCAAACCCAACACCTCTCATCACCCCGAGAACACCATCCCCACAGTGAAGCATGGTGGTGGTAGCATCATGCTGTGGGGATGTTTTTCATCGGCAGGGACTGGGAAACTGGTCAGAATTGATGGAATGAAGGATGGCGCTAAATACAGGGAAATTCTTGAGGGAAACCTGTTTCAGTCTTCCAGAGATTTGAGACTGGGACAGAGGTTCACCTTCCAGCAGGACAATGACCCTAAGCATACTGCTAAAGCAACACTCAAGTGGTTTAAGGGGACACATTTAAATGTCTTGGAATGGCCTAGTCAAAGCCCAGACCTCAATCCAATTGAGAATCTGTGGTATGACTTAAAGATTGCTGTACACCAGTGGAACCCATCCAACTTAAAGGAGCTGGAGCAGTTTTGCCTTGAAGAATGGGCAAAAATCCCAGTGGCCAAGCTTAGAGACATACCCCAAGAGACTTGCAGCTGTAATTGATGCAAAAGGTGGCTCTACAAAGTATTGACTTTTTTTTGGGGGGGGGGGCTCAAGTTCTGTTTTTTTATGTTATTTCTTGTTTGTTTCACAATGAAAAATATTTTGCATCTTCAAAGTGGTAGGCATGTTGTGTAAATCAAATGATACAAACCCCCCAAAAATCAATTTTAATTCCAGGTTGTAAGGCAACAAAATAGGAAAGATGCCAAGGGGGGTGAATACTTTTGCAAGCCACTGTATACACTGGCCACTCTGTCGTGGAGAGCGTCCGCATTTCACTGTGGGTGAATACATGGAGGTGATTTACAGCAGAATGACAGGGTGTTTGACATGTTAATAACAACCTTTATTATTTACTATAGAGGGTTTTACTGACTCTCTCTACAATCACTAACATAGCGACTTGATTTGGATGTGGAGACTTGATTGTAACCTAAATGTGTCATATGGCGCAAAACATGTTCTAAATGTTCCCTTTAAAGTGATTGCAGATGATGTCAAGCATGTAATCAGCCGAGTTCTTAAGGCCAGCTCTAAAATTATACACAAAACTTGGGCCGTGTTTAGAAAGTCACCCCCAGCAGATCGTTGGGCTATCCTAGTCAATCATTACTAGACCATTTCTTGTAAAAGCCTTGTCTGTAATTGAAGCAGAGCTATAAAAAAAATTGATTGAGTGTAGCCCTTTCCTGCAGTCGAATGACCAAAGCGCCCTCTAGTGGCCTCATGGGAGGAACGTTATTAATATTTTCATAATTAATCAACATTATTTATTATTTTTACACCGGAAGTCTGGTGTTTCTATATCGGTTTTGTTATATTTCAGTCTTCTGTGATGTACATAAAGAGCAATATTGGGATGTAAACTCAAAATTGAATACATTTCAACTATATCTGACATGGTACAGGTATCATCTTTTTTTTAAGCCCATAACCATGTGTGTGGGGTGTATAGTTTTGTCATATACAGTACAATGTACATTGAGTATAACAAACATTAGGAACACCTCCCTAATATTGAGTTGCACCCACTCCTTTTACAGGAGGGGGTCGCAGTTCCGGAGCGACCCACTAGGTGTCATCCTCCGACAACCTTAGGCACCTCCTCACTCACAGTCTGGACTAATCATTATCTTATTAGTGTCACCTGTGTATTTATGCCCTCACTTCCCTGTGTTCCCTTGCCCAGTTGTAATGAGAGTGAAAAACCCAGCAACGTTGCAGTTCTTGACACACTCAGACCGGTGCTCCTGGCACCTACTACCATACCCCGTTCAAAGGCACTTAAATATTTTGTCTTGCCAATTCACCCTCTGAATGGCACACATAGACAATCCATGTCTCAATTGTCTCGAAGCTTAAAAATCCTTCTTTAACCTGTTTCCTTCCCAGGTTGAAGTGGATTTAACAAGTGACATCAATAAGGGATCATAGCTTTCACCTGGATTCACCAGGTCAGTCTGTCATGGAAAGAGCAGGTGCCCTTAATGTTTTGTATACTCAGTGTATATAGACTGTAGATGTTTTGTGGTACTTTCGTTTTGCTGTTTTAAGATTAGTATGATAAATGCTAGACAGGGTAAACAGGGGACTTCCTTGTTATGATGAGTGAATCAGACTTTTTATAGCAGTATTGTGAGTTGAAGGTATGCTATAAAAAATGATAATACTTTTAGAGGAGGGACAGTGATTTATTTTAGAGATTGAGGAGATTGCGTGTATTACAGCATTTAGGTCACATTTCAATGTTTCATAGCACTAGGATGGAATTTCACTTCCATGTTCTTTCAGTGAACTCAACATCATTTTCTCTGTAGACTTACTGACCATGGAGCAAAAAAAATTGCTTGTATCATCAAATGCAGTAATGTAGGCTCTGCAGCACTAGGAATGGACAGCCTCTCAGAGACAATGGACAATGTTACACATTGATTATACTGTATAGCTGCTGAGTGAAGGTTTGTGTGAGTGTTCACACAACTGACACATGTGAGTTCTTATTATACCTCAGTGGAGTTAAGTCATGTTTTTACATGACTGCGCTTAATGGAGACTTCCCAGAATGATGAAGCTCTTTGTGTCTCTATAATGTAACAATACCACCTGTTTGGCCTCAGCAACACAGTGCCATGTATGGTGGTGTTACCTTAATAGGCATGGCTGTGCAATTGTATAGACTTGACTGTGGAGTGTTTCTGACTATAGACTTGGTGTAAACAGTCCTATTAGTTAAACACACTGGAGTGAAGATGGACCATCTGTCACCAGCTGGTTAGACCAGGCTCAGTGCTGTTGATAATCAACTGGATCATTAGCCTGATAATGAACTACATGGAGACTCCAATGTTCAGCCATGGGCAGGGGTGAAAGTAGATTTAATTTATTCCCGGTATAGGACCTCATATGCTTACGCGTGCACCAACATTTTTTATGGGCCTAATCATAGAATTACATAGAATCCCTATTAATTCAATAGGATCTCTGTGGGCCTAGTCGTAACTATTTGTAATGTAACTTTTAAAATGTATTACCTTTTATTGTAGCATAAACACAATCAGTCATGATGTTGTCATCTGATTGTCAAATAATCACTTCAAAGGGCTCCTTTACTAGGCTATCTGCGCACGTTCATCCACTCGCAACATATTCCCAGCCTCCAAACAGTGGTGAATTGAAAGAGACATCTGTTAAACAAAACAAAAAAAGTGTAATTAGGCCAAAACGTATGCGTCTACTGTTGTCCACGCGCGTCTCGGTGTCAGCCACCCATCTCTGCCATGGCAAAATGTCAGTGTTCTTGTTGAACCACATTGCATTGTTTTCAAGTTCATTCGCTAATTTTCCATGCCTCTGACATGCGGTAATGATAAATAATGGTGTAATAGCCTACAGTTTTCTTCACATTTAGTTTTAATTATTGTGATAGGCTGATGGTTTACTGGTACAGCATACCCCCACTATTTATTTTGCCGGGACGGTGTATTGGACCGGTTTACTATCACCCCTGGCCATGGGCCAAATGGCCAAATGAATAGTAAAAGATGGAGGAAGAGATAGTGTAGTGGATTACAATCACTGCAAGCAAGGGGCAGTGGGTGATATTCTGTGAGTGGTAGATGTTCTGTCTGTGGAGCAACATGGATGTGAATCACGAAAACAGGATATATGGTATGGAAGTGAGGAGGTCCTCTTTCAAAATAAGTACAACAGAGGCATGGTAAACATCATATGATCCCAGCTCTACCACCCTGCAGCCAACTGAGTGTTGTTGAGAATCTCACTGTTCCTCTTTACACTCTTTCTCTTTCAGCTCTAAGCAGCAGCCCCCGCAGTGCAAGAGTCAGTCGGACAGGTCTGTGTAGGAAGAGTCCCAGTGAGAAGAGCAGAGGGGGTGTCAATGGAAGAGGTTCGGACAGCAGGCCCTCACTGCAGCCCAAACCACAAGGTACAGATAGTAATACGGTTTAATATATGCTATTTAGCAGACCTTTTTTATCAAAGCGACTCACAGTACAGTGAGTGCATAGACTTTAGAATATGTGACCCCAGCAGGAATCGAATCCATGACCCAGGTGTTGTTAGTGCCACACTCTTACCACACTCTTACCACACTCTTACCACACTCTTACCAACTGAGCCACACAAGACAACAGAGCACTGACCGCAGCGCTACTCAGACATACAGACACTCGTTTACGTCTAGATAATGACTCATGCGTGACACAGAACCAGTGGTGTAAAGTACTTAACTAAAAATACTTTAAAGTACTACTTAAGTAGTTTTTGGGTATCTGTACTTTAGTTTACTATTTATATTTTTGACAACTTTTTCTTTTACTTCACTACATTCCTAAAGACAATAATGTACTTTTTACTCCATACATTTTCCCTGACACCCAAAAGTACTTGTTACATTTTGAATGCTTAGCAGAACAGAAAATGGTGCAATTCACACACTTATCAAGAGAACATCCCTGGTCATCTCTACTGCCTCTGATCTGGCGGACTCACTAAACACAAGTGCTTCGTTTGTAAATGATGTCTGAGTGTTGGAGTGTGCCCCTGGGTATCCGTAAATTAAAAAATAATTGTGCCTACTGGTTTGCTTAATATAAGGAATTTGAAATTATTCATAATTTTACTTTTACTTTTGATACCTAAGTATATTTAAAACCAAATACTTTCAGACTTTTACTCAAGTAGTATTTTACTGGGTGGCTTTCACTTTTACTTGAGTCATTTTCTATTAAGGTATCTTTGTATGTATGACAATTTGTTACTTTTTCCACCACTGCTCAGAACATGTATGACAAAACTGTTCATGCCACAAGGAAGAGCGAGTTATGTAACCAGACACAGTGTGTGACACAGTGGTGGAACCTTGCCTTTAGTGGTGTTGCATTCCTCTTTTATTTGAACACAGTGAATCATTCTCCAGAGATAAAAGGGAAGGCCCTAACCCTCTACATTACAGCAGTCCATTGACCATCCCCTCTATGGGTTATAGAATAGTTCATGCCATAAGAGGATACTGCTAGTCCACACTATGGCTATATTTCAATGTCATTCTGGGTGATGAATGTTATGCCTAAAGTAGCCGTGTTTTGCAGGCTTATAGGCATGGGTCGCAGACACTCTGGGAATGAGGCTAGCTTTTAGTAACCTGTGCTGCCACCTTGTGTTCGAATAATACATGGCAACACCCAACTCCACAAAACACAGTCAACATAACGTAAAATGCTGGTGGAGGGTCATGTATAGTCACAGAAAGGCTCCTAGAGTGGCCATGCCAACATGACCTCTGACCTCTCTAGTACTGACAACTGACCTTTTCCCATCATCCCCTCAGTGCCTCCGAAGCCAGCCCACCTCCAGAGCCCGGTGACGAAGTCCGCTGCCCCACCGCTGGCGCTGGGGTGTGTGGAGAGAGCACTCCTCAGAGCCACCATGGAGGAGGGTAGAGGAGGGGCGATGATGGTGAAGAGCCGGGAGAAACCCTCCAAAGTCTTGGACCTCATCAACCACTTCGAGGAGAACAGGTAGAGCAGGGGAAAAAAGTAGAATACAGACTCAGAGTGGGTAGGGGAGAAAAACTGAGAAAAGTATAAATTAGACCCTATCTGAGATACAGTGCTAACTCAAATATGTGTGCAATTATTGCCCTTGTGTGTTCTTGCTTTAGAGAGAGAGAGAGAGAGAGAGAGAGAGAGAGAGAGAGAGAGAGAGAGAGAGAGAGAGAGAGAGAGAGAGAGAGAGAGCGAGCTCAAATAGCCACCCTTTGCCTTCATGACAGCTTTGCACACTATTGGCATTCTCTCAACCAGCTTCACCTGGAATGCTTTTCCAACAGTCTTGAAGGAGTTCCCACGTATGCTGAGCACTTGTTGGCTGCTTTTCATTCACGCTGCGGTCCGACTCATCCCAAACCATCTCAATTGGGTTGAGGTCGGGGGATTATGGAGGCCAGGTCATCTGATGCAGCACTCCATCACTCTACTTCTTAGTAAAATTGCCCTAACACAGCCTAGAGGTGTGTTGGGTCATTGTCCTGTTGAAAAACAAATGATAGTCCCACTAAGCCCAAACCAGATGGAATGGCGTATAGCTGCAGAATGCTGTGGTAGCCATGCTGGTTAAGTGTGCCTTGAATTCTAAATAAATCACAGACAGTACACCAGCAAAGCACCCCCACACCATAACACCTCCTCCTCCATGCTTTACGGTAGAAACTACACATGCAGAGATCATCCGTTCACCCACACCGCGTCTCACAAAGACACGGCTGTTGGAACCAAAAATCTCCAATTTGGACTCCTGACCAAAGGACACATTTCCACCGGTCTAATGTCCATTGCTCGTGTTTCTTGGCCCAAGCAGGTCTCTTCTTATTATTGGTGTCCTTTAGTAGTGGTTTCTTTGCAGCAATTCGACCATGAAGACCTGATTCACACAGTCCCCTCTGAACAGTTGATGTTGAGATGTGTCTGTTACTTGAACTCTGTGAAGCATTTATTTGGGCTGCAATTTCTGAGGCTGGTAACTTTAATGAACTTATCCTCTGCAGCAGAGTTAACTCTGGGTGTTCCATTCCTGTCGTGGTCCACATGAGAGCCAGTTTCATCATAGCGCTTGATGGTTTTTGCGACTGCACTTGAAGAAACTTTCAAAGTTCTTGACATTTTCCGTATTGACTGGCCTTCATGTCTTAAAGTAATGATGGACTATGGTTTCCCTTTGCTTATTTGGGCTGTTCTTGCCATAATATGGACTTGGTATTTTACCAAATAGGGCTATCTTCTGTATACCCCCCTACCTTGTCACAACACAACTGATTGGCTCAAACGCATTAAGAAGGAAAGAAATTCCACAAATTAACTTTTAAGAAGGCACACCTGTTAATTGAAAAGCATTCCAGGTGACTACCTCATGAAGCTGGTTGAGAGAATGCCAAGAGTGTGCAAAGCTGTCATCAAGGCAAAGGGTAGCTATTTGAAGAATCTCAAATATAAAATATATTTTGATTTGTTTAACACTTTCTTGGTTACTACATGATTCCATATGTGTTATTTCATAGTTTTGATGTCTTCACTATTATTCTACAATGTAGAAAATAGTAAAAATAAAGAAAAACCCTGGAATGAGTAGGTGTGTCCAAACCTTAGACTGGTACTGTAGATACTTCCATATACTAAAATAAATACCTCATTCAGGCAGACATGAGTGTAGTAATCAAGTGTGACGTTAATAAACCTTGCATACAAAGGTTTATTTCCTAATATCTCCTACCATTTAGAAGATTAACTAAAAATCAGAAGTCACTTTCAGCCCGGTTCATTGATATTTCTTCAGAGGAACACTTTAGACAGCGAGAGCATTAGAGATCAGCTTGTGTATCACAAGACAAAGCGTTAGTGGAGGATGAAAAGAGATTTGTACAAAGTGGAAAATCTACTCCCTCAGTTGTGGGAGAGAGCTCACTACTGTAGGATGAAAGAGGTTTATTACACAAACTTGATGATGTTAGATTGTGTCCTCAATCAAAAGGGTTGGCTATGTGAATCAGTCTATTGTCAGAAATGAATAACTTCCCACAAGGCCAAGGCTGAGCATTTGCTATATAGCAACACAGCCAATCTCAGAATGGCATTAGTTGTGATTTCAATAAACACTTGTTGCTAATTTAATATAAGCATTTTAGCTATCTATTGTGCCATCTGTTTACCTATGTCTTCATCTGTTTACCTATGTCTTCATCTGTTTACCTATGTCTTCATCTGTTTTCCTATGACTTTAAGAAGTTTCTGTTGTCATTCCTGCTTGGTTACAAGTCTGAGTGGTGGTTTTAGTAGCATGTGAGGAGGCCCATTGGTGAGAGACTGAGAAGGAGAAACAATGGTGCCCTTGTGTGAACCACTCATACAGTGGAGTCCAACAGCTTTATCCGCTCAGTCCATTATTGCCAACCCAGGTCTCTACAGGCCAATCCAGGTCACTACAGACCAACAGACGAAAACACCGTACAGCTGGTGACTGAAGTCAGTGGGCATGCGCCCAGCCACTAGTGCGCGATGGGACAAGGACATGCCAGCCAGCCAAACCCTACCCTAACCTGGGCGACACTGGGCCAATTGTGCGCCGCCTCATGGGTCTCCCGGTCGCGGCCGGCTGCGACACAGCCCGGGATCAAACCCGGATCTGTAGTGACGCCTCTAGCACTGCGATGCGCCTTGTAATAATCTGCTTCACATGCTGTGTTTCTTAGTAGAGGGAACCTGGAAACCCAGCACATGATGCTATTAATGTAGCAATAAAGCCTACCTCTAAATGCTATTATTATATGGCTGTATACATTTTTTAATACTGAGGTTAATTAAGCCTTTCTGTAAACCTTTTGGAAAGTTAACTGAATGTTTCTATACATCAAAGGCTAAAGCCAAGTTTATGAGGAGGATATGTGAAATGTATTGCCTCAGTGTTTCGCTCAAGTGTTTCCATGGCCTTTCCCCATGTACCTACACTAACCAACCAAAACAGTCCTCTGTGCTTGGTATGGACTAGTGGGTCAGCTGTTTGTTCACCCGCACCTGCCTGCAATCGCTATAACCCATCCGCAACCGCCCGACTATATGTGACAAAGTGAAAATCTGAGGCTCGCACCCGACCCTAACCTGCTAATATAGAAAATGTGCTGTAGGCCACAGTCAGAGACAGCAGAACAATTTTTTGACAGGGGGTGCAGGATTTTTTGTTGTTGCCTGATTTAGATATTTCTGATAAGATTTTAATTTGGCTTGGATGCATATTTTATGTGGTTGAAATACTATCAGCTTTTATGATGCTGATAAAGACAGCACCTCTACATACGGTATGTAACTGCGCATTGGCATTCTCTTAAGATGCTGAAAGAAATAAATCATATTTCTCCATTCCTGTTCCCAAGTCAAATGTTTTCTTACATTTGGTGGATCATTTTACTGCAAGAAATGCTTAATTCTGCAGGAGTTAATATTAAGGCTATGTGAGAGGTTATAGACCTACGTTCAGTGTCCAGATTTCAGTTTCCATTTGAAGTCCCCATCTTGTGACTGTCGAATTTGTATCGCCTCACAACAGTGTTGTGTTCGAGACCACCTATTGCGAGACCGATCCAAGACCGGAGCAAATCGAGTCCGAGTCAAGACCAAGACCGGAGAGGGGGCGAGACCGAGTCAAGACCGGGAGGGGGACAATGGGTCCAAGACCGAGTCAACACCGAGACCAGAAAAATGCGAGTCCAATTCAAGATCATGTTTGTAATTTTGTCAAATCGTCACCATAATAAGAGTTCAAAATGTCCAGTATTTCTGTGTTCATATTTCAGAAGAACATATGGATTCTTTAGACATTCAGAATGGTGAAAAAATGCATGCTGAGGGAAAATAGAGCCATTCTACAAATTATTACTAACCCAAACACAGTGGGGAACAATGGGCCTTCTACACCGTCAAAGGGCCAAGGATTTATAAAATAATAATAATAACAACAACAATAAGAATTTTAATTATATTCTTCTTTTCAATTATGTCTGAGATCCGTCCAAGATGTGGAAATCGAGCGGTTCAACCAAGGATTTGGGGTGGGGGAGAACGATCAAGACGGTAGGGGCTGGTCCAAGCCGAGTCACACAGAGACAGAAAAATGCAGTCCCATTCAATCTGTTGTAATTGTCAATCGTCACCATTGAGTTCAATGTCCATATTTCTGTGTCATATTTCAAAGAACATGGACTCTTTGCATTCAAAGTGAAAAATGCATGCTGAGGAAATAGAGCCATTCTACAAATTATTACTAACCCAAAACAGTGGGGAACATGGGCCTTCTACACCGTCAAAGGGCCAAGGATTTATAAAATAATAATAATAACAACAACAATAAGAATTTTAATTATATTCTTCTTTTCAATTATGTTCTGATTTAATCTCTTCAGTTTTTGTTGGAAAGGAAAGGGTTAACAATCCAATCAGGATTTTTTGGGGGTCTTCTCTGGGGAGATAAATCTAGCTAGCTAGGTCAGCCAGTGCCTAGGCGATCAGAAGCTAGATAGAAAGCATCTGCCATTCAACTGTATTAGGGCAACATTTTGGAGTGACAGTGGAATCAACCAATCACATTTTGTTTTGTAATGAATCCCACCCATTACAAGTCAAAATGTGATTGGTTGATTCCACAGTCACTCCAAAATTTGGCCCTAATACATTTGGGAGCATTTTTACAAAAAACATATGGAAACTTCTGCCTTCTCAAAGGCCATCAGGTCACTGCGCAATAGCGAGAAGTAGTTGTGGTCCTCTGTAGCTCAGCTGGTAGAGCACGGCGCTTGTAACGCCAAGGTAGTGGGTTCGATCCCCGGGACCACCCATACACAAAAATGTATGCACGCATGTCTGTAAGTCGCTTTGGATAAAAGCGTCTGCTAAATGGCATATTATTTTTTATTATTTTAGTTTTCCCACAGTCTAGCTCGCTATTTTATGTTGTAGGCTAGTTTGCAGAAGCTGCAGCAGGTGTTATCAAAGAGGATGTTGTTGCTAATTTGTTAGCTTCTCCCTTTTGAAGAATAATTTTCAACAAGAAGTTAACCTTTTACTGCAGTGGGATAAATCAAGGTCACACAGAATGATTCTTGGTAGTTTTAAACAAACCTACTTTGAAACAAAAGTATACACTTCACACACATGGTCCAATTTGTAAGTCGCTCTGGATAAGAGCGTCTGCTAAATGACATAAATGTAAATGTAAATGTAATGGTTATGGGCTTAAAAAAAAGACACCTGTACCATGTCAGATATAGAGTTTAAATGTATTCAATTTTTTGTTTGCATCCCAATATTACACTTTATATGCATCACAGAAGACTGAAATATAACAAAACTGTTAGACATAGAAACACTGGATTTTAGTCAAAGAAAAAAGAAAATAACATTATTATATTAACATGAGTCCAAAGAGGGCGCTTTTGTTTATGGACTGCAGGAAAGGGTTGTTTCAAATTATCATCATCTGGTGAGTGTGTTATTTTTTTGTTTTTGCTCAATCTGATTGGGTGGGCCTACGCCCCTGATGCAAACAGTTCATGATGACTGAATTGCACATCACAAATAGTCCACTAACCAAGACTTCGGACCAAACTTTTTCAATACCTGGTTTGATTGTTGCCTTAGTTAGCATTTACTGGTAGATATCATACGTTGAAATTTCTTTCCTACCGATGACATTCTTCTGTGAGCTGCTCCTCACAAAACCAGTTCAGAGCTTCGCTCTCTTGGTGCCTGCAGATGATATTCCGTCGAAACTAGGCAATGAGTGTAGCGCGCATGTGTTGGCTACTTTGTGCATGATTTCACGATTGTACTACATAATTGTTAAGTAGTATACCTCAACTACATTACTAAAGGCCTAGGTCCAATAGGTTCGCCACTGCGCAAACATCTCTATAATAGATATAGACTGTTCAGGTATTAATGTTTCACGAAAGGCGTGTATATATTTGGCCTGGCGAAACGGTTTTATGCGCTGATAATTGAGTTTTTTACACGGCTGGTCTCAGGAAGAAATTACGAGTCCTCACTCTCCGAGACCGAGTCAAGACCAAGTACAAATGTATCCGACACCGAGACAAGACCGAGACACTCAAAATGTGGTCTCGAGTACTACAACACTGCCTCACAATCATCACACATAACATAGTCGGCACTGCTATCATCCTCTTTTACCGCTCCACCAAATCTTTATAAAACATACATATTTTGGCCCTCCCTTCTCTTTATGTTCAAGTGTCCATTTCACAGCTTTTCCCTTATTGAATTAAGCTCTGACATTGTCATTTTTGCCTCCGTGGATTAATGTTAATTTTTTATGCCCATTCCCAAAAGCATATGGCGATTTGCGTGTGGTCTATTTGGCGCACGTACAGTTAGGCCCTAAAGTTTAGGCTTATGCACTAATGCCAGATAGACTAAAATGATGAACGAAAAACTTCAATGTAGCCTATAGATATAAATTGTATAAGAATTCTACATTTATGGATTCTTAAAGGTATTGTTTTCTCTTTATTCAACCGCAATATGTCATCACTAATATAGACACAGCGATGGTGTGACATTGTATCAACGCATAGAGATTAGAACGCCTTCCATTCTTCAGCCCAGTAATGACTCATCTGTGCAGTGTACGTCAGCCTCTGTTGTTCCTCTATTCATACACTCTTCCTGTTTCTACTGACATTGTACCCTCAGTGTGTGTGTGTGTGTATACAGGATTCAGACCTGTGCAGTAGGCTTATGACTCTTAGTTCCTGTAGTAGCTGTTTGTTGTTCCTGTCTTCCAGCAGTGGAATCAGGTGGTTTAGCTACACTAGTGCACCCATTGAAAATTGGTTTAGTCTCACTGATCTACCACAGGAAAGAACAGGGGTATGGTTCCAAATGGGCATTGAGAGTGTTTTAAAGTAGTTTTGGACCTGTACCGTTTGATCAGTAGTCCATGTCCCTGCTGGACAGTGAAGACTGAGGGGACTGGAAGGGAAGTGCTGTCTGAGGGCAGGTGGGTCACAGACAGGGAAACAGCTGGACGAGCTGCAGGATACAGTACTGCTGGATGGAGGGCTGTGTGTACATGTGTACATGTGTACATGTGTGTATGTGTGTACTAGTGATGTGCGGGTTGACTCATAAAGAGAACAATACCTTTAAAAAATCCATAAATGTATAATTATTGTGCTATTTATAGGCTACATTGAGGTTTTTCTTTCATTATTTTAGGCTATCTGGCATTAGAGTGTAAGCTTTAGGGCATAACTGTCCATGCGCCAAATGCTTTTGGGAACGGGCATAAAATGTAATAATAAAGAGAAGAAAAGTAATGCTTTGGAAAGATTTGGTGAAGTGGTAAAAGAGGATGATGATGATAATTGTGAGGCGATACAAATTTGACAGTCACAAGACAGGGACTTAAAAAGGAAACTGAAATCTGGACACTGACTAGGTGGGCTAAATCAGGTGGGCTAAATTAGGATCACACTGAGTGTTTCTTGGTAGTCTTCAACAAATCTACTTTCAAACAAAAGTATAAATGTATTACATTTTGAGTTTGCATCCCAATATTACACTTTAATATGCATCACAGAATAATAAAATAATATTGTTAAAAAAACATTTGACATAGAAACACCGGATTTTCGGCGTTTTAAAATAAAAGTATGATTATTAATTATGAAATTATGAAAAGTATTAATAACATTCCATCCATAACTCCTGCAGAATAAAACATGTCTTGTAGTAAAATGATACACCAAATGTAGGCAAAATGTTTACTCTGGAACAGGAGTGGAAAATATGATTTCTTTCTTTCAGCATCTTGAGAGAATGCAAATGCGTAGTTAGATACCATCTGTAGAGGTGCTGTCTTTATCAGCGTCATAAAAGCTGATAGTATTTCAACCACACAAAACATGCATCCAAGCTGAACTGAAATATTTTCAGAAATATGTTGGGTCGTTTTCACAGCTTTCTATTTCCTCAAACTGAAAACTGAAATTTTGCACAGAACATTTTTTTTTGTTATTGCATTTTATCCCCTGTCCCTAAACATCTTTGCTCCGTGAAAGAAGCAGAGATGACAGAGAGAACTTGACCTATGTCAACTAGGTTGAAGCATTCATTCTATCATTTCTGACATTATTCTGTTGAGCAAGGGTTTATTTAGTCTTCTGGGGCAACATATAATGACAGAAGAGAAGCTGCATGTATCTAATTATAGACAAGTTGAATACCAAAATGTCTGAAATTATAAGCAGAAACATATCTAAAACAGGCAAAAAATTATCCTGCACCCCCTGTCAAAAAATTGTTTTACCATCTCTGACTGTAGCCTACAGCACATTTTCTATATTAGGGCCGGGTGCGGGCTCACCTGTGTACCATTAATGTGTATGTGTGTGCGTGTGCATTCAGAAGTAGGGCAGTAGGCGATCTCTGGGGAGTGGGGCTCTACCTCTCCAGTCTTCCTCTCCTCCTGCTCCCCTCCACTATCCTCCTCCCCCCTCTTTTCCTCCCCTCCTCCTCTGCCCTATGCACTCACACTTCCTCTGCACAACTCACAGCAGCCCCAGAAGACAAGAGGAAGTTTTTGCATCTCAACTGTTTTATTTTTAACCCGTGCACATACTCCGGTGCTGCCTTGCAGCCTCTGTCTCTCTCGCTCTCACAGCACTCACTAGTCAGTATACCGCAGGCTTAACAGCCACTGAATGTGCGCTCTCTTTTATTCTCACCTCCTGTCTTCTCTTCTCCTGTCTTCTTTGGCTGGAAGTGTTTATCAGTGGTGGTCTCTGACTTCATTCTGTTCCCTTCCTCTGCTCTCACAGCCAGTCAGAAACCACGAAGGAGGGCTCACCACTCAACCAGCTCAGCAAGTCACCCCTCTGCAGTCCGGCTCACCGGGGCTACCAGAGCCAGTCAGAATCCAAGCAGCAGGACAATAACTCGGTGGATTCAGGCTCTGTCCCGGGAACGCCACGGGATGCCCACGAACAGGCGGCTAACGGGGTGCTAGCCCAAATGGACAGAGCCAGGGACAGGGAGAGTCAGTCCCCCCTGAGAAAAGACACTGCCCTGGTGAATGGGGACATGGGAGAAGGGAGCACAGAGCAGAGTGGACATTACTCCCCTCCTCCACACACAAAGACCCATACTGGGGAGGACAGTGGACCTACAGGAGAAGACCCCCAACATGAACAAAGGAAGGAGGAGGGCATTGAGGAGCAGAACGTACCGGTAAGTGTCTGTGGGGGGGGGGATGGGTGGTGTGTTTGTGTCTCTCTAACTCTGTTACTATAAAGCTCTTAAACTGAGTGACCATATAGTTCATGTCAGTAGTGTTGGTGTTAATGCAAGTGTTTACCCTGGCATCACTGTGTCACATTTATTTATATCCCCCATGTCAGATGTCTCAGGGCCTGTGCCCATTAGAGCTATGTGCTCTCTCATCTGACTGACTTCACAGTCTACTGTAACATCACAGCTCCTTTACTGCACAACACATCAGACCAGACATAGCCCCTTCTGCCATGCCAGAGTGTAGCCTACTAGCCTTGTTCTCAGCAGTGTGTCTGGTTCTTATTGACTGAGTCTGCTGGTCATTTCCATGTAGAAGCACCCATGAGCACCAACATGTGAAGTTCATAGGAGCATGTCAAATCTGGTGTCAAATGAATATACATATTTCAACTATTTTATATCCTAAATATTAGGAATAAGGAAAGTATTTGATTTCTGGTCAAATAGATGGAAAGAGGGTCTTAGAAAACATCTAACTGAAATGCATCAAAACACAATAATTTTGAAGTAAAGGCCCCTGCCAACTAATATCAACACATACAGTACCAGTCAAAAGTTTGGGCACGCCTACTCATTCCAGGGTTTTTCTTTATTTTTACTATTTTCTACATTGTAGAATAATAGTGAAGACATCAAAACTATGAAATTACACATATGGAATCATGTAGTAACCAAAAAAGTGTTTTAATATATTTTATATTTGAGATTCTTCAAAGTAGCCACCCTTTGCCTTGATGACAGCTTTGCACACTCTTTGCATTCTCTCAACCAGCTTCATGAGGTAGTCACCTGGAATGCTTTTCAATTAACAGGTGTGTCTTGTTAAAAGTTCATTTGTGGAATTTATTTCCTTCTTAAAGCCAATCAGTTGTGTTGTGACAAGGTAGGGTTGGTATACAGAAGATAGCCCTATTTGGTAAAATACCAAGTCCATATTATGGCAAGAACAGCTAAAATAAGCAAAGAGAAACGACAGTCCATCATTACTTTAAGACATGAAGGTCAGTCAATCTGGAACATTTCAAGAACTTTGAAAGTTTCTTGAAGTGCAGTCGCAAAAACCAGCAAGCGCTATGATGAAACTGGCTCTCATGAGGACCGCCACAGGAAAGGAAGACCCAGCGTTACCTCTGCTGCAGTGGATAAGTTCATTAGAGTTACCAGCCTCAGAATTTGAAGCCCAAATAAATGCTTCACAGAGTTCAAGTAACAGACACATCTCAACATCAACTGTTCAGAGGAGACTGCGTGAATCAGGTATTCATGGTCGAAGTGCTGCAAAGAAACCACTACTAAAGGACACCAATAATAAGAAGAGACTTGCTTGGCCAAGAAACATGAGCAATGGACATTAGGTGGAAATCTGTCCTTTGGTCTGATGAGTCAAATGTGAGATTTTTGGTTCCAACCGCTGTGTCTTTGTGAAACACAGAGTAGGTGAACGGATGATCTCCACATGTGTGGTTCACACCGTAAAGCATGGAGGAGGAGGTGTTATGGTGTGGGGGTGCTTTGCTGGTGACACTGTTTGTGATTTATTTAGAATTCAAGGCACACTTAACCAGCCTGGCTACCACAGCATTCTGCAGCGATACGCCATCCCATCTGGTTTGCGCTTAGTGGAACTATCATTTGTTTTTCAACAGGACAATGACCCAACATACTCCAGGCTGTGTAATGGTTATTTGACCAAGAAGGAGAGTGATGGAGTGCTGCATTAGATGACCTGGCCTCCACAATCACCCGACCTCAACCCAAATGAGATGGTTTGGGATGAGTTAGACCGCAGAGTGAAGGAAAAGCAGCCACCAAGTGCTCAGCATATGTGGGAACTGCTCAGACTGTTGGAAAAGCATTCCAGGTGAAGCTTGTTGAGAGAATGCCAAGAGTGTGCAAAGAATAATACCCAAATATGCAAAGGAGGATATTGCATATTTATATCTTTGTGTACCTATTTAGGATACATCACCATGAAGAGAATGACATTCATATCCACAATTATGCATTTCTGTGTAGTACAGATCAGGGACCCATGATGAAATTCTGTTACCGCAATTCTGTTACCAGGTGTAAATCGACTTAACTGTAGTTAAATAGCCAACATAACATTTTTCAAAGTCAATGCATCATGTCATAGCTGACACCCCATTCTTTCTGCAGACATCTTTGAATGTTAATTTTGAGCAGATATTTAACAAGAGTTCTTGGAAAAAGTGGTCACATAAAACACTGAGGGAGATTTGACTGAAATTCTATTACCACATTTTGCATGTGCACAGTTGTTCCAGTAAATGTGTTTTTGTAAAATGTTCAGTGTAAATTGCTAAAAGTAGTATTTGTTCATAGAGTTGTATGGATTGCTAAACTTTGAATTCAATGGTTTTTGTTTTCCATACATTTTATAGTGAAAAGGCAGAGTCTCAGCACAATTCCGTTGCCCTGCTACTACAGGGGGTTATTTTCGGGACTGGACTGAACAGTGTCAAACGCTTCAGCAGCTGAAGAATTGAGTTTGCACCACAGTAGCCCTGTTGGAGGCCTTGCTGCTGCCTGGCCGGCTGGTATTTATAATTATCTGACTCTCAGATTAGTGTGTTCACTCAGCAGTGAATGAAACCCCCTACAGTGGCTTGCGAAAGTATTCACCCCCATTGGCATTTTTCCTATTTTGTTGCCTTACAACCTGGAATTAAAATAGATTTATGGGGGGTTTGTATCATTTGATTTACACAACATGCCTACCACTTTGAAGATACAAATATTTTTTACTGTGAAACAAACAAGAAATAAGACAAAAAAACAGTCTTTAAGTCATACCACAGATTCTCAATTGGATTGAGGTCTGGGCTTTGACTAGGCCATTCCAAGACATTTAAATGTTTCCCCTTAAACCACACGAGTGTTGCTTTAGCAGTATGCGTAGGGTCATTGTCCTGCTGGAAGGTGAACCTCCGTCCCAGTCTCAAATCTCTGGAAGACTGAAACAGGTTTCCCTCAAGAATTTCCCTGTATTTAGCGCCATCCATCATTCCTTCAATTCTGACCAGTTTCCCAGTCCCTGCCGATGAAAAACATCCCCACAGCATGATGCTGCCACCACCATGCTTCACTGTGGGGATGGTGTCCTCAGGGTGATGAGAGGTGTTGGGTTTGCACCAGACATAGCGTTTTCCTTGATGGCCAAAAAGCTCAATTTGTGTCTCATCTGACCAGAGTACCTTCTTCCATATGTTTGGGGAGTCTCCCACATGCCTTTTGGTGAACACCAACGTGTTTGCTTATTTTTTTCTTTAAGCAATGGCTTTTTTCTGGCCACTCTTCCGTAAAGCCCAGCTCTGTGGAGTGTACGGCTTAAAGTGGTCCTATGGACAGATACTCCAATCTCCGCTGTGGAGCTTTGCAGCTCCTTCAGGGTTATCTTTGGTCTCTTTGTTGCGTCTCTGATTAATGCCCACCTTGCCTGGTCCGTGACTTTTGGTGGGCGGCCCTCTCTTGGCAGGTTTGTTGTGGTGCCATATTCTTTCCATATTTTAATAATGGATTTAATGGTGCTCCGTGGGATATTCAAAGTTTCTGATATTTTTTTATATCCCAACCCTGATCTGTACTTCTCCACAACTTTGTCCCTAACCTGTTTGGCGAGCTCCTTGGTCTTCATGATGCCACTTGCTTGGTGGTGCCCCTTGCTTAGTGGTGTTGCACTCTGGGGCCTTCAGAACAAGTGTTTGTATATATACTGAGATCATATGACAGATCATGTGACACTTAGATTGCACACAGGTAGACTTTAACTAATTATGTGACTTCTGAAGGTAATTGGTTGCACCAGATCTTATTTAGTGGCTTCATAGCAAAGGGGGTGAATACATATGCACACTCCACTTTTCCGTTATTTATTTTTTAGCATTTTTGGAAACAAGTTATTTTTTCCATTTCACTTCACCAATTTGGACTATTTTGTGTATGTCCATTACATGAAATCCAAATAAAAATCCATTTAAATTACAGGTTGTAATGCAACAAAATAGGAAAAACGCCAAGGGGGATGAATACTTCTGCAAGGCACTGTATCTCTACATGGCACTGTATGAGAGCTGGAGGGCTCTAGCTAGAGTGGCTCCTAAATACCATGCTTCATGGCTTATCAATTTATACTGTATCTATGTTGGTTACTTTACATACTTAGCTAGCAGAGAGCAAATAAGGTCATGGACAGTAGCAATTTTGTATATTTTTGATGACCATTACATATTGTAGACAGAGCTAAGGGGACAGTGTGTTTTGTCAGTTTCAGCAGACTGAGACAGAGAAAGTTTTGCACATGGTTTTTCAAGGTGTGAAATTCAGTTTGTTTGGATATGCTGCCAGTAAACACACTCAAAGTTACGGTTGACTAGTAACCAAATGTACAGTCTGTGAATTTTGGGTAGAAAGTTCAAGGAAGGACTGCTTTGGGGTAGAATAGTTGTTATACTCTTGGCATCAAATTCAGTAGATGGCTTGAATGTTAAAGTAACTGTCCAGTGAAAATATCACTTTTAAAATACTCTGTTAACTCATAACCAAATAATGTTGTTCACTCATCTTATACTCATATTTGTGGCCAAAGCATACATTTGAGAAAAAACACTTAAAAAACCCCACCTCAAACTTGTATCTCAAAAAGACAATTTCAATAATACATATGAGAATAAATATTTGTACAGGAAGTAACACAGAGCAACAAAACATTCCACTTGAACAATACTTGTGGGATACACACAATCCATCCATATCAGTGAATAGAGGAAGCGAACATTCATTAATTCTCTGCTCAGCTCTAACAATCAGTTGGGAACATATTCCCTAGTTTCCTGAAGAATCTTGATTTCTGAGTACACTATATATACAAAGGTATGTAGACACGCCTTCAAATTAGTGGATTCGGCTATTTCAGCAACACCCGTTGCTGACAGTTGTATAAAATCGAGCACACAGCCATGAAATCTCCATAAACAAACATTGGCAGTAGAATGGCCTTACTGAAGAGCTCACTAACTTTCAACATGGTACCGTCATAGGATGCCACCTTTCCAACAAGTCAGTTCGTCAACTTTCTGCCCTGCTAGAGCTGCCCTGGTCAACTGTAAGTGCTGTTATTGTGAAGTGGAAACGTCTAGGAGCAACAACGGCTCAAAGTGAAGTGGTAGGCCACACAAGCTCACAGAACGGTACCGGCAAGTGCTGAAGCGCGTAGTGTGTAAAAATCGTCGGTCCTCGGTTGCAACACTCACTACCGAGTTCCAAACTGCCTGGAAGCAACGTCAGCACAAGAACAGTTCATCTGGAGCTTCACGAAATGGGTTTCAATGGCCGAGCAGCCACACACAAGCCTAAGATCACCATGCGCAATGCCAAGCGTCAGCTGGAGTGGTGTAAAGCTTGCCACCATTGGACTCTGGAGCAGTGGAAACACATTCTCTGGAGTGATGAATCACGCTTCACCATCTGGCAGTCCGATGGCCGAATCTGGGTTTGGCGGATGCCAGGAGAACGCTACCTGCCCGAATGCATAGTTACAACTGTTAGGTTTGGTGGAGGAGGAATAATGGTCTGGGGCTGTTTTTCATGGTTCGGGCTAGGCCTCTTAGTTTCAGTGAAGGGAAATCTTAACATTACAGCATACAATGACATTTTAGACGATTCTGTGCATATTCGCCCAACATCAGTGTCCGACCTCACTAATGCTCTTGTGGCTGAATGAAAGCAAGTCCCCACTGCAATGTTCCAACATCTAGTGGAAAGCCTTCCCAGAAGAGTGGAGGCTGTTATAGCAACAAGGGGGGGGGGGGGGCAACTCCATATTAATGCCCATGATGTTGGAATGTTCGACGAACAGGTGTCCACATACTTTTGTTCATGTAGTGTATGTGGGAGACATTCGTCAGACTGTGTTTTATAAACTGTACTGTTACATATTGAGTGGTTTCTCTCACACAAAGCACTCACATAGTCAATAGCAGTTCTCTCTTTGTTCATTGGTGTCATTTCCCTTCTAGCCTTTCATTTCCTCTCCTGATAGGCTCCACCACACCATAGTCTCACACACAGTCTTGCGCAGCTAACCTTGTTGGGACATACAATTCAGTCCCATTCAAAATCCTATTTTCCCTAAACTCCAACCCTAACCCTAAACCGTACCCTTACCTTAACCCAAAAACCAAACCTTATTTTATTTATTTATTTCACCTTTATTTAACCAGGTAAGCCAGTTGAGAACAAGTTCTCATTTACAACTGCGACCTGGCCAAGATAAAGCAAAGCAGTGCGATAAAAACAACAACACAGAGTTACATATGGGGTAAAAAAACAAAGTCAAAAATACAACAGAAAATATATATACAGTGTGTGCAAATGTAGTAAGTTATGGAGGTAAGGCAATAAATAGGCTATAGTGCAAAATAATTACAATTAGTATTAACACTGGAATGCTAGATGTGCAAGAGATTATGTGCAAATAGAGATACTGGGGTGCAAAAGAGCAAAATAAATAACAATATAGGGATGAGGTAGTTGGGTGGGCTAATAACCCTAACCCTAACCCTATCTCCTAACCCTAAACCTAATTCTAACCCTATTTCTAACCTTAACCCTAAACCCCCTAGAAATAGCATTTTACCTTGTGGGGACCAACAAAATGTCCCCAGTTGGTCAAATTTTTCTTGGTATACTATTCTTGTGGGGACTTCTGGTCCCCACAAGTATAGTTAAATACGTCCATAAACGCGCGCACACACACACACTCCGCAATATCCCAATACACACAGGCACACATACTACAGTATGCCCAAACATCACTCCTCAATTAAAAGGAATGAATGAGTCCTTAATTAAAAGGAACATAGAACATAGTTGAAGCACAAATGTTTATTTAAAGTGATACTGTTGTAGATCTCTATGGGGAAGTGTGTTGGCCAGTAAGGTCTGGCCAGTGTTCACACACAGTAGTGCTTTGTCAAGGTCTCCTTCTTGCACCACTATCACCACAAGAGTCCTGTGTGCTTGTGTTTGTATTTGTGTGTGTGTGTGTGACTGGTAAACTAAAAAATAAAAAAAAATAAGATATTGTAAAGTGGTTATCCCACTGGCTATAGGGTGAATGCACCTATTTGTAAGTCGCTCTGGATAAGAGCGTCTGCTAAATGATGTAAATGTAAATGTAAACTCATAGCTATACTTGCAATCACTGCCAGGTATTGTGGTGCAATAATTTCCATGGTAATATAGAATGTTCATTCAAATGATGCTAACTGATGTGGCTCATGTAATGTCAGATGTGTTGAATCAACAAATCACAGCACATATTGATGGGTACACTTCCTACTTTTACTCCCTGCTTTGCTCCTATGGGTACACTCGCAATGGCCGCCAGTCCCTCCATTATGCCATCGTTGACTTTAATGAGGCCGCCCGTTCTATTTCTATGGCAGTATGCGGAGGCCGCGGTAATTTGGCTGGCCATTTACCGTCATCCAAAATTCCATGACTGTCACAGCCCTAATGGGAACCTAGCGCAGCATGGGAATCGAGCACATGAGGACAATGTGGGAGTAAAATATGAATTACACTGTGGGCGTAACCTTCAGGCTCAGAGTTCAACTTCTTCTTCACTATACTCCCAATTGTCTAACCTGTCTTTGAACTGTCTTTGTCCATTATTCTTTTGCGAGAGGCCTTTTTGACCTCCTCTAGTTATAGGAACATCATCTATGTACATACTGTATGCATTTCCCCAAATCATCCCACAGCCACCTGACATAGCTCTCTCTTCTGTGTTGCAGGAGACCAATGAACAGAAGCTGTACAAGATCGCTAATGAGCTCCTGAAGACAGAGAGGGCCTACGTCACACGGCTCAAGCTGCTGGACCAGGTGAGTGTGTCCCGCTGTCTGTCCAGGGTCCTGTCACTTTAGGGTCCTGTTCAGTAGGTAGAAAACATTTTGTAACTGTGACAAACAAGGAGGTATTACCTAAACTTGTCCAATAACAGAATGTGTTGATACGGTGTGTCTTACTGAACACTGACCCAGGTCTACCTCAGAATGAAAAGAAGGCTGTGTTCATTATTATGATCGATTCAGTGTGGTTTAACTCACCTGGCCATGTTGTTGTGCCACCATGCAGGTGTTCTGTGCCAAGCTGATGGAGGAAGCTCTGAAGGGCACGTTCCCCGTGGACGTGGTGAAGAACATCTTCTCCAACATCTCCTCCATCAACACCTTTCACAACCAGTTCCTCCTGCCTGACCTGGAGAAACGCATGGGAGAATGGTGAGCTTCACATGACTAGCCATTGGCCACAGATTCAGTGCACAAACTCACAGATCTCACCTTTGAGAATGCATGAAAATACGATAAAAGGCAATAGCTAAATTACAATTCAGACTGACTCATTCAGAATCAGACTCACTCAGACACAATTACAGTATATTTTTTTTACTTCGATTTTTGGTGGAGATTGAGAGGTGAATCCAACATATAAATAATTAATTTGTAGACAAAACTGGAATTAAAGATAGACTAAGTCAGTGGCACAGATTGAACGAGCCAAGCAGAAGATACATCTCCTCAAATGGTGACATTTGGTTGCGTTGACAACTAAACACAATTCCATACCACCTAAATATCCTCATTACAATTGAAATCAACCAAAGCTTGAAACCCTAGGCCTATTGTATTGTCTGTTTTTAGTTTAATTCTGGGTTGAATTGAAACAATAGCTGTGCAAATGCTATAATGATTGATAAAGTATGGTCACATTTAATTTGCTCTGTTAAACCTACCCTTTGGAATGGCTTTGATACCAACAGTTAAAGCTGCAATATGTAACTTTTTGGGCGACCCGCCCAAATTCACATAGAAATGTGTATTATAGATCTGTCGTTCTCATTGAACGCAAGTCTAAGAAGCGGTAGATCTGTTATGTGCACTATTTCTATGCTTCCCGTTCTTAAGTTACATTTTTACGTCTTTTGCTTTCGGGTTTGTTCACCAGCTTCAAACAGCTGAAAATACAATATTCTTTGGTTATGGAAAATATATTTCACAGAGTTTTAGATGGTACAATGATTCTCTACACTATACTTGCTTATTTTGTCACTTAAACTGAAATTAAGCAAACTATTAAAATTTTAGCATCCAGGAAATGGCAGAGTAACCAGTATTTCATTTTTAAGTGGAGATCTCTCAACAATCAATTCTCAAGATAGCACATTGGTAATAGTCAGTGACAAATATCATAGCTAAACAGGGCTGGACTTGGTTAAAACCCTGGATGGGAGAGCAACGGGATAGCTGTAGATAGATCCAGCCTTTTGTTATTTTTTCTGATAGTGGATATAATGTTGAAGATCTGACATTGTTTTGAAGGTACAAATTCAATATATTTTATACAAGGTTTGTCTATGTTAAAATTTGGTTCACTCTCTAAACAACAGTTTACATTGATGACTTTTTTCAAATCCAATGTATTTTCCACGTAGATTCCACGTCACAATACGTTGACAAATTATGTTAAAACAATGTTGATTCAACCAGTTTGTGCCCAGTGGGTCTCTACTTGGTGGAGTTCCAGGGTTGAGGGATGGTTACCTTATGGTCCCTATCTAACTGGCACCCCCCCCCCTCCCTCTCTACAGGGAGTCTACCCCTCGCTTGGGGGACATCCTGCAGAATCTCACGCCCTTCCTGAAGATGTATGCTGAGTATGTGAAGAACTTTGACAAGGCCATGGAGCTGCTGAAACAGTGGACAGACCGCTCGCCACAGTTCAAAGCCATCATCCAGGACATACAGGTACTAGTGTAGATTCTAAACATTGGTCTGATTCAGAAGTGCACAGGTCTGCAGTTGTGAATTAACAAATTAGTTGTATAGGAATTATATAATTCCATATAAATTCTAGGAATTACATGATCTGAGTTTTGAACTATAGCACCGCAATCATTTACCTGTGGATATACATATATTTGCTGCGAGCCGAGGACTCTCATTTGGTTTACTAGGAGAAAGCCTCAAAATCTATCTATCTGAATATTGATTTGTACTATAAATAGTCATGGAACAATCAATGAATTTACGGTTGTGTCCACTGATCCTGTTGAATGGATATGCCTCAAACAATTTGTGTGGCTTTACTTTTAAGTCTTCAACCTTTAAGTGACAGTGGACTATTTTGCCGTGTGTTTGTCAGAGTCAGGAGGCATGTGGCAGTCTGACGCTCCAACACCACATGTTGGAGCCGGTACAGAGAGTTCCCCGCTACGAGATGCTGCTCAAAGACTACCTGAAGAAACTGCCTCAGGACGACCCCGACCGCCGAGATGCAGAGAGTGAGTACAACACTGGAAATCCACAGGAGTGCTTTTTACTATTCATAGTCGAACACAGTAGAGCAGGAGTCCATGTAACTCATTTCGACAGACTTTCTTGACATTATAATCATGTATAATTTACTTCACATAAAAAATGTAAGACATTCGAATCCTCCAGTGCCCAGTAAAAACATTTGCCTTACGTTGAAAATAAAATAAACTGTTGTTCACAATTGTAGAAATTTTTTATTACAACGGTCAAAGTTAATCATCCCTTCATTCTGTGTTTCTCAGAGTCATTGGACATCATTGCCATGGCAGCCACACACTCCAACAGTGCCATTCGAAAATCTGTGAGTACAGTCCCACTGATCGGACACCACTCTTATAATCTGAAATCAAATTGGGGCCCGTATTCAAAAAGCTTGTCAGAGTAGGAGTGCTGATCTAGGATAAGTTTTGTCTTTAAGATTTTAATGAATAAGACTACATGGACAGGGGGGACCTGATTTTAGATCAGCACTCCTACTCTGAGAAGCTTTTTTGGCTAGTGCAAGAACCCAACCAAACTTTTTGAACCCCTTCCCTTCTCAGGAGAATCTGAAGAAGCTGCTGGAGATCTATGAGATGCTGGGGGAGGAGGAGGACATCGTCAACGCCGCCAATGAGTTCATCAAGGAGGGACACATCCTGAAGCTGGCTGCCAGGAACACCTCAGCTATGGAGAGATACCTCTTCCTGGTGAGAAACTCACACAGACACACACATGCATGCGAGCACGCAAACATACATATACATGCATACACACACACATTTCACTTTATCAGTATACTCAACTAAGTGGAGTCTGGAGCAATATATAGCAAAACAAGCATTAATCACAGGTGTTTCTTTGTTTCCCCCTCAGTTCAACAACATGCTGTTGTACTGCGTGCCCAAATTCAGCCTGGGAGGGCCCAAGTACACAGTGCGCACCCGCATCGGCATCGAGGGCATGAAGGTGCTGGAGACCATCAACGAGGACTACCCTCACACCTTCCAGGTGTCTGGCAAGGAGAGGACTCTGGAGCTGCAAGCCAGGCAAGATCTCAATCCACCCCATACTACACCCTTAATACACCCTATAGAGCCATACATAGATATCTGCCATAGTTCTCAAGATAAGTGTTCTACTCCACCCTATGGCCATATGTATAAAAACTATTTACAGCCATGATTTTCAAAATAGCTGTTAACTGTATTCTACAATCCCATGGCCTATTGCTAACAATATGGATAACTTTACCACCCAAATTCTCTGCAAACCCTATGGGGGCTTAGTGTATGATAAGTGCACTACTACAGCTCATGATAATATAATATGCCATTTAGCAGACGCTTTTATCCAAAGCGACTTACAGTCATGTGTGCATACATTTTTACGTATGGGTGGTCCCGGGGATCGAACCCACTACCCTGGCGTTACAAGCGCCATGCTCTACCAATTGAGCTACAGAGGACCACATAAACAGTAGCGTAACATAACATTCTATAGATCAGAGTCATTGTGGTTACCCCAACCCACAGCTCAGCTCACTACATAGCAGTTACACCACAATCCCACAATTGACAAAATAACTCACTACGGTTGTTGTTTTTCTTTTTCAGCTCTGAACAAGACAAGGACAATTGGATAAAGGTACATAATGACATTCTTTTTGGTTTACACTATCTTATAGTTATATTTCCTGTGTGCTCAGTAGATTTGGGTGTGTATTACTGACAATGTCTCTGTCTGTGTATGTGTGGCCTGCAGGCTTTCCAGGAAACCATTGAGATCTTCCATCAGAAGAACGAGACGTTCAAGTCAGCCTCCAAAGACGTGGAGGAAGTGTCAGTGAGTGTCACCACAATGAACATGACCTCTGACTCCTCTATCACTAGGTCCTGTCTCTGTGCCAATGACCTTCTCGTGTCTGAGCTACATGTGTTTGTATGTATTGTAATCTAGACGGCAGAGCTGGGGAAACGTGCCCCTCGCTGGATTCGGGACAACGAGGTGACAATGTGTATGAAGTGTAAAGAGCCCTTCAATGCGTTGACACGACGGAGACACCACTGTCGAGCCTGCGGATATGTGAGTGAGAAGCGTCCGTTCGACACCATTCTCTCTCTCAGCACCCATTATAACATGTCTATACTATATGCTATACTCAACCCATTTGACGGCTGGCGGTTTGGCTAATTTACCCTGTATGTCATTCATTCAGGATTAGACTGATGTTTCTTCTGTCCCTGTATCAGGTTGTGTGTTGGAAGTGCTCAGACAATAAAGTGGCCCTGGAGTACGACAGCAACAAGATTAACAAGGTGTGTAAGGACTGCTACTCCATCCTGACTGGAGAGGAGAAGGCAGAGGGCAAGAAGAAGGGCATTCTGGAGGTAAGGGGAACACAGACACACACGCACACCTGCGTCTGCATATCTTCTGTGTCTAAACAGCACTCCTCTGTCAACAGATTGAGGCGGCCCAGTTCTCCGGCAGCAGCATCATGTGTGGTTTCCTGCAGCACTGTGAGAAGAACAAGCCCTGGGGGAAGGTGTGGTGTGTCATCCCAGAGAAGGAGGCATTGGTGCTCTACCTCTATGGAGCTCCACAGGTCAGCCACGTCATCTGGATACTGTCAATCACAACAACATGCTCTACCACTGTGAAACACATGGTGTTATGAATGGTTCCAGGAGTTTTTCCCTCACTCTTTGATCTGTCTAGGGAAAACTCCTGGCCCTAGTTATGATATAAATTATCTCTCATGGCCTACCGTTCCATCTCCTCCCCTCTCTCAGGATGTGAAGGCCCAGTCTACTATCCCTCTGCTGGGCTACTCTGTGGAGGACAGCCCCCGGCCTGCCGACCCTCCAGCCAGCTTCCGTCTGTCCCAGTCAAAGTCTGTCCACAGCTTCGTGGCCGAGAGCGAAGAGCTGAAACAGCGCTGGCTCAAGGTGATCCGGGTGGCTGTGACTGGGGAGGTGCCCGAGTCCCAGACGCCCAACGATGCCAACGCCACGGACGCCCAAGAGACAAGCTCAGACAGTACCTAATTGTGTGGTGTGGCATTTAACAGCTGAGGGCCGCCAGAGACGTATGTGCATTTATGCACACACACACACTCCAATGCTACCTTCATGGACACACACAAGAACAATGTGCAAACTCAGTGCTGGATAAGCTGCCTTTCCTTGCCAATCCCCACCTCTCCTCCCAAGAGTGGATTCTACCAATCTTAAACAAGGGTTTGGCTTGGCTCTACCACCAGAGCTGTGCTGGAATGGGAAGAACACAATCCAGTCCAATCATCACTAGAGCGGAGCAGGAGGGAGAAGACCTCAGGACGGTCTCTACCTCCCCCAGAAAGACAGGCACTGTTCAGGGCAACCTGCCTGGGGTATCTTGCACCCTGAGGACCCCAAGGTCCTTAGCCCAAAGATAGTTTACTCAGGCCGTTTAAAGTTTTCTGTCTGTGTAAGTGGGCATTTCCTCTCTCGCATGAGCATGCTTTTCCCTGCGTGAGCTCACGGTTCCTCCATAATATCTGGCATGCTCACGCGAGAGATGGAACAGCTGGCTCTGGTCTACTTATTGTCCCCTCCCGCTCGCCCCATCCCGACCAGAATAAATGAGCCAGTGAGATGTCTCGCCCTGGGGCACCCCCTCCACGAAGCAGGGACAATAAGTAGACCAGAGTGGCCCCACCCCGATCACAAAAAAATGAGGGAGTGGTGTCTTGCTTTCGCTACTGTCTCTGCTCAGCCCTCACTGGGGATGCCTGCAGGCCCAACAGACCTCCTCCAGATTCATAGACGTGGGTCTGCTGATGTGAATCAAGAGGGACTGATTAGAACTACACTGTCTACTATGAATTAGCCCTGTGCACCTGTATATAGTGTTACTCCATTTTCCATGACAGGAAAAATGTCATTTTTATGTACAGAGAACCAATGCTCTCCATATGTTTTGATATCAGAGATGTTGACCCTGTAAAATGGGTACTTCAAAGTTTGAGCAGTGTTTATGATTGAAAAACCTAACATACAGGGTCCTTTCCTAGGATAGTATCATTGGGAAAGTTATCAGTCCTCACTTTTCCAATGATGTAGTTTCACATCACAGTAGCCAAGAGCCATGTTCTACTGGCAATAATATAATCCATCTAACAGAGTTCCTCTAGTACCTGGATCAAAGTCCCAGAAAGACTTAAGCTATTAGTCAGAATAGCAATCGAGAGGATCACTCTATACTTTTCAATTGTCGTAACCCCATAAACTAACGGAAATTATGCAGAAGTACTCACACATCCAGAAAGAACAGGCTTCAATCCAAACATGCTGAGGGATAGCCTTTCCAGCCAGGCAATGCATTATGGATACTCTGCTGCACTTGTCCCAAGCTGGATCAACCTTCGTCACCTTGGAATCTAGGAGAATCCACAACCTCCTCCAAGTCAGTGACCTCTAAAGCAACCACATCCTGATCAGAGTAATGTGTAGAAAAGTGTCAAACTTTACTACTGCTGTGATTGACAATGTATGTCTGTGACTAGAGCCGTTCTACTCTAATCCTGTAGGCCTATAGTATGAATGAAGACACACACACACTGCCATAGGGCAGCATTGAGGATGATGAGAATGAATGGTTGTACAGCTTTAATTACCTAGCCCCACAGCCCCGTTGTAGACATGTATAGATTGATCTTATCTGAATATATGATATACATACAGTGCATTTATATACAGTGGGGTTTTCTTTGTAGCTGACCAATAGGGATGATGTAGACTACTAAGGACCCAGATCCTGTGTCTTACATGGGGACATCATCCCACAAAGCGGCACAATCAGAGGTAAACACGATGACCAGTTGGGGAAAGAAATGTAAATGGTTATTTTTTTAATACTGTAATTAATTGTATTATTTAAAAAGTAATTCATAGAATATGCGCATGATTTAAGAAAAGTAGCACAAAAAAAGTTATCCCTCAAATTGCCATGTGTTCTGTCTCATTCAGCCGAGCTATGTCAACTAACAGATTCACTAAGGTATTGTCCCTCAATGAATACCGTAGTTGTCCCTCATTCTCAAGATGAGTGACTAATCTATCCTATGACTGCAGAATTCATTGTGTTGAATTGAATAGGGTAATGTGCCTATAACCTGTGTTCATACATGTTCTACTGTTCCTCTCCCCTATTCAATGCACCTCTCCAATATACATTCTCTCAGTACTCATACATACAATGCAGAAGAGCACAACAATCCTGTCTTAGGATCTGAATGTAAAATCTGATTTTGTACGTATGTTCACTCTCCCAATCCCACTCCTCCCTTCCCAAGGTTTGAGAATCTACGCACTTTACCATCTTATATAAAGTGTAGCTTGTAAGAAATAAAGCAAGATTAAATATTATGGAAGTGTGTCACTGGTTGCTTTGTGAAGATGATCCTACCTTCATTATGACTTGTTGACCTTTGCAGTTTTGGTTCCCTTTCCTACTTTCTCGGATCATAAGTCACTCAAATGAGTCCCGTTACAAAAGAGGAAACAAATCATTGGTAAATTATTACATTTTAGAAAATTATTTTTTATTTCGCAATAGAAAAAAACAAAAATCCATAACACCAAAAGCGAAGATCAAGCCAAAAACTTTCATTTTTTAAACAAGTAACATTTCATGAGTGTGTTTCTGTAAAGGTCTGTTGTATGTATGGGCCGTTGAATGTTTCAGCTCTTTGGCTGGCGGAGCAGGCCACGGATCCTGCGTACCAGGGCCTGGATGAAGGTGTATCGGGAGCGGACCTGGCTGTACAGCCCCTCCACCTCCAGCAGCTTCCTCTGTAGAGCCTCTCCGAAGCCTGCCCCCATGTCACTCTGAAGCTGGAGACACACCGACAGAGAGGAGTCAGTCTTACTAGGAACTAACTCACAAGACTTAAAGTGTCTGCCACTGAAGCTGAAAACACTCCCACTAATTCCTATACATGCATCATCACCTGTACATATCTTTTCTAGATTGCCATCTGTCGGTGCTATCAATCACCCACTGTTCTAGGTCCTCGGTGTAGACATAGGCCCTGTCACTCTCCTCCCCTTATGACACTTACAGTTGGACTGCAACGTCTCAAGTTAGTATAGTCCAGTCAGCCCCTGATGAAGTAACTCACCTGTTCCAGGTCTTGCTGGCTGACTCGGGATAGGCCCAGGGCACGTCCAAACGAGTCTGGGGAACACAAGAGAAGCACACCAGTAAGAAGGGATGTGATCAACACAACCAGGAAAAAGTCTATCCAGCATTTGTCATGTTCCTGATTTTGGGAGGTCAAAAAAACTAAAACATTCTAAAAAGGTCTGCTATCCCTAGGGGACCGATCTCAATCCATCCCAGGGGGTTAACTGAGCCTGGGTAGAGCTTCACCGTCTGTCAGGCGTGATCTGTAGGCGCTGGCTCCAGGCATTAGGGAGTCTTTGGGGTCTGTGGGGGTGCAGTACAACAGGTAGTACTCCAGGTGGCGCCACATCACAAACAGGCAGGTTTCAATCACATCTGAGGTGTGGTTAGGTCAAGGCATTTCTCATGCTCACCACTTATTATGACAGCATTTTCAAAGAAATGTTCCATTTACTTTACATTTACATGAAGTAGCTACAGCTCAGGGAATTCCATCAATCATACCCAACAACACATCATCCTATAACAGGGGTGTCAAACAAATATTTTCCCATGGGCCACACCTAAAATGTATCATATTTCCTTGCCGTCAAAATATACAAAAAAAGAGTCCTCTATCCATTGCTTTTTGAATTTCCGATGCTCTCTGACTGTCTAGCTTTCGTTTCAATGACTGTTAGCAAGCTGGACAGAGTGAAGAGACTATAAAATGTAGGTCCATTATCATTTCTACACAGTTGATTATTTTCCCACCCCCCAAAAAAATACATGCATATATTTTTTTGATTTACTCAAACCACCTGTGGGCCGGATTGAATGGGCTTGCAGGGCGGATTCAGCCCACATGTTCGACACCCCTGTCCCTAAATCAAAACTACCCCAAAACCACCCCATCTGCAGTGGGGTGGCTAAATGTAATTTAATCTGGCTAAATCTGGTTTAGTCTGGTCTGTTTCAATTTAATATGGTAGGATACAGGAGCAGAGGGCCAGCAGCTTTGCTCTGTTGTTGATGAGCTGAACCAGTCGTCTCTTGGCCAAGAGGCTCCTCTGGACCGAGGAGATCTTCTCTACTCCAGTCCCAGACACCAGGGCCGCGCACAGCTACACACAGGACAGAGAGACGGTGATAGAGAAGAGGGTTAAGGCTGCGGCACTTGTCAATCACCTTGTCAATAGGTTGAGTGAATGTGTGTGTTACCTCCTTGAGCTCCTCAGGGGGCAGCTGCTCCAGGCTCTGCAGCTTGCCCAGAGCTTGTCTATGGCTCTGGTGGAAGCGGAAGAAGTCTGCAGCGCTGTTCTTCAGCAGGAATAGAACCAGGCCCAGGCTGGGCACACGAGAGTACGGGGCTGATGGCAGGGCCAGGTCTGAGGCGGGGCAGGAGAGGATTTTTGTCATACACAGACAGTGGAGATGGAGAGGAACGTGAATTAACCCTGATGGGTGTGTGCAATGTGTAAGTCAAGCCTCTCCAACCCTGTTCCTGGAGAGCTACCATCCTGTAGGTTTTCACTTCAACCCTAATCTAGTGCGCCTGATTCAAATAATTGTCTGGTTAATAAACTGAATCAGGTTAGTTACAACTGGGGTTGGACCGAAAACCTACAAGAGGGTAGCGCTCCAGGAACAGATAGGTGTGAGGCAGGTTAGGGCTGGCTGTTGGTGTCTCAGTGGGAGTTGGGATAAGCATTTCCAATAATAGAACTACCCAGCGAATTATTATTACACACGGCGTAGCAGAAGAGTGTCTAACCTGTGCGGCCGTCTCGGCTGGCTGGTTCGTTGACTGAGGGGCTGAAGAGACAGATGCTGAACTGGGCCTGTGCTGAGCTCTGCAGCAGCAGGGTCTGGCAGTACTCCATGATGTTAGCACACACCTGGGGACAACACAGCAAACAGGTGTTCTTTGACTAACTGCATCTTTCTAGCCTGGTTTCAGATCGGTTTATTTTTTTTAAACCCCTTTTTCTTCCCAATTGTGTGATATATAATTGCGATCTAGTCTCATCGATGCAACTCCCCAACGGGCTCGGGAGAGGCGAAGGTCGAGTCATGCGTCCTCCAAAACATGACCCACCAAACCGTGCTTCTTAACACCCGCCCGCTTAACCTGGAAGCCAGCCGCACCAATGTGTCAGAGGAAACACTGTTCAACTGATGACCGAAGTCAGCCTGCAGGCGCCCAGCCTGCCACAAGGAGTCGCTAGAGCGCGATGAGCCAAGTAAAGCCCCCCGGCCAAACCCTCCCCTAACCCGGACGACGCTGGGCCAATTGTGCGCCGCCCTATGGGACTCCCGGTCACGGCCGGTTGTGACACAGCTTGGGATCGAACCCGGGTCTGTAGTGACACCTCAAGCACTGCGATGCAGTGCCTTAGACCGGCGCGCCACTCAGGAGGCATTTCAGATATGTTTTTGGCATCTTGCCAACTCGTCATGGTCATTGTTACAATAGGAGATGGAAAGACAGCCCAAACAGATCCGGAAACAGGCTACATTGCTTTTCTTTTCACCATTCCTCTATCGTACCTGTTGCATGGCCACCTCCATCTCCTCCCGTCGCTCGGCAGGGTCCCCGGGGGCTGCAATCTCTGCCTGCTTCAGCAGCCGCTCCCTCTCACTCCCCGCCAGACGCCCCAGCAGAGACAGACACTGACGCTAGGGGAGAGGCATGTTGTTACACATCACAAAATACATGATAAGTTACTCAATCCTATCAGGACTAACTGTCCAGCTACTGATGCTGTGATTGTGAAGATCCTGAAATGAGACAGAGGAGAGTGAGGGAGGGTGTTAGTATTGTGCCAGTATCTACCTGAAATCTGCTAATGTGACCCTGGAACTCCAGCAGAGCTGCACTGTTCACATCCTGTCCCTCAAGAGCTCCTACAACACAAACACACAGCCAATCACAAAACTGACATTGGCAAAACCAGCACCAAAATATCACAGTAGTCCCGAACCCAGAAGCGAGGTGTGCCCCAGCTAGGTGTTGTGACTGTCCCTGGTGTGGCTGTATGTGTACCTGGCAGGGCGGTCTTGCTGATGATGCCTGTGAGCAGGGAGAGTTCCTGCAGCGCTCCCATACTGAGCTCCTGACAGCGCAGCAGACCTTGGATAGTGTCGGCATGGACGATCAGCCACTGGAGGACCTGTGCTGCCCCCTGCTGGTGGTGTGTGGTGGTGGAGGTGAGGATGACCTGGAACAGCCTGAGAGCAGGCAGCAGGATCTGTCTGTAGCGGTCGAGAGGGCTGGGGATGAACCCTGAAGGGTCCCTCTGACCAAACACCCTAGAGACAGACAGGGAAAGGGTAAAATATAACCTCAAAACCTCTACATCTACTACATGATTCAGTTAATCAATAAGGATACATATGTGATGGCTACGAAAATAAACGTCCTTTTTGTTCTTTGTGGTCATTCCCAATCTGTAACTCACTCGCTCCATCACACTTTCCAGCCATCACTCTCTCTCTACCTCTTTTCATCTCCTCCTTACCTGTGTGAGTCGCTGTCGGGCACCATGTCAAACACCTGACACTCCACCAGCTGAGCTACCAGACCACAGCGCAGCAGCTCCACAGCCCCCTGGCCTGTCTTCGCTACCCGCGTCAACAGGGCCTAGCAGACAAACAAACAGTGGGTTATATTTAGTGTGTGTGTGTGTGTGTGTGTGTGTGTGTGTGTGTGTGTGTGCGCGCACTCCCTTTTGAGGGTGGGGGAGTGTATGAATATAAACCCTGGCCATCTCACACGTAGATGTAAAAGTGTTTGAGCAGTGAGCGCTGTAACCTTTAAGGTTGGTGTTTGTGTTCCCTCCTTTTCTCACCATCTTGCTCTCGTAGATGTAGAGAGGTTTGAGCAGCGGGGGCTGGGGGCTGAGCAGGGTCTGCAGGGCTGCATCGTCCTGTCTCAAGCTCTCCACCAGCACACGCAGGTAACCACTGTTACACACGTACAGCAGCCACTGGCTCTGGCGGTCTATGGACAGGATCCGGTCCAGCACAGCCAAGGCTAGCATCTGACAAAGAGAGAAACAGAAGGAGGGGAAGTCAGACAGGCAGGCTGGAGTTCAAGATACAGTATTGTATATCGGATTGATTGTGAGTGAGTGCGTGCGAGCGAGTGTGATTTCATACCCTGCCGATCTCATGGCCGTCGCAGGCGTCCCTGCACACCACCTCCATGAGGGCTGTGCCGTAGCTCTCGATGATGGCCAGGTTCTCCCTCTGCAACTTGGAGAAACCATCCTCAGGAGCAGTCAGACGCTCCCACATAGACTTCCCTGCTGGACAGAGAGAAAGACAGACGAAAAAGGTAAGCGTCTTTAGTTTGCTTGGGGTCTGAAATCTCTTCCCGCATTGACCACACGGGTATATCTTCTTTCTTTTGTAAGTGGCTCAGGTAAATGGTTCACTGTGTCAGGAAAACCAATAAGCTGTGGCGTTCCACAGGGGAACGTGCTGGGGCCACTGTTTTTACTGTACATAAACTACATGAAAGATGCTTGTTCGTGACGTCTTTTCCTTTACGCGGATGATGCTACACTTTTGGAGCTTACTAACAGTAGCACATGGCTTACATATTATAAGCTCTCTCTGCACTTAGGTAAAAGTGAGGCAATTATTTTTGGGTCCAGACCTAAATTGTGTAGGTCCTCTGAAATCAGAGGAGTTAGGGGAGAGGTGCTGACTGCCAAAAAGCTCTGTTTGCTACCTGGGATGCATCCTTGATGGAAGCTTGGGGGGGGTGTGAACATGGCCACTAAAGTGCTAAGGTACGTTAATGCTCGCACCAAGTTTTTGGCTAGAAAGTCAAAGCTGCTTGATAAGGACTCCATGAGAGTGCTAGCCACTGCCCTCATTCAATGTCATTTTGACTACGCTAGTACTTAATGTGTTGGGGGCTTATCTAAGCTTCTGAAGGGGAAGCTCCAGAGAGCCCAAAATAACCTGATCAGGTTAGTATTGAAGGTGAGTCCACGTAATCACATAGGAAGGAGCTGCTTTCAGGAACTCAACTGGCTGCCTGTTGAGGCTAGGGTGTCCCAGATTAGACTGGGTCTGGTTTACAGGAATATTTATGGTTCTGCGCCCAGATATCTGACTGATTACTTTCCCCATGCTAGGGATGCACACAACCACAACACCAGATCAGGTGTTGCTAATGTGTGCTTATACAGGCTCAGGAGTAATGCTGGGAAAGGTACTTTTTGTTAAGTTTATGTTTTAAGTATCCCTATACTTCTGTTATTACGGTACTATCACTCTGTTATTAGTACTCCTGTGCAGTAGTCTCACTGGAGACGGACCTGGCCTGAGTGTGATGGTGACTATGTACTGTGGTAATACGGTGAAGTAAACGTTGTTAGACTGGAACATAGTCAGTCATTGTGTCATTTTGAGTTAACATTGGTAGCAGAGGATGGTTAATAACTACAATGTGCCACGAGAAGAGGTCATATGAAAGTTCGGAAAATGAACTTGGAATCTGGACACGGGTTACTAATCTGGACGAGAAAAAGCAAGCACTTGCGATGGTATTGTCGCTCGAGGGGAGAGCGAGAGATACTGCACTGGAAATATCCGTGGAGGATTTGAACAAGGATGACGGTATGAGAACTTTGAGCAGAGCACTGGATTCAGTGTATCTTAATGAAGAGAAAGACCATGCCTACGAGGCATATTCAAACTTTGACGGTGTTACTAGAGACATTTCGGTTGCAATGACGGACTACATAATTGATTTCGAACAGAGGTAACGTTACAATAGGATGCGCAAGTACGACATGGTAGATACTGCCTGTCCTGATGGTAGGACGAAACGGTTGGCTTTGACTGCTTTTTGGTGAAAAGACGTTTGTCGCGCCCAGTGGCGACCCGTCATTCAGGGCAAGAGCACCACCTGTTTTGAGCCCCACATTGGGGGGGGGGGCTTGCCTGTTTTGCATGTTATTATGGCATTAACACGTGTCACATATCAGTTTGCAAACAATGTAATATATATAAATAAATGAGTTAATAAAGCTGCATACAAACATGGTCTCTTTTTTGTTTTCTTGAGTAAGGCAGCTCCAAAACGCAGGTGTTTCAGCCGAGCTCAGAGCTTTCTGTGGTGGTGGGGCAAACAAGCAGAAAATAGGAGTGTTGCGCCTTGATTGGCTCAATGTTGTCACTCATGGGGACACTACCTCACCACCAAGTCCAAGTCCTTAGTAAGGGTAGATATCGAAAATTCAAGCCCTTTGGGTCCTGCTATAGAGTTACATTAGAAGTGCCCTTCCAAGATGGCTCAAGGTCATTGGCCACAGATAAGGCCTCCTGTAGCTCAGTTGGTAGAGCATGGCACTTGCAACGCCAGGGTTGTGGGTTCGATTCCCACGGGGGGCCAGTATGAAAAATGTATGCACTCACTAACTGTAAGTCGCTCTGGATAAGAGCGTCTGCTAAATGACTTAAATGTAAATAAAATCACTTTATATGTACAGTAGCTTTGATTGAACTGATCATATCAACAAATCATTTTTAATCCTTGTCATATGAAGAGAAATAATGAAGAGAAATTATAGATCAAACATATAGGTGCTCATCGGCCATTGGACATAAACATTACACAACAAGTTGGAAATCGCAAATTCAACAATGAGTGGTTTGGAAGGAATCGGTGACAGTGGCTAACTGCAAGCATTGCAACGGGGAAGTCGGGAATAAACGAGCTCAGACTGGGAAAATACGTTTTGAACGGTCATCCAACTTGGAATTGTAAATCCGGCCTCTTTCCCTTTCTTTGATGACAAAATTTGCCACGAAGGACCGCCGTGCCACCTTCCTGTTCAAGTGAGCACATCACAACAAGGTGAGTCCAAAAATGTATTATATGCTGCTGCATAAATTATGTAATATGCCAGGGAGATATGTATACTGTAGCTAAGAAAGTAATACTAAGTGTATGTTGTGTAGTAAGATGTTAGTAGCCCATGTGCCTCACCCTAATAATTTGGTCTATTTTCACCTCTTAATTTCGCCTACTGTTCTGACTCGGTGGTGCACATGTAGCCTATAACCTGTTTTTGATAAATGTAATCATCAAATATTTGAAGAGCTTTCATTCTCTGCTTATATGCCCCCTTTATTTATCCTACGGTTCTGACTTGGTGTACAGGGAGAACTGTTTGAATTCTGTCGCTGTACATTTCAAAAGTGCTGAACAAATAGTTATTGACTACATCCGTCCTGGCTCGCTCATTGTCTTAATCGAAATTACGGATTGCCTCTTATCCGCTTGTCATCCCCTTATGCCATAGTTTGTACATCTCAATTGTCAGTAGAAACCACATTTGTTTAAGCAAGTCTGCGATATCAGCAATGTTTTTTTTTAAGGCAGTAAATGAGGCTGAATGAACTGTTTAGCTGCCAGACAAGGCTCCGCTGATACCACTGCTACACCTGGCTAAGGTGTTGGGACAGCTCTTTTAAGCAGGTCAACATTGACAAGGCTGCAGGGCCAGACGGATTACCAGGACGTGTACTCAGAGCATGTGCTGACCAACTGGCAAGTGTCTTCACTGACATTTTCAACATGTCTCTGACTGAGTCTGTAATACCAACATGTTTCAAGCAGACCACCATAGTCCCTGTGCCCAAGAACACTAAGAGAACCTGCCTAAATGACTACCGACCAGTAGCACTGACGTCTGTAGACATTAAGTGCTTTGAAAGGCTGGTCATGGCTCACATCAACACCATTATCCTAGAAACCCTAGACCCACTCCAATTTGCATACCGCCCCAACAGATGATGCAATCTCTATTGCGCTCCACACTGCCCTTTCACACCTGGACAAAATGAACACCTATGTGAGAATGCTATTCATGACTACAACTCAGCATTCAACACCATAGTGCCCTCAAAGCTCATCACTAAGCTAAGGATCCTGGGACTAAACACCTCCCTCTGCAACTGGATCCTGGACTTCCTGACGGGCCGCCCCCAGGTGGTAAGGGTAGGTAACAACACATCTGCCACGCTGATCCTCAACACGGGGGCCCCTCAGGGGTGTGTGCTCAGTCCCCTCCCGTACTCCCTGTTCACCCATGACTGCACGGCCAGGCACGACTCCAACACCATCATTAAGTTTGCAGACAACACAACAGTGGTTGGCCTGATCACCGACAACGATGAGACAGCCTATAGGGAGGTGGTCAGACACCTGGCCGTGTGTTGCCAGGATAACAACCTCTCCCTCAATGTGACCAAGACAAAGGAGATGATTGTGGACTACAGAAAAAAAAGAAAAGAGGACTGAGCACGCCCCCATTCTCATCGACGGGCTGTAGTGGAACAGGTTGAGAGCTTCAAGTTCCTTGGTGTCCACATCACCAACGAACTATCATGGAGGACTGGCGTGAAGAGGGCAAGACAAAGCCTATACCACCTCAGGAGTCTGAAAATAGTTGGCATGGGTCCTCAGATCCTCAAAAAGTTATACAGCTGCACCATCGAGAGCATCCTGACTGGTTGCATCACCGCCTGGTATGGCAACTGCTCAGCCTCCGACCGCAAGGCACTACAGAGGGTAGTGCGTACAGCCCAGTACATCACTGGGGCCAAGCTTCCTGCCATCCAGGACCTCTATACCAGGCGGTGTCAGAGGAAGGCCCTCAAAATTGTCAAAGACTCCAGCCACCCTAGTCAGACTGTTATCTCTCAAACAAATCTGCTTCTGAGATATTTATAGTTGAATCTTTAGGATCTGCTGTGATTGATACTGCATGAACACACACAGTGTGTGGTGCAAAATGGCTTGATAGCTATGTCAGTGAACTAAATATGAAAGTACAAAATATGATTGACACACCAAGCAACAGAGCGTTCAAATTTAGAGATGGGAGAGTCGTCCATTCTACCAAGAGAGTCAAGATACCAGCAAAAATTGGTCAGACTAAGTGTCACATTGAAAACAGAGGTGGTCCCTGCAGATATCCCCTTACTATTAAGCAAGGCTTCCCTCAAGAAGGCAGGGGCTGTACTAGACATAAGAAAATGACAAGGCAGTGATGATTAAACAACCAGTGACCCTTGAACTTACTACCTCAGGCCACTATTGTGTAAACATTTTAGACAAAGACATCACAGAGTCCATGTAAAAATGTGATTCGGACGGACACAGAGCACATGGAGATTCTGACAGTCAGAGAGAACATGACCACAGAGGAAAAACAAAGTATTGTTAAAACTTCAGAACAGTTTGGACATGCTACAGTTGACAGACTTCAGAAATTACTCAGCAGTTCTGGGAATAATGATGAGAGTATTTCCATTCTACGGCAGATAGTTAACAGTTGCGAGACATGCCAGAAATACAGCAAACCTAAGCCCAGACCAACTGTTGGTTTGCCACTGGCTTCCAAGTACAATGAAACAGTGGCTTTAGATCTACATGAGCTAGGACCAAGTGTGTGGTACATTCACATAATCGACCACTTCACACACACACTTCTGTGCTGGAAGCATTGTGAATACAAAAGAACCCCAGTGAAATTGTCAAGCTCTTCATTCATTTCTGGATAAGTGTGCATGGCCTGCCCCAGAAATTGTACAGTGACAATGGAGGAGAATTCAATAATAATGAAATAAGAGAAATGGCTGAGAAATTCAACATCAAAGTAAAGACAACTGCTGCTTACTGTCTATGAAGCAATGGACTTCTGGAGAGACATAATCAAACACTCACAGAGATCATGCTGAAAGTGAAACAAGACAATGGATGTGACTGGAAAACAGCCCTAGATTGGGCTTTGATGGCAAAAACTCACAGCCCAATGTTCATGGCTACAGCCCATACCAACTAGAGTTCGGGCAGAACACTAATCTTCCCTCTGTACAGATTGACAAGCCACCAGCACTAGAAGGGACCAGTGTGAGTGCATGGGTGGGACAGCACCTTTCAGCACTACACGCAGCGAGAAAAGCGTTCACTGAAACAGTGTTCAGAAAGAATTCGACCCACCGATGAGAAGTACAGGACTGGAAACAAAGTGTACTACAAATGAGTTAACTGTCAAGGGTGGAAAGGACCGGGAGTAGTCATTGGCCAAGATGGTGTGGTGATATTTGTGAGGGTGCATTAACTCAAGATTGCAGAAAGTAAATGATCAACAAGATGGAGGGGTTGTTGCTGAGAATCAGCCTCCTACTGAAAACGACACATTAACAGACAAACCTACCAGATGTCGCATCCAATGATATGGACACTGAAACTGACACAGGAAATGGAGCAGAGACCTTGTACCATGACACAGCTAATACTGTTGAGGGTTCAAATAAAGAAAATGTTCAACAACAGCAACGTGTTAAGATAACAGTTTGTCCAGTTTTCAGATTGGAACAACCATGTTAAATACATGGACAGAGAAAGTGGTATTCCACACACAGCAACAGTCATTGGACGAGCAGGAAAAGCCAAAGGAAAACACCAGAACTGGTACAACTTGTAGTACTCTGAACCAGTTACACTTTCTGGTACAACAGGGTCAGCTGACTGGTCACTAGATAATCTCAGAATTGAACCAATAGAAAATTGAGAAAAACTGAATGTACTTGAAACAAAGGACGTGTCATTTAACTCAGCTAAAATAGCTGAGCTCAGTAATTGGAGGAAGAATTGAGTGGGAGGAAGTCAAAGACATCAGCCAAAAATGTGTCTCAACAAGGTGGGTGTGTACCCTTAAAAGAATCCTTAACTGGACTAGTGCCAAAAGCACATCTAGTGGCTAGAGGTTGAGGAGCTGGCTGCTAAAGAACTCCCAAAAGACTCACCGACATGCGCCTCAGTCACTCAGATTGCTGCTGACAGTGATCTGCCATAAAAAATGTTCACTTCATTCTATAGACATAAAATCTGCATTTTTGCAGGGAACAGAGCTGTCAAGGGACATTCATATCTGACCTCCACCTGAAGCTAAGAGCGAAGGAACACTGTGGAAACTAAAAAAGTGTGTGTATGGCCTGGCAGATGCAACACTCTACTGGTACAACAAAGTCAAGGCAACAATACTGAGTACAGGTGGAAACATGTCACAAGTGGATCCTGCAGGCTTCTATTGGCTTGATCAAATTTGACTGGAGTACTTTCCTGTCATGTTGAGGACTTCATCTGCGGTGGCTCACAGACCTTTGCTACAACTGTGATTCCAACTGTGGTTCCACACCTCAATGCGGTTTTCCTGGTCAGCCACAAAGGAACAGCTTGCTGACTGACTAAAAAGGGAGCATCTGGTCTTGTGCTCCTAAAGGCACTCAGTAATGGAAAGTGGCAGCTTGAGTAATACAAATAAAAACTTTGTCACACAACCCTTTTGTAAATGGGGAACTTAAATAATACTTGGGACATCATTATTTTGTTGAGGTTTCATTTGTCTTTAAAGAAAAGTGGGAGATTGTTAAGTTCATGTTTTAAGTATCCCTATATTTCTGTTATTACGGTACTATCACTCTGTTATTAGTACTCCTGTGCAGTAGTCTCACTGGAGATGGACCTGGCCTGAGTGTGATGGCGACTATGTACTGTGGTAATACGGTGAAGTAAACGTTGTTAAACTGGAACAGTCGTTGTGTCATTTTGAGTTAACACTTTTCTTGTATACAGGAGACTCCGAGTGGAATGAGCTGCCTCTGCCCATAAAAGCAACGTCCTCTCTGGGCAGCTTTAAAAAAGTTGTGATGTCATCGGCCTCCCCCCTTGCTTGAGGAACAATAGAGGAGCAATTGAGAACAAAAAAAGAGGAAAGCGCCCCCCCACTTGCACTATGTCATGATTTCAGCATGTGTATTTCCCACCGTAAAGCATGGAGGAGGAGGTGTTATGGTGTGGGGGTGCTTTGCTTGTGACACTGTCTGTGAATTATTTAGAATTCAACACACACACACCAGGGTTTTTCTTTATTTTTACTATTTTCTACATTGGAGAATAATAGTGAAGACATCAAAACTATGAAATAACATTAGAGTATGCAAAGCTGTCATCAAGGCAAAGGGTGGCTATTTGAAGAATCTCAAATATAAAATATATTTTGATTTGTTTAACACTTTTTTGGTTACTACATGATTCCACATGTGTTATTTCATAGTTTTGATGTCTTCAATATTATTCTACAATGTAAAAAATAGTAAAAATACAGAAAAACCCTTGAATGAGTAGGTGTGTCCAAACTAGTGTGTGTATATATACAGTGTACAACCGTGTTGCCAAGCCATCTTGTCACATTTTACATTTTAGTCATTTAGCAGATGATCTTATCAAGAGCGACTTACAGAAGCAATTAGGGTTAAGTGCCTTGCTTAAGGGCACGTCGACAGATTTTTCACCTTGTTGGGTCGGGGATTCGAACCAGCGACCTTTCAGTAACTGGCCCAACGCTCTAACCACTAGGTTACCTGCCGCCACAAGAGGACCACAATGTAAATTCCCAGACTTAACTGTGTGTTATCCTCTATGATTTTACTCATGTACAAGCAAGTCTTTTTCCAGTTTTATGTGTACTTGTTTTTAAAATGGTCTAATTAGTAAACTAAACAAACGAAGGTTTGCAATCAATGACCAGAGAAAATACACACCACTACATAGGGTCCTAAAATTGATAATTCTCAAAGTTTTCTGTGTCTGCCCAGCAATACTGTAGCTCAACTGTACCTTGCTGCAGTGTATCTGGCTCCTCAGGTTTCTGGGCAATCTGCAGGTAGTAGAGCAGAGAGCCGTACAGGTGTGCACGCAGACGCTGGAATCCACCACCCGTACAGAGGATGAAGTCAAGTAGCTTCCTCAGGATCAGGTGCAGAGCAGAGTTAGCGATGGAGGCGAAGCCCGACGACGAGCCTCCCTCCAGCCCCGCCCCCTGCTGCTGCTCCGACAGCACCGATTGGCTGAGGTGGGCGGTGAGGGTGAACACGGCCCCGGCTACTATGGGCATCAGCTCTCCTGCAGCATCCTCTGACAACACCTGGGAGAGACAGGAGAACTTAGACCATTTTACAGAGTTGCCATACTCACACACAAGCTCTCTCCCACACACACAGCCTTGTATAACTAACCTGGTGGGGACACAATCCAATTCAAAATCCTATTTTTCCTAACCCTAAACCTAACCATAACCCAAAGACCTAACTTTAATCCTAACCTCTAACCCTAGCTCCTAACCCTAAACCTAATTATAACCCTAACACTAATTATAACCTTAACCCTAAACCCCCTAGAAACAGCATTTGAACTGGTGGGAACTAACTAAATGTCCCCAGTTGGTCAATTTTTTGTTAGTTTACTATTCTTGTGGGGACTTCTGGCCCCCACAAGTATAGTTAAACACGTGCACACACACACACCTTCTCGTGCAGGTCCAGCAGCAGGTCTCTGATTATGAGCTGTCTGTCGTCTGCAGGAATGAGGTCTGCAGGGCAGGCGGTGAGCAGGGTCTCCACCAGGCCTCTCCATGACTGCAGCGCATGGCGCTTGGCACTCAGGCTCCGACGCACACGATTCCTCTCCACCACCTGCTGCAGGATGGAGTTCACCTCCTGGGGAGTGCATGCACACATCAGGGGTTTATTCAGTTAGGTGAAAGAGTCAGAACGTTTCTTTCTGAATGTTCTGTAACATTTCATGCTCTTGAACAAACTCCTGAGCACCATTTTGCAAGGAAAATACCATACTACTATACTCTGAATCAGGGGTTTTCAAACTTTTCTTGCCCAGGGATACCACCCAGGCAAACTGGCAACCCCCATCATGTTAGCAAAAATGTAATAAATCATGTTTTATCATTAGGTGAATGATAATAGCAAGTAGAAGTAGTCAACATTTTAAAATGAATAGATTTGGTAGAGTTTCATTATTTTGACCTCCCCACCGTTTATTGGAAGAGGAAGTGTAAACTCTAACACAGTATATTAGCTAGAAAGGTATCTTGGCAGCATAGAGAAAATGTTGCAGTTGTAAAACACATTTTCTGCAATTCTATACATTTTTCTATTGAACCGAGAGTGCATTTTGTAAAGCAAATTTCCTGCAAGCCTATGCGTTTTGCCATAGCTAATGCTGTGTTCCTCTGCTAAAACATAACAAAATCAATGGACTGTGTTAGTCCCCTCCCTGCCCCAGATTCTACATCTGCATTGCTTGCTCTTTGGGGTTTTAGGCGGGGTATCTGTATAAGCACTTTGTGACATCTGCTGATGTGAAAAGGGCTTTATAAATCAATTTGATTGATTGCGCTAACACTAGTTAGCATTGGATTGTGAAGCTACCTCCAACTTCCTTCATACTGGACGCAGAGACAAAAATGGTATCCATGATGGTATTCTGTTACAGCTTGCAATATTTATCAAATTATAATTTTTCACATAAAGAAATCCCCAGTACCGTAGACCCCAGTTTGAAAACCCCTGCTCTGAATCATACTGCCAACACTCACCTCCATCAACAGTGGCCTCTGTCCAATGGCTGCCATTCCCTGGAGGGCGTTGACCTCTGCTACCAGGACTCGATGGAGTAACTGTGGAGATTACGACATCATCATAAAACTGATATAGTAACAAAATGCTTGAAAACAAGGTTGTGTTACATACAGAATGCAAACTGAAAGCCAGGCACACCTTGACATTGCAGACGGTGTGTCCATGCTCGTTGACATGCTCGCAGTTGGCGATGACCTGCTCGATCTGAGTGCGCTCAAAAAAGTCCAGCTGCAGCAGCTCTGGCACGTCCTGGCTGAAGTCAATGGCGTCCAGCACACTGAGGAGCTTCCTGCGCACTGATGACGTCATCACACAGGGACAGGGGATGAGTACATGATAAAATGATATGGTACGGTACAACTAGCTAAACAAGACAAGCTCTTGACTTTCGCAACTTGTAATACAAAGGGCCTAGTGACAGATTGTATATGATTCACAGTTAGATAGGTTTGTGTGAAGAACTAGAACTAACCTTTGGAGACGGTGTCAAAGTGCAGGAATCCACTGACAGATCTGCTCTCCTCCATGCCAGTCTCCCCATCCGCTGATTAAAGAAAAATATCAACTGTAAGGCCTTCTGCTTTTTCACTTTTACTCATATCCCATTTACATCAATGAATAACAACTCATCCCAATGAATTGCAAGTTCTACAGTGTGTGTGTGTCCTAGTTGTTACCTGCGTGCTGAGTGCGAGGCTGGTCATCCAGCAGCAGGTTGAGGATGCGCTGGGTGTGTGAGCGCTGGCGGTTGAGTGATGTCACTCGGAGTTCGATGGCCGCTGTCTTCATGAGCCAGGACATCTGGGACAGGGCGGAGATCTCATCATCTGAGAGGGTAGTGGGAGGGACACAGGTTAGAGAGAATAGTGTGAAACCCTGAGTAGTTTCCTTCCTCTCTGGCAGCTCAGTTAAGAAGGACGACTGAGTATTTGTAGGTGTACAAATGCCCCCATAATACTTCCACCTATCCTGTGTTTTCAGATTCAGTGCAGATGAAAGAGAGGAGACCAGGATAGGAAGTATATTGAGATGCCAGTGAGGAGCTCACCTGGCAGGATGAAGGGCAGGTGCTGCAGGTGGGTGAACAGAAAGTCCTGGCTGGTCCTCAGATAGCGCATGGTGGGGCCTGAGGTGTCCGAGCACACACACAGCTGGTAGATCACCTGGTAACAGAGCTCAGCCAGGTGTGGGGCCTGGCTGGTGAGCACGGGACCCGAGCGTCTTTCACTGCCTCTCTGCAGCAGACTAAGGATGGCATGCAGGCAGCTCCGTGGGCACCCCAGCACACCTGATACACAGATAGAAGATTTTGTCTTGCCATCAAAAAGGCAAAGAAATTAATAAACATGCACTTTTTACAAGGGCAAGTTGATGGTGTCATGAAAGCCGGGGTCATACCAAACAGAAGAAAATAAACTGAAACAGTGAGGGACTACCTGAACTTGTCCAAAAACAAAACGCTAGTTTTAATTTTCCGTTGCAAAACTTTTTTCTACAGTGTGCCCTAATGAATACAACCCTGATGTAAAGGAAAGAGCAGGTACTGACCTGCGTCCTGCAGGTTGGTGGAGGAGATGGGCTTCTTGACCTCGTAGCCCAGCAGGTAGAGAGCCAGGTTGGGGGTCTTCAGCTCCAGGGAGGTGATCAGCAGGTTCAGGATGTGGATCTGGGTCTCGTGGCGGATCCTCGCTTCCTTCTTTGCTGGCTCAGAGTCTGGGGGGCAGAGAGAAGAGAGGTGGTGAGTTGGAGTGACTGAACGGATGTGTTGAGCAAAGTGACTGAATGGGCTCAATCATTAAGAAATGCAACGGCCATGACTGAAGCCAAACTACAGTCACTCACCCTTCTAGATAACGTGAAAACAGTCTAACCAGGTCGTGTCTTGAAGTTGTCTAGGCTAGCCAACTTCTTTCGCCAATTAGCTTCAGCGGCTGTTGAGCAACCGTGGCAAAGTTGGTTTGACATTGGATAGCCTATCTCTGGGGCTAGTCAATAAATTACACAATGTAAATGGGACAATATTTTCATGCTGCACATCTTTTAATTGTCACATGAAATGCTTTCAATATTTGTATATGAATTTCTACAATTTATAGTTGTTTGAGGTTAAGTCATTGAAATTTGGAGCTATTATTTGAAAATATTGTCCAATGTACATTGTGTAATTACTGATGGTCCCTAACCAGCCCCATAGGGATATCGAATGTCAAACCAAATTGACCATGGGCATTACGATCGGGTCACGTGCAGCTGCATTCCGAATTGATGATTACTTAGGTGCTGCCAGTTGTGGGCAGGATTGAAATACAGCTTAGCTCTCAGCATAGCTTTCACAGAGTTTAACAAACAAAGGGAAAAAAGTATTTGATCCCCTGCTGATTTTGTACGTTCGCCCACTGACAAAGACACGATCAGTCTATAATTTTTATGGTAGCTTTATTTGAACAGTGAGAGACATAACAACAAAAAAATCCAGAAAAACGCATGTCAAAAATGTTAAATTGATTTGCATTTTAATTAGGGAAATAAGTATTTGACCCCACTGCAAAACATGACTTAGTACATGGTGGCAAAACCCTTGTTGGCAATCACAGATGTCAGACGTTTCTTGTAGTTGGCCACCAGGTTTGCACACATCTCAGGAGGGATTTTGTCCCACTCCTCTTTGCAGATCTTCTCCAAGTCATTAAGATTTCGAGGCTAACGTTTGGCAACTCGAACCTTCAGCTCCCTCCACAGATTTTCTATGGGATTAAGGTCTGGAGACTGGCTAGGCCAATCCAGGACCTTAATGTGCTTCTTCTTGAGCCACTCCTTTGTTGCCTTGGCCGTGTGTTTTGGGTCATTGTCATGCTGGAATACCCATCCACAACCCATTTTCAATGCCCTGGCTGAGGGAAGGAGGTTCTCACCCAAGATTTGACGGTACATGGCCCCGTCCATCGTCCCTTTGATGCGGTGAAGTTGTCCTGTCCCCTTAGCAGAAAAACACCAAAGCGTAATGTTTCCACCTCCATGTTTGACGGTGGGGATGGTGTTCTTGGGGTCATAGGCAGCATTCCTCCTCCTCCAAACACAGCGAGTTAAGTTGATGCCAAAGAGCTCAATTTTGGTCTCATCTGACCACAACACTTTCATCCAGTTCTCCTCTGAATCATTGGCAAACTTCAGACGGGCCTGTATATGTGCTTTCTTGAACAGGGGGACCTTGCAGGCGCTGCAGGATTTCAGTCCTTCACGGCGTAGTATGTTACCAATTGTTTTCTTGGTGACTATGGTCCCAGCTGCCTTGAGATCATTGACAAGATCCTCCCGTGTAGTTCTGGGCTGATTCCTCACCGTTCTCATGATCATTGCAACTCCACGAGGTGAGATCTTGCATGGAGACCCAGGCCGAGGGAGATTGACAGTTCTTTTGTGTTAATTCCATTTGCAAATAATCGCACCAACTGTTGTCACCTTCTAACCAAGCTGCTTGGCGATGGTCTTGTAGCCCATTCCAGCCTTGTGTAGGTCTACAATCTTGTCCCTGACATCCTTGGAGAGCTCTTTGGTCTTGGCCATGGTGTAGAGTTCGGAATCTGATTGATTGATTGCTTCTGTAGACAGGTGTCTTTTATACAGGTAACAAGCTGAGATTAGGAGCACTCCCTTTAAGAGTGTGCTCCTAATCTCAGCTCGTTACCTGTATAAAAGACACCTGGGAGCCAGAAACCTTTCTGATTGAGAGGGGGTCAAATACTTATTTCCCTCATTAAAATGCAAATCAATTTATAACATTTTTGACATGCGTTTTTCTGGATTTTTTTGTTGTTATTCTGTCTCTCACTGTTCAAATAAACCTACCATTAAAATTATAGACTGATCATTTCTTTGTCAGTGGGCAAACGTACAAAATCAGCAGGGGATCAAATATTTTTTTCCCTCACTGTAAACCCAACCCAAGGAAAACTGTTACGGTACCCTTCATTCTGTGACATGTAATTTGTTCCTATAATCATCTCACAAATCTAAGTTTTGGACGAGACTGACTTTATAACCGACTTTATAACCAAAATTATCCTATTTTACACATTGTAGTCAATTTTGACACTAGAATAAATGTTTCTGACTCATATTGATGCAACAAAGGCTGTTTTTAAAACGAGAAGTTGCTTTTTAGGGGCAGTTGATCTTTACATGGGCAGGCTGGACATCTTTCACACTCGGAGATAAACATTGTTGATAGAATGAGAATGTGACTCACCGTCTCCTTTCTCCAGTCCCTCCTCGGCCCCCTCATTGTCCAGACACTCCACGAAGCCAGCCATCAGCTTGTCACTAACAGCCTGGTCATGTGTGAAGTCTCCCACCAGTCTGTTCTGGATGTTGGGGTAGCGGGCAATCCTCTGCAGTATCTTAGCACTCTGGAAGGCCGCCTCTGGGTTGGAACTGCTGTGGTATAGGTACCTGCCAGGGACAAACACAAACCAGGGAATAAGAAGTGGAGGTAAAGGGGGGGTATGGCCTGACTTCAAGCTTTGGGCCTGAGACTCAAAATTGGGCTATGGACCTTTCTGGGCTAGAGAGGGAATTCTACTGTATTGTGTTCATTTGACAGGGACATTGTACTTCAACTTCAAAGTCAACATTTCTGCGTATGTCCCAGATTTAGCTAAAAGTCTCCTCATGTGTAGACCCTGGTCAGATGAAGTCGAGGTGAGTGTTCCAGTACCTGGCGATGTTGACGATGTGGTCAGCCCGGCGGCTCTGGGCACTGACTCCCTGCAGGAGCTGCTCCAAGGGGGAGACGATGAGGGAGGCCTGGCTCTCCCTCAGCAGGTCCATGAACACCACCTCTTTCTGCAGGGCCAGGTCCAGCAGACACAGGCAGTGCAACACCGCAGACTCCAGCTGCTTTTTACCTGCAAGTCGGACAGTCATAGAACCAAGAGAGATGAGTGGATGTAAAGAAATGTAATCTCGAGATACCGGAAATGCGAGCCACCCAACAATGTAACCTAAGAAAATACTGGAATGTTCCCCTCCTTGTACAACGCTAACAGGGAAGTCAACAGGGTAAAAACAAAGAAAAGAAATGAGAGACACTATTGGCAGCTATAGCAGGTGTGTGTGTACTGACCAGGGAAGGGAGCGTAGGTGTCTAGCTGGAGCACGCCCTCCTCCAGCAGGCTGAGGCAGAGGGTGAGGGTTGGCGAGTCGTTAAGCAGGTGGAACATCAGGCTGTGGCCGGGAGGCTTGTGGGCCAGCACCTGCTCCCCCTGCAGCTCCACTGTTTCCTGGACAAAGTCTGAGGGCTGGGGCTCGTAGTCCCGCAGCAGCTTGTGGAACACCTCCAGAACAGCATCTGCTACCTCCCACTGATAGAGGGCATAGGTGGTGGAGAGGTGATGGGAGAGAGGGGGTGGGGAGTGAGACAAACCTGAAGTAGGTATTAGTAGCAAAACACACTTCTAAACATTCTTTAATGGCATCTGAGAGCAAGTGCTGACATGGGTTGTAACGAATTTCACTAGCGAAGTGTGATCCTCAACCACAGAAACTGGTCTTATCCAGTCTAATGTCACCAAAAAGGGACCTTAACTGTGGAGAGATTCCCGTACCTTCTCAGCAGCACGGCGATAGGCTCTGGTGGGGAAGGGAAGGAAAACGGCGTCGCGCAGGAAGGTCAGGTAGGGCTGGAATCCTGGCGCACGGAGCCCCGCCCCCAGATTGACGGGCAGGGCGCTCTCGACCAATGTGCTGATGAGCTGACAGAAGGCTCTGGTCAGAGGATACTCCTCACAGCTCGACTCAATCTCATTCAGCTCCACCTGAGAGGGGCAAGGAGAGGGGTTACAAACCGATACATGTGTACAAGCAAACAACGTACGCACCATATGCAGGCAAAATCTCACCTCAATCCCAGCAGCTTGTTTCTGTCCACGGGCCCGCACTGTCTGAAGAATCTGGAGAGAAATGAGCAGAACATGAGCTTTGGCACTTCGTAAGCGAGCCTGGCAGGTCAGACATGACCAGACCAACACCTCAGAGGCACTATCAATACTTATGCGCGAGACAAGTGTTGTTACAGCTTTTCATTCTTCCTCACTATACACCTGACTTACCTGAGTGTATTCCAGTGACTGCCAGAGAGAGGCGGCTATCTCCGGAGACTTGCCGAAGGCGGCCAGGCAGAGCAGGAGCTCCCCCTTGAGGACAGGCTGCACACTGCACTGCAGCAGCCCCAGCATCACCACAGCCGGGGTCCACTGAGGGTGCTCACACAAGGCCAGACGGGCATTCTCACTCTGAAACACAGACACACACAAATGAGAGATAGATCACCGTGGCAAATGAAGGTCCATTAAGATAGCTTAATTTCAATCCCTCCTTGTGACTGTGACCCCCATGTTTGTTTTAACATGCTTTATGTGCTTATTGTCTGTCCAGACCGGTTTTCAGCAAACCACTTCATACCCAGGTAATGATGGTGCAGAGCAGCTGCAGGAAAGAGGTCAGGCCGTCCAGCTCCCTCTGTGTGATGCCCCTTATTGGCGGGAGGCGGTAGTGCGTGGCATCTGCGTTGGGCAGATCTCGGCGCAGGTTCTCGTGGTACAGCATGAGGGAGTGGAAGAAGTGCTCCCAGGACACAGGGCTGCCTGTCACCTGAATGTTATCTCCTAAAACAAACAACACACAATGAAGTCCAATGTATTATCTGATGGTGTCCTTAAAAAAAAAAAAAAAAAATCAGTGAATGAAGGCTGCATTTATCTTTAGCTAGAGAACAAGAAAGGACCTAGTACGGAGCCCTGGGGAACACCATTAGTGAGAACATTAGAAAATTCCTTTCCATCTTTACAGATTCCTACAGTGCCTAGCAGGTGATAGCATGTATAGTTACCGTGTGGGGCTCCGTTGGTCTTGAGCAGGCTGAAGCAGTAGTGGGCACACTGGGGGCCGTTTGCCAGGCCTTTTAGCATGCGCAGGTAGGGGATGTACAGGGTGGGGGGCAGCAGGTCCCCCATCTGACGCACAAACTTAGACAGCACCACCTGTGGCACAGCACACAAGCTGCTATAAAAGGTCCTATTGGAGAATAAATTAAGTATCATCTTACTTTTGAATGAAGGGAGGAAAGGGGATGTGGAAGGTGATCTTACCTGTTTGTGTGGGGGCCTCTGCATGGCCATGCCCAGGTAGGAGCCCTGGAGGGAGGTGTGCTGGAGGGACTCGGTGTGGCACCAGAACTCCAGAGCCAGCTCCAGCCCAAACGGGTCCTTGCTATAGAACTCTCCGATCTACAAACACACAGAAAGAAGTCAGACAAATATGCTTAGGCTTAGCGAATGCTACTCTGCGAAAGCAACAGTCTTCTTTGTTGTTCTTTTTTTCCTTGTCTCCAGTGTGTCATGTTGCAATGTAAATTGCTAGCAAATGACTAGTCACTTTCATAGCATATAGCAATAAGAAAGCCCATGTAATACACTAGTGACAGTGAGTGTGTAGGGTGAGGTAATGAAGGCTGACCAGGATCATGAGGTGGTCCAGGTCTTTCCTCACGGAGGAGGGAGGCTCACTGCCCATCTGCAGAGACATGTGGACCAGTCTGGCATCCTCGTCAGCACGGTTACGCAGCTGCTTCACCTGCAACAGGACACACACCTTGAAACTTGCACATACACACTTCTACATAAAGGAAATAAGTATTTCACCCTGAAAAAAGGACAACTAAACTATGTATTCAAATTCCTATCATACTCAAACACACCAGTGCACAGCAACAAAGCCAAACAGGTGGCATTGCTAACCTTCATGGGCATGAGTGCCAGGAAGTCGGTGATGAGGGAATGGAGGCGGCGGGTGTAGAATTCATCATGAGTGAAGCCCTCACATCCCAGCATGCCCTCTGTCATGAAGAGGAAGACACCTCCAAGCAGGGCCTGGTCGGCCAGTGCCTCGTCTGCCTCTGTAAACTCTGCCAGGGCTGAGCCCTGGGGCAGCTGGGAGAGGGCATGCAGGGCCAAGGCCCAGGCCAGCCGACACACAGCCTGCAGCCCAGGCAACTTCCAGGGCCGCCCATCCACCAGACGACTGTGCACTGCAGACACGTACTGCTTCTCTGTCAGCAGGGGCAAGGCCTGGAGGAGGTCTGGTTGACACACAATCATTTTAGTGAAATATTTACATAGTAGTAGTCTACACAAGTCTACATTGCTGTGTGTTGCAGCATGTTCAGGTAATTTGGCAACAGAATACATGGCAAATCTAACCTTCTCGGTCTTCTGTTCCTTGCTCCAGGAAGCTGACGTCCAGACAGTACAGCAGTGCCATGACGAGAGCCAGGTTCACGCTGTCCAATGAGCCATCAGCTTCCACTGTCACAGTCTCCAGGTGGCCAATAAGGGCCAGGGTGTCATCCTTACCCAGAGGTGATTGGCAGGTCCATGCAAACAGGCAATCTGCCAGCGCCTGTCGGCACTCTTTGATGAGGTCAGATACCTGGCAGAGAAAGAGAAAGTGCGAACGTGTGAGGGAGGAAAGACAAACTTCATCTGTACATGATACAATTCCTCTGAGGAGGGCTTCCTCTCACCTCTTTCCGGTGTTTTTCGTTGCCCAGGCCTCGCTCTTTCTGCAGGCGCTCAAACTCCCGTGTCACGTTGATCTCTGACACCAGCATCAGTAGGCGTCTTGTTAGGCCCTGGCTCATCAGCTCATCTGTAAAGCGTGTGGTGAGGGCCACCAGCTCCCCACTGAGGTAGAACACACAACCAAGTCAACAGAGTGCAGAGGAAAACACAAAGTCATCTGTTGTTCAATCATCAAGGCAGAGAAAAAAAATAACTGGTCTGAACAATATTAAAGTAGGAAGTAGACAGGGAAATAGAGCATACCTTAATTCCAAGGTGAAGGTCTTGCCATGGCGGGACTGGATGAGCGAGCGCAGGGAGTTGGCCACGCAGAGCTTTCCGTCCCAGTATAGCAGCACTGCAACCAGCCCTCGACTCAGACCTGGGAAGTTGGGCTGCTGGTTCTCACCTTAATAAAATAAGTGATATTTACAAACAAGCATCCTGCCAGTGTTTATCTCCATTGGTAAGGTGCTCACTGTTGTATAGATTACCTGCCAGCAGCAGCTCCAGGGCTGCCAGCTCTCCAATGTCAAAGAGGTCACTTAGGATGAAGGCCTCTGTAAGCAGCTGCTCAGGGAGGAGACGTGCCCCCTGCTGGCCCTGGATGGTAATGCCCTCTGTGCTGGCTTTCCGCACCTTCTCCCTCTGCTCTGCACTCTTTGGCTGAAGAACACAAAAAGAGAAAACTTCAAGCAAATCAACTTCAGCAAGCCCTGCTTGGCTTGCAGAAGAGTAAAACTCATTGGTGTGTCTGTAACCAGATCTCCATCCAACCCTTTATGTGAGTAAAGGTCACACCAGGCCTGATGGAAACAGCTAATTTGTCAGTAAGCTTTCCAAACGTTGACAAAACTAAATATGCTAGACAAGGTGGGATCTTTGTGTCTGTAACATTAATTACGCGAGAAATGGCGGTGCACTTATGAGCAAATATTAATATAATAAAATCTAATCCAATTGGATTTGTCACATGCGCCAAATACAAGAGGTGTAGTCCTTACCGTGAAATGCTTACTTACAAGCCCTTAACCAACAACGCAGTTCAATAAATAAGAGTTAAGAAAATATTTACAAAATAAAATCACAATAAAATAACAATACCGAGGCTATATACAGGGGTACCGGTACCGAGTCAATGTGCAGGTTAGTCGAGGTAATTTGTATACAGCGGGGGAAAAAAGTATTTAGTCAGCCACCAATTGTGCAAGTTCTCCCACTTAAAAAGAGCATCTCCTTTGTCTTGCTCACGTTGAGTGAGAGGTTGTTGTCCTGGCACCACACTGCCAGGTCTCTGACCTCCTCCCTATAGGCTGTCTCATCGTTGTCGGTGATCAGGTTGTGTCATCAGCAAACTTAATGATGGTGTTGGAGTCGTGCTTGGCCATACAGTCGTGGGTGAACAGGGAGTACAGGAGGGGACTGAGCACGCACCCCTAAGGCGCCCCCGTGTTGAGGATCAGCGTGGCAGATGTGTTGTTGCCTACCCTTACCACCTGGAGGCGGCCCGTCAGGAAGTCCAGGATCCAGTTGCATAGGGAGGTGTTTAGTCCCAGGTTCCTTAGCTTAGTGATGAGCTTTGTGGGCACTATGGTGTTAAACGCTGAGCTGTAGCCAATGAACAGCATTCTCACATAGGTGTAATAACCATCATGAAAAAAGTCAACTTGGAGTCACGCGATGATATGTTGTGTGATCCTCCCACTACGACTCGGGAAAGCATGCAGTTTATTAGGCTACAGATTAAATAAGTTATGATAAACTTCACAGGGTGGTGAAAGTGCACTGTGATGAGCTTTATGCTCCTTTCCAATAAATATCAAGGGTCTTATTCTGGTGACATGATGATTGATGCTTGGCTGCCGTTTGACAAAAAAAAAAAAAAAAAAGATCTCGCTCTTTTGTCCATAATAATCTCATCATGTAGGCTATACCCGCACTGTATTTGCGAGCTGTTGGCTAGAGCGCATGTGCCAAGATCAGAGTGGGCAAATTCCCTATATAGCGCAAAATATTTTGTATCGAAACCATCAGTAGAGTTGAAAATGCAATGGAAACCCATTTAACTTGTATTTTTTATTCGGTACATGGGAATTTAACCACAAAAGTATTTTTTGTGTATCTCCGCATCATGTCAATTTGATGGTAACCTAATGTAGCAAGCATAAAAAGACGCCCGAGCGGAGTCCCCACATCCGTTTTTCAGGGAAAACGAAAGTTAGGTTGAAAATACTGTATCCCTGAAAACATCCACTTTCTTCCGACCCTGTGGAGAGTGATTTGATGGAAACAGATCTCTGTTGGGGAAATGTTCAAAGTTTTATGCAGATTTTAGAATATTTGCATGAAATTCTTGCCAATTGGATGGAAACCTAGCTTCTGACAGCATCTCACCGGGTTCTTGTAGAGTGAGAGGAAATTGGGCTTGTGTTTCTTGAGTTGCAGGTCTAGGAGGTGGACGCTCTCTGGTTGCCTCCTCCACACTGCACCCTCCACTGTGTCCCATAGCTCCTTCAGCGGCCCCCACAGACTTGCTCCTAATAGGGGACACAAGCAAAGTCAATCAGTCAGTGTCTTATGTGTCTAGCCTATACAATATTTCCAGAGCATTTCATAAGCCTTGTTCACATTGGCAGTTTGAAGTGACTCAAAAAAAAAATGCATATCAGATTCAAATCTGTTCTTTTTCCTGCAAAAATTACATGGAATCTGATATTTCAAGCCACATTTAAAACCACCTTAGTAGGTTCCTGGCCATGAAACTTGTCTCTAAACTGTCAAATCTGATTTATTTGCCCGCAAGTGGTTTTTAGACTTATTTGGCATATATCTTGTTGATGTTGCTTGCTTGCTAGCTACTCTGTTGACAGTTTGACAAGAACATGTGGTAGCTAACAAGCTTGTTAATTGTTGCAGCTATCTAGTTGACTGCTGTGGCTAGCCAAAAGGGACTAGTTTTGAAAGTTGGAAAGTGTTCTTACATTATATGATTTTGAACATTCCAAACAACTGGCAAACACCCATGGCAGGCATTGTTGTCAACTTCGCTTTCTACATAACAACTTCTGAGTGATAGGAAGCACGAGCACCACCACCAATAAGCCTACACCAATGCGCACACACCTGTCGTTACTATGACAACTAGCGTAGCTATGTCAGCAAATGACTGCTGTCTGAACACACATAAATCCGATTTGGTCACTTGTAACTCACTGTTTGGACAGACAGTATTCCAAAACGGATTTGAAAACAAAACTGATTTGAACATTAAGGCCTACAATGTGAACAAGGCTTTAGTGGCAAATTGTTGAGACTACGAGCAAGTTAGCCAGCTAACTGGTGTGTGGGCATTTTACATTTCGTTCACCTAGTTAACTACATTAGCTAACTAACTTGTTAGCACGTGATACTTTCACATTCGTTTCCTGGTGAGCGACCTCTTGAAGCTAGCAATAAGTAATAGTCAGCTAGTTAATATGTTGTTCATTGAACTGGTAGGACGTTTGCTTCATATCGATGCATTTGGTTATGTTTCATCGAATTTTAAATGAAACATACCCACGCATGTTATAGCGAGGTGACCATGGCATAACTAGCGGTTAGCTAACTAGCGCTCCTGACTGTCTGAACTTGACACAGATTCCCCGCTATGTAATCAGACCGTGTTTTATACAATTAATGTACATCTTGTAAACAAACATGTATTGTGATTGTTTGGTAAATAACTATAAACAACCTCTCACTACTATATTATTTGAAATAACAGAAAAATAAAGCCCATACCTGAATTTACCGCCATCTGCGCCGCCATGTTAAACCAGAGATATTAGAGAAAGGAGGAGATAGGAAACATATTCGGTAAGGATTGGGGAACCTATAACGCCCCACGCAGCAGACTGTTGACAAATCGCGTTCACGTTGTCAACGCTACGTCACAAGGATCGTCACGCAATCCCTTCTCAAAGTCAGTGTATGAGTCGAAAACCTGCTTATTTTCCTCGGAAGTACGTAATGTCACGAGTCTAAACTGTACGATATTACAGAGAACAAGTTAGTTATCGCACATCTCGGAAAATATTTGTGATGTTGTACTTCTTGTTCACGAAACCCATGCTAATATTGGGATTTTGAGCCAGCGCCCTATTGACTGCCATTCACTCTTGAAGGAGTGCTCCCCTTGTCCTCGTTGTACGGCGCGGCCCTTTGACGACAAAATGGGCAACGTACATAATGGGCGGTAAAACGATTCCAAATGTCGTTTCCCATCTCCTCAAAACTATCTCTGGTTAAACTCGAATTCTGGAGATTAGGCTCTGAGGCCCCTTGGCTTTAGTGCCTGAGTAAAAAATACAATGCAGTGTATAATGTGATTATTTACATTCTAATAATGCAGGGGCAAAGTCATAAAATATATATTTTTACACTTCTCTTCAGGCGAGGTCTTCGTTTTGCTTTAGACCTAAGCAGTGTATGGGACATTTCTTTTTTCTTCTTCAATAACCTAAGCACCGAGCTTAGAACGATTACTTATTTATTTAATAAGTTGTGTTCCATGCTCAATTTGAATTTCTACATTTCCTCATTTTTGTTTATGTTGGTATGTGACGGGAGAACACATTTCATAAAATGAAACTCAAAATGAAGCGGAACCTATACTAAGAGTTTTTGTTTCACACGACTATTAAGATAGCTGCACCCATGTGTCACATACGAAATGGTTTTGACAGCGATGGAGAAATGACCGCTGTGGTAGGATGTAGTTTAGGACATTAATCGTGATGCTTACACAGATGATACAAAGCGTTTTAAAAATGACAATTTGATAGTGTCGATAAGATAATGGCTCGGGTTGTGAAGGTGTTTGTGACTCTGCGGAATCATTGGAAGAAGTCCACAGTCGCTGCGTGTGCCCTGTCTTACGGGGGACACTGGCTGTATGGTAAACACTGGTGTGTAGCGTTTTCCTTCAGAATTAATGCTATGGTTGTTAGATCAAGTACAGATCATCACCAGCATGAATATCATTGAGCACGTACACACGAATTGGTAGCTATTGAGAATAGAACGGTTCTTATGATTGAAATCCAACAACACTGAATAACATGAGGATGTTTTCTTTGTCAATAATTTGTTATTGATTTATTTACAGTGATAATCTGCTGCGAAGAGAAGCTTGTCTGGTGGCCAGGGTGAGACATTGCTTATTCTGTAGCTACAGTTGAAGTCGGAAGTTTACATACACTTAGGTTGGAGTCATTAAAACTCGTTTTTCAACCACTCCACAAATGTATTGTTAACAAACTATAGCTTTGGCAAGTCGGTTAGGACATCTACTTTGTGCATGACACAAGTCATTTTTCCAACAATTGTTTACAGACAGATTATTTCACTTATAATTCACTTTTTCACAATTCCAGTGGGTCAGAAGTTTATATACACTAAGTTGACTGTGCCTTTAAACAGCTTGGAACATTCCAGAAAATGATGTAATGGCTTTAGAAGCTTCTGATAGGCTAATTGACATCATTTGAGTCAATTGGAGGTGTACCTGTGGATGTATTTCAAGGCCTACCTTCAAACTCAGTGCCTCTTTGCTTGACAATATGGGAAAATCAAAAGAAATCAGCCAAGACCTCAGAAAAAAAATGGTAGACCTCCACAAGTCTGGTTCATCCTTGGGAGCAATTTCCAAACGCCTGAAGGTACCACGTTCATCTGTACAAACAATAGTACGCAAGTATAAACACCATGGCACCACGCAGCCGCCATACCACTCAGGAAGGAGACGCATTCTGCTCCTAGAGATGAACGTACTTTGGTGTGAAAAGTGCAAATCAATCCCAGAACAACAGCAAAGGACCTTGTGAAGATGCTGGAGGAAACGGGTACAAAAGTATCTATATCCACAGTAAAACGAGACCTATATCGACATAGCCTGAAAGGCCGCTCAGCAAGGAAGAGTCCACTGCTCCAAAACCGCTATAAAAAAGACAGATTACGGTTTGCAACTGCAAATGGGGACAAAGATCGTACTTTTTGGAAAAATGTCCTCTGGTCTGATGAAACAAAAATAGAACTGTTTGGCCATAATGACCATCGCTATGTTTGGAGGAAAAAGGGGGGTAGCTTGCAAGATGAAGACCACCATCCCAACCGTGAAGCATGGGGGTGGCAGCATCATGCTTTGCTGCAGGAGGGACTGGTGCACTTCACAAAATAGATCAAGGCATCATGAGGAAGGAAAATGATGTGGATATATTGAAGCAACATCTCAAGACATTAGTCAGGAAGTTAAAGCTTGGTCGCAAATAGGTCTTCCAAATGGACAATGACCCCAAGCATACTTCCAAAGTTGTGGCAAAATGGCTTAAGGACAACAAAGTCAAGGTATTGGAGTGGCCATCACAAAGCCCTGACCTCAATCCTATAGAAAATGTGTGGGCAGAATTGAAAAAGCGTGTGCGAGCAAGGAGGCCTACAAACCTGACTCAGTTACACCAGCTCTGTCAGGAGGAATGGGCCAAAATTCACCCAACTTATTGTGGGAAGCTTGTGGAAGGATACCCAAAATGTTTGACCCAAGTTAAACAATTTAAAGGCAATGCTACCAAATACTAATTGAGTGTATGTCAACTTCTGACCCACTGGGAATGTGATGAAAGAAATAACATCTGAAATAAATAATTCTCTATACTATTATTCTGACATTTCACATTCCTAAAATAAAGTGGTGATCCTAACTGACCTAATACAGGGAATTTTTACTAGGATTAAATGTCAGGAATTGTGAAAAACTGAGTTTAAATGTATTTGGCTAAGGTGTATGTAAACTTCCGATTTCAACTGTACATTGTTCTGCTTTCAAGGATTCTGCACCTGCATTTACTGTATTCAACTCTCTACCGCACCTGCTATTTCATCCTCTAAATGCCCGGCTATGAAAAGCCAAATTACATTTACTCCTGATGTACTGACCTGTTGCAACCTCTACAACCACTGTGATTATTATTTGACCCTGCTGGTCATCTATGAACGTTTGAACATCTTGGAGAAAAATCTGGCCTTAATGGCCATGTACTGTAATAATCTCCACCCGGCACAGCCAGAAGGGGCCTGGCCACCCGTCAGAGCCTGGTTCCTCTCTAGGTTTCTGCCTTTCTAGGGAGTTTTTCCTAGCCACCGTGCTTCTACATCTGCATTGCTTGCTGTTTGGGGTTTTAGGCTGGGTTTCTGTATAGAACTTTGTGACATCTGCTGATTTGTAAAAAGGGCTTTATAAATACATTTAATTGATTGATAATGCCCCAAAATCCATTCTCAATCGCAGGAATATGGACGTCAGCAGATATCACCACAGGAGCAGCTGAGGAAAGCCACGGTCATCCTAAACCCAGCAGCTTGTAGTGGGTAAGTAAGAGATAACAGTCACATTCCCTAAAGTCAAGCAAAGAGAATAAGCAAGAGGTCCAGCTTATGCACCACAGCCATTTTCCATTTCTACTGTAATTTGTGTTTGACTAATATATCTTGCTGTTCTCTTGCTTTTCCCTTTGATCGTAGGAAAGCCAACACTTTATTTGAGAAGAATGCTGCCCCTATATTACACCTGGCTGGTGTGGAGGTGACACTAGTAAAGGTATAATTTTCTTTCCCTGTGCAATCTTTCTTTCTGTACACTTCGGGGCCTTTATAGTCTAAAGTTCTACGTAGTGTAATACCATATGTGTCTTCTCTCTTGCAGACAGACTACGAGGGCCAGGCGAAAAAATTGATGGAGCTGATGGAGCAAACAGACATGCTGATTGTGGCTGGAGGGGATGGCACTCTACAGGAGGTTATCACTGGTCTGCTGCGGAGGGCTGATCAAGTAAGTTGTGTATTATCATTGTATTATCCTGTAACAAGCTCCGTTATGTTGTGCAATACCATCTCAGCTTAGCTGTCTCTTACTACCCTGTACTTGTTTGTTTCTCTCTAATATAGGAGTCATTCAGTAAAACCCCCATAGGATTCATCCCACTGGGTTCCCACAATTCCCTGAGTGAGAGTCTGCACATCCTCAGTGACAATCAGGTGAAGTAAGTATCCCACTGAAACATGTCACACTCTCATTCAGATGCAAACAAAACACATGCTATCTCTCACTGAGCATGTCTTTTTTAAATGTATGTAACTTTTATTTAACCAGGCAAGTCAGTTAAGAACAAATTCGTATTTACAATGACGGCCTACCCCGGCCAAACCCGGACGACACTGGGCCAATTGTGCGCCGCCCTATGGGACTCCCAATCACATCCGGATTGTGATACAGCCTGGAATCGAACCAGGGTCTGTAGTGACGCCTTAGACCACTGCGCCACTCAGGAGCCCTGTGCATCATCTTCTTGAATGATCAAAAATATCCTCCAATCTTGTTGTCATTCATATCCCCTCTTGTTTTCAGACACATCACATCGGCGACACTGTCCATCTTGCAAGGAGAAACGGTACCTCTGGATGTGCTGCAGATCAAGGTGAGACCAGGAGGGGCTGCGGTTTAGGGAGGGGTTAAGATCTTTATTACATTGAATCTATATTAAATAACCGTAACTGCATTGAGAGGAAGAGAAGAACATTGTATTGTGTTTCTGGGATTATGTATCAAGGGAGAGAAAGAACAGCCAGTGTTTGCCCTGATTGGTCTACGGTGGGGGGCCTTCAGAGATGTGGCTGCCACCATCAAAAAGTAAGAACCCTTCAGAGCTTTATGATAAACAAGTTTCTATATTCTTATTTTCCCCCAGTCCCATGTAAAGTCATGGAAACATTTACGTGCAAAACATTCTAGTAATAGAAAAGTTGTTTCTCCTTTTAACAATAAATCTTATACTGTTGTTTTCTCTCTTAGATATTGGTACCTTGGCCCCTTGAAGACAAAAGCAGCTCATTGGTTTAGTACATTACGGGTGAGAACATGACTGTTTTCATTCCATGTCCATGGTCCTCAATTGTTCCTCCATGCATTTGTGTCATGCTGTTTTTTCCCATCCCTCCCCCAGGAGTGGCCCCAGGTTCGCGAGGCCTCTGTGTCCTACCTGGCACCCACCCTTCGCCCCCCTGACCTGCCTGAGCAGAAGCCCCAGCGCCCCAACCTAATGTACCGAATCGCCCACAGACTGAAAAATTACTGGTACCCACCTATTCCAGGTAACATTGTCTGTGTGTTGATGTGTTAGTGTGTGTTTGTCAGTCTGGAAATAACACTACACTTCATCATTCAAATGTCCTTGCGCTTCTTCTATTTAACAAAGCATGAATGGCATTGGTTTTGTGTTTATTCATTATTTATTTGCACCAAAAAAAAACAAGTGATAGACAACAATACAGATAAAAACAATTTTTGTTGTTTTTTAAACAGTGTTCAGGTGTGGTTGGAAGCCCAAGGGCTTATATGAAAACCACACCACAAAAAAACAATATACAATGCATAAGTACAAAATGTTTGTGCAGAGCCTCCCAAAGTGGAGGAGCCAGAGAGATGGGATGAGAGGACGTTGTCTACTTTAGAGCTGTCGATCCACACCCAGAACAAAAACCCTGTCCAGATGGTCAGTAACAAAAAACAGACACTATAGCAGCTACTAAAACAGGCTCAGGATGTTAAAACTGTGTTCCCTTGTTTGTCCCTCAGCGTATAGACGACTCCCTGCTGGTGTGTGTGGAGCCAGACTCCTTCACTGTGGGAGAGTTCATCACTTTTGGGTGAGCAGTTGTGGAGATATACTTTGTCACATTATCAATGTAATACCTGACTAAAATAAATGAATGGTTACTCATGAAGCATGTGTATCAAGGCTGTTACATTTTCTGCATTGCAGAGAGAAAAAAGCGGAGGACTCAACTGCATTCACAAGAAAATCACTGAAACTGGAGGCCAGTGCATGTCGACTCAATCTGCCCGAGGTCAGCTGTCTTAGGCCTATAAACGTCATAGACAAGACGCATTACAGTCTTATAGTTTAGATCATTATAACCCTTAAACAAATTAAACGTATTCTTGTAAAATGTGTTTATTTGATTGTGTGTGTGTGCGGTCGGCCCTTTTGCTCCATGACCTCTGACCTCTCCCTACTGTCGTATCCCCTCCCACAGGAAGGTGCTGGCTTCTACAACATTGACAACGAGGAGTACGAGGCCATGCCAGTGGAGGTGAGGCTGTTGCCACGGAAACTGCGCTTCTTCTGCAGCGCAGAGCGCAGAGAGCAGCTCCTCACACAGGTCCAGTGAGGGAAGCACTGCGATGACAACACATGCAGCAGACAGAGGAATAGGGAGGATGATCAAGCACCTGGGGTATATTCATTACGTCTTGCAACGGAACCATTTAAGAACCAAACGGAAGCCAACAGAACCAAATGGGGAGGGATCTACCTGAATTTGTCCAATAGAAACTTGTTTTTGTTGCAAAATGTTTTCAGTTTGGATTAAACGATTTCTGTTGCAAACGTTTTGCAACAGACAAACTGTTTTGCACCAGAATCGGCATAATGAATACACCTCTGGGTTGCATTCATTAGGCACCAAACGGACTGAAACAGGGAGGGACTATCTTAACTTTTCCAATAAACGTTTGTTTCTGTTTTCCGTTGTAAAATGTTTTGCTACGGTATGCCCTAATACGACCCTGTATTGTGCTTCTACCTCAACCTGGAAGTATGTCTGTTTTACTTCCTTCCTTACTGTCACTAAACAGCAATAAAACAGAGCCGGACGAATGTGGAACCGTCTCCAGTGAGGTTTCATTGTTACTGAAATTGAAATGTTCAGTTGGAATGGTGTCATAATTATGGAAGATGACTGATGCAGTAACAAGGACCAAACATTTTGTTGCTGTTTCTGAACTCAGCCTGTATAAGTCTGCCCAGCAGGAGTATTGGTGTAACTGACTAGTTTACTACTGTATATTCTCATCATGTGTAACGCTCAAACGTGTAATACGAAGAATCTTATTAAATAATTCAGTTATGATGTCCACAGTGTTTTATTGCCTTTTAATACCAATTGAAATAAACAGTCTTTAGAGGTGTGCAGGGAGACTTTGTCCGCCATTTACAGTACCCTATGATAAGATGAGATACATTGGCATGAGAATCACTATCACAAATACAATCCAATAAGCATTGGAGAAAACAGATGTTTTGTTTTACAATGACAGTACTGTATAATATCACTGGCTCATGCGATCAAGTTACTAAATGTGTATTCATCACTGAAGTCTCTTTCCATGTTTTACAGTAGTACAGGTTCTGGATATAGCTGTGTAGTTGGCTGTTGTTGGGAGTATAGGTTTACGTTACAGTTGCTATGATCAAGGCTATATAAGTTGTTAACGTTCTTGTTGCATATTAGTGCTGAAGGACAACAGATTATGCTTTCTTTTGACATTCAATGCGGTGAAATACTGTACAGATAAATTCAAATGAGCCAATGCTGGTACAGGTCTGTGAACAATTTCCACAAAGAAAGCATTTGATACAATACCGTTTGTGTCGTGTACAAGCTCTACTTCATATACATGATACACCTGTAAAACAAACGGTAGCATGCCCAGGATGTGCTGAAAAGTACAGGGTGGAACAGGTCAAAACAAACAGTTAGAGCAAAGAAAAGGGGCTAAGTCATCATGTGTGTGAAGAACTGTCCATTTAATCATATTAGCACTAGTATCAGTAGTGTCAATTAACATGTTGATACAGTAGTTGGAAGTCGTTAAAATGAAAAACTTTCCCCCATGCCTCTTTTTGTTTACAGTTAGAATAAGCCTGTGGTCTTGATTGAGTGCCTGCACTCAACACTAAAAGATGACCCACTAATTAGGCTTTATAACCCACACTATAGGACAGAACTGTCCCTAATCAAACCTCAATGAACATTACCACTATTGCCAACACTTACTGACCAGTCAAACCCAATGGAAGCAGTTTGCAGTCTTCGTCAACACTATTTTATGAGTCATTGAGCTCACATCTATTGGGCAATGGCTTAAGCCATTGATTTAATGAACAGTGTCTCTCAGGACTATTTGAACAAAATAACTATCTCCAATGCCCGTATTCAAAAAGTCTTAGAGTAGGAGTGCTGATCTAGGATCAAGTCCCCCTGTCCATGTAATCTTATCCAATTTGTAAGTCGCTCTGGATAAGAGTGTCTGCTAAATGACTTAAATGTAAAATGTAATTCAGTATGATCTAAAAAGTTAAACTGATCCTATATCAGTGCTCCTATCCATATATTTTTTATCCACACAATGCGGAACCATAGTGTGAAGGGTAAAGAAGACGCTCTGCCAAAACAGATGGGGTCTGTCTGTCTGCCCAGACAGGAGGGTAAATCCCTCTATCATGCTTGGGGTTGACATAACCAGAGAATTAAGAATACAAAGGAGTCTTTGTTACAGTGACGGGGCACAGATAATGCCTGCTTGCAGATGACTAGCTCCAACAAGAAAATAACACTAGAGTTGTATCTGCACTCATAGCACACCCGTGGATTTAATTAAATCTACAACAAATCTCATTGATAAACCAGCAGCACAGTTTGAATCCAACTAAAACGTAAGTACACACCACACAGCTAGCTTCTCCACTTGAGAAGCACCTGCTCACTCCAAGACAGACAGACTGCACTTTTATAAGAGTTTCTCTGCTGGCAGAACATTGGGCCATTAAATCAGAACACAAACAAGTTTACACATAATCATGTGGTCATCAAACAAGAGTCCAGAGGTTGTGGTGTGGTGCAGCATTTATGATAAGTTAGTGTCTTAGAATCACATTCATTTAAGTCTCCCAGGTTGACCATTTTAAACATCAAATTAAGAAACTTGATAAAACAATACACAACACATTATCCAGAAGTCACATTGCAAAAAAACATTTAGTTATTAAAAACATGTTCAATGTGACCATGGAACACATAAACCCTACAAGTGACTGCCCAGCAAACCGGGAACATTCCCAGACCATTTGCTAAGATTAGGATGTCAATTTTTTTTTATATATATTTTTTGAAAATGTTTTAAATTAAATATCATTGGAATGTTCAAACATTCACTAACATTTTGTCCACAACATCTGTAACAACCACCACAGAACATTACCCAAATGTTCTCATTAGGTTTCCAGGTGAAGAACAGACTAAATGTGTTCTGGAACATTCTTGCAACATCAGGATAATTTTTTATTCAAATATTGTATAATCATCAGCACAACTGTACCGTTTTTGTGTTATGAGAACATTTGCCACAACCTAATGAATGTTCTGGGAACTTTCACAGAACCAATTTTGGTTTGCTGGGTAGTCTGCCATGTGAGTGTCAGCATTAGACCAGAGTCAGACAAACAGGTGCAGTCTCTACTGAAATGTTACAGTATTTTAACAAATATTCCTTTAAATCTCAGCTCCATAATAAATACCTCCTTGGATGAGGGCATTAGTTCAAATAAATACACCCTGCATGATACATCTTTCCCTTTTAATGTGTATGATTAGCTGACATCATGACAAAAAATAGGTTTTCATGTTTATGTGACTCAGATTCTTCTTAATTAACTTTCTTGATTATTGAAATTTTACAAATACGCAAACATTCACAAAGCTCCTTTTTTTCATACAGAAAAAAATGGTTGATCAACTTCAGCATTTGTTTTTTAGAGGAAAACAGAGAGTGAAAACCATATGTGATCTTTACTCTCAGTTATAGCAGACCTGATGCAGAAGTTTGGGAAACAAAGTCATGGTAAAGTGACAATCACATTAATATTTTGTAGTAAAACATACAGTGCATTCGGAAAGTATTCAGACCCCCTTGACTTTTTCCACATATTGTTAGGTTACAGCCTTATTCTAAAATTGATTGAATACAATTTTTCCCTAATCAATCTACACACAATTCCCCATAATGACAAAGCGAAAACAGGTTTTTAGACAGTTTTATAAATGTATAAAAAATAAAAAACAGAAATACCTTATTTACATAAGTATTCAGACCCTTTGCTATGAGACTCGAAATTGAGCTTAGGTGCATCCTGTTTCCATTGATCATCCTTGAGATCTTTCTACAATTGATTGGAGTCCACCTGTTGTAAATTCAATTGATTGGACATGATTTGGAAAGGCACACACCTGTCTATATAAGGTCCCACAGTTAACAGTGCATGTCAGAGCAAAAACCAAGCTATGAGGTCAAAGGAAATGTCCGTAGACCTCAGAGACAGGACTGTGTCGAGGCACAGATCTGGGGAAGGGTACCAAAAAAATTCTGCAGCATGTGAATGGTTTGTGTCTGGAGTGTATGGTCGATGAAACAGTGGAGCATGTGTTGTTATATTGTTGTAAGTATGTTGAAGAGAGGTTGGGGGGGTTGGAAGGGATTTTGGGGATGGGGAGGGTCTATTAGAAGTTAGTAGGGCTCTTTTTAAAAAATTCTCAGGATTTAGAAATGTTGTAAACTGTGATTGACCACACACTCCAGCACAGTAGGTGGCGGCATGCACCTTTAACGTTGGTTTGCGGACCGCCATTATAGCATTGAAGTAGAATAAGTGCACGTCAGAGCAAAAACCAAGCCATGAGGTCGAAGGAATTGTCCGTAGAGCTCCGAGACAGGATTGTGTCGAGGCACAAATCTGGGGAAATCTACGGTAAAGCATGGTGGTGGCAGCATCATGCTGTGAGGATGTTTTTCAGCGGCACGGACTGGGAGACTAGTCAGGATCGAGGGAAAGATGAACGGAGCAAAGTACAGAGAGATCCTTGATGAAAACCTGCTCCAGAGCGCTCAGGACCTCAGACAGGGGCGAAGGATCACCTTCCAACAGGACAATGACCCTAAGCACACAGCCAAGACAATGTAGGAGTGGCTTCGGGACAAGTCTCTGAATGTCCTTGAGTGGCCCAGCCAGAGCCCGGACTTGAACCCGATCTAACGTCTCTGGAGAGACCTGAAAATAGCTGTGCAGCAACGCTCCCCATCCAACCTGACAGAGCTTGAGAGGATCTGCAGAGAATGGGAGAAACTCCCCAAATACAGGTTTGCCAAGATTGTAGCGGCATACCCAAAAAGACCCAAGGCTGTAATCGCTGCCAAAGGTGATTCAACAAAGTACTGAGTAAAGGGTCTGAAAACGTATGTAAATGTGATATTTCAGGGGTGTTTTTTACACATTTGCAAAAATTTCTAAAAACCAGTTTCTGCTTTGTCATTATGGGGTATTGTTTTTAGATTGATAAGGGAAAAAAACAATTTAATCAATTTTAGAATAAGGCTGTAATGTAACAAAATGTGGAAAAAGTGAAGGGGTCTGAATACTTTCCGAATGTACTGTACATGATTAGGCAGAATCCTCTGTAAAGGTGTAAGAAAAAGTGCTTGGTGCTATGGCAGAATTGTATTTCCATGAAGTTTTAATGAAGTGGGAGGAACAACTAATTATCCAGCTCCACACTGGATACTAGATCCATGGTTCTGTTGGTCAGCAGTGCTCCATAGTATTGGGAGCAGTACAAACAAGGCTCCACCTCCAGTGACTAGGCCTGGTGATCCAAGAACAGATCCAGGTGAGAAGAGAACAGATTCCAAGTGAACAGAAAAACAAGACAAGTGGTTGTTGAATTTAGAACGGACTGTAGCCAGACAGCACTGCAGAGTCCAGGCAGTATCTATCATCTATCATTGTGGCCCAGTTTACCAGGTGAGCTGTCACTGAGTTAACACTGGCCATAGACAGCTATATCCCGGAGCCGGGCGAGAGATCGAGAGAGAGACCTGCAGGCCTTTGACTGGGCAGGACGCCAGGGGAGGAAGAGAAGGAGGCAGTGTCTTCAGAGGACCAAGAGAGAACAGGCCACAGCCAGAGCTCAAGGACAGCAGGGGTTATCGATGACCAGCATAACATCAATGCCATAGACCTCCAGCAGATCTTCCAGGAATGTGCGGTCTGCCTGGGGGTCCAGTCCCATGGCCCTCACGTGCTCTGCAGTCAGGGTGTGGTCCGCACTCGCTTCCACCTCTGATAGAGTCTGGAAGATACGGTTATTCTGCTCCATGAAAAACCTATTGGCGAGAACAGAGGACATTCTGTAAGAAGGTTTGATAAAGACTCCAGACTAAGCCCAAACTAATTCTTATTTAAAACCTCTTAAATGTAAAGTCCCCATATTTGGGGACCCTATTATTTTATTATTTTCAATTCAGTCTGGTATGAGAATGGTAGCCCCTATCTGCAAAAGCAGGGTGTCTGCGGAAAGCTGAGTATTTTGGCTATTGATCGCTGCTTTCAAAATCTTTGGTGTGACTTACTAACATATATGGGCATACGAATATATAAGGTCAGGCCGAGCAGATGACCTCCTTTCAAGATGGCTGCTACCTACATTCTGGTTAGCATTGTGAAGTATAAACAAAATGAACACAGAATACGTTGATACACATCGAAAGCCGGGACTCCACAGATCATGAGGATATATTATTTGTCTGCCTGTGACCTACCTTTATTGATCACCAGCCCCGAGAGTCAAAATGTTTATTTTACACAACGTTTTCACCAAACATCTTACAAGGTAAGCTTAGATTGGTCTGTGTTTGAGCTATAGCTACATGGGGGGTATCAAATTAATCCTTAGGTTGGTAGGAACAAGTCCTAGCCTATTGCCAATGTTATCTGATGATGTATGACTTAATGGCAACATCGAATGTTCGCAGAGTGACTATATCTTTGCGCATCAAAAATATGATGTCGCCTGCACTGTAGGCATAAATTCCACAGGGGATTGGCTACTATGGCACCTTGACAGGGATATGCAGTTGACCTGGGTGGGACAAAGCAAGGCCTAGAACCTTTTATGTGTCACGTTCGTTGATGAACGGGTCAGACCAAGGCGCAGCGTGATATGCATACATGTTTATTTAAAGGAATAAACAACCGACAAAACAACAAAACGAAACGTGAAGTCCAAGGCAACGCAACACAACATACCTTAACTGGAACAAGATCCCACAACCCACTAGTGCCAATAGGCTGCCTAAGTATGGTCCCCAATCAGAGACAACGAGCGACAGCTGCCTCTGATTGGGAACCACACAGGCCAACATAGATCTATACATACTAGACTGTACAACATGGACAAACACAGCAAGGAAAATACACACCCTGACTCAACATACAAGCGTCCTCTGAGTCAGGGCATGACATTATGCATAAAGCAAACAATTGCTACCTGGCTCAGAGACGAGACGCACCGAGCACGCTACATTACATTGTAAACAGATTTCATCGCTTTAATTTCATAGCTTTAGCATAAAAGATGGCTTCTCAAGTGGGGAAAAATGTAAAAACTAAGAATATCGAACAGGAAGCTAAAAAGAAGGCAGCTATAAATAAGTATACCGACATAGAAACTTTGAATAAAATACTGGAGTCGGACTCGGATCAGGGGAGCGATTTGGATAACGAGGATTTCGACTCGGCCGACGAAGATTGCTTTCTAGAAGGATTGGATCCACTTTTAGACCTGTAAGTAAATTATTTATGTATTTCGTTTTTTATAAGTTGTCTGCTTTTTGTGCTTTGGATTTAGTTTACATAGGCCTATGTAACAAGTAATTCCAATTATATATAATTCCAAAATAGTTACTGTCTATGTTTCATATGATTATTATTATTATTATTATTATTATTATTATTATTTTATTAGTTCACTGTTTGCTGTTGTAAGTTTCATCCTTGTAACTTTGGAGAGGCCACTAAACACTCATGGCCATTGTTTATTTGTGGTTCTCACCTCTGCCTTTGTCTCCAAAGTGTTTCTGTTTGAATTGTGTGTGCTTCACACCTTCTATGTGAGTCACTGCACAGATAAAGTTTAGGCTTGGTGTTTTTACTTTACAGTAATGCCGTTTTGTAAATGTAGTCATTCTGTAATTCTGTGTGTCTTACAACAATATATCCCTTTATTTTATTTTTATGTTATATTTGTAGAATTTTTTTTAACACGTTATTTTTTCATTTCACTTCCCCAATTTGGACTATTTTGTGTATGTCCATTACATTAAATTCAAATAAAAATCAATTTAAATGACAGGTTGTAATGCAACAAAATAGGAAAAACACCAAGGGGGATGAATACTTTTGCAAGGCACTGTATGCCACTTTGAAGAGGTTTAGGGACACTTGGAAACGTCCTGTGACCACACCTGACACCACTTACTAAAACATCTGCCCCATTTCTAGTTGTTAGGTCTATCAATCCCATTTTTTTCTGATATTGTTAACATGTTGTGGAAGCCATCTGATGTGTTTCCAGCTCTGGTCATCAATAATTAACTTATAGCTTGTCAATGAAAGATGACTTTCCAAATAAAAAAACAAAAACATGGTTATTTTGTGTATGCTTGATCTTGTGTATTCTGAACTATGTAACTCCTATCTGGTTTCTGATAATTTCCTCATAATCTCTCAGATGTCTTCTTTCAAAACATACCATGTTTTTGCATGTCAGAATCATGTACTTACACATGAATAGCAGTTACTTTTGGGTACGTCTATTTAGGCAGAAATCTAAATGTTGCCATTACATTTAAGAGGTAGGAAATATACAGTTTGTTACTGTAATGTAAACACACTTACAGGATAAAGAGGTCCTCCTCATTTGATGTGCAGTCTGCATCCACCTCCTGAGTGTAAAGTAGCATTTGCCTGAAAAGACCATAACATCATCCTCATCATCATCATTGTCATCATCATCTCTTCAAAATGTCTGCCACCATTTATCACTGTCTGTTTACCTCTGTTCGCTCAGTTTCCTATACTTCTCCCGGTCTGCCCCGTTCAGCCGGAGCAGTGGCTGCAGACTATCTCTGTGTGTCTTCACATTCTGGTTATCAATGTATACGTCATACAGATCCTTCTTCTCCTCAAATATCTTCTCTGTGGTGCCTTAAGACACAATGAGATGTTTTATTAACCTTACCACACACACACCATGGTTCATACATATTTACATTTATCAATCAGAGCTTAATGTCTCACTAACAAGCCACATATGACATCTCTGTCGCAAGGGCAGCGATGTCTGCCACATTGATGTAGAAGAAGGGGCGGAACTCAGGCACAGACACACCTATCCCAGGTATAGAGACGTTGGACAGGCAGCAACAGCAGTACACTATGTGAGGAGTACAAGACAAACATGAAAAACTACAACGACAGAGAGCACACAGTGACATATACAGTAATACTGTAATAAGATCTGAAAAACAAATCTGTGAGGTTTTGTATAAGTGTGTGTGTGTGTGTGTGTGTGTGTGTGTGTGTGTGTGTGTGTTTCAGCTGCTCCATCTCACCCCTGTAGCACACCACACCGACGGGCGGTGGGGAAAACATGAGGATGCGTTTTCGGAGCAGGGCAAACTTCCACAGCACCATGATCTGCTCCCCAAAGAAGCGGATGAACTGGGACATGCAGCCGGCCGGGTGGGTGATCTGGAAGGGGCAGAGAGGGAACAACAGACTGTCAGGCTGTCTGATATGGTCATGGTTTTCCAGGCTGGATAAGTCTGCTCAGCATGGACAAAATGCTAACTTCTGCCCAAAATCTCTCCTTGACATCGGAAGTCTGATTAACATGCACATATCTCAAAATGCACAAACGCACCTAAACCAATCATTGACTTCCCAATTATCCACAATCAACAACCGCACAGTAACATCAATGATCTAAGTTCAAGTGGCCATGGGTCCTGACCTTCATCTCTGGGTGCATGCAGCGGTTGATGGCTGGGACCCAGAAGCTGGTTGGACAAGCAGTAACCAGTCCGTTCCCTGCTGGGTGCAGCACAGCTTTTTTATCCTCATAGAAGGCCTCCAGAGGAGAGTACGAGCCAGGGCACTGCAGCTGGTGTCTGCATGGAGAGACACACTGATTAGGCTAGATAATATCCTATAGTTAACACTAAACACTTTCTAAATGTTGACTGCAGTCGGCATCTCAAGCATAACACTGGTGAGAAAGAGAATGTTATCGAAGACTCATCACAGCATGGTTTGATTGGATTAAAACTGGGATAATCCCTGGGAACTGGAAGTGGTGCAGTACTTAAACTGGATCAACATAGGCTAAGTATATCTGTACTGTATAAAGTCAAGCTGAACCCCCTAAGCATATATCTCTACCATGAGCTGGATATGTGTCAGTTCTTTATGCGTAGTCAATGAGATAAGAGATAAGCTTCAAGCAGAAAGACAAGCGTTTCTGAGGGAGACAGTCAGGGTTTCTTCCATTTCAATGATTACATGCAAAGACTGCATATAAATGGATTCTAGTGACGGTAGTGGCACTGACTCAGGGTTTATGTTTAATAGATGAGAAGATTGAAAATACACACGGAGGACAAGAGGAAGGAAATGAGGGGAGGAATGTGAAACAGGACGGATAAGAAAGAAAGAGAGTGACATGAGAGGAAACCGGGTGATAGAGAGCAGGATGGACAGACAGACAACAGTACTTACCTAACTTGGTTCTCCAGGAAGTGCATGTAGCGATATAAGAGGGTGTAAGAGGGAGACAGAATACCCACAGACTTCATCCGTGCCCCTCTCTCCAACTCACTCTCAACAGGCATGTTAGCAAAACACGCCAGCCCAAAGTAGCAGCCTTTACGGAAATATCTGCAAAAAGAAAATAGACATGGATGAATGTTGTGAATGTATACAACACACAGGAGGCTGCTGGGGGGAAAACAGAGCATATTAATGGCTGAAATGGAGTAAATGAAATGGTATCAAACACATGTGTTCAATGTGTTCATTACCATTCCATTCTTGCCGTTCCAGCCATTACTATGAGCCCGTCCTCCCCAATTAAGATACCAACTGCCGCCTGTGATACAACATCATAAAGATTATTGATAGGGCTCTGATGGTCCTCTGTCATTAACACTGTTCGTTCAGGTGGGGGAATAGTTTTACATGAAGTCGTTGGCGATTCTGTGTGAGCCACTGGCCATTGACTTGAATTCCACTCCGTCAAGATTCACATCTTGGGGTAAGCACCATTCCACCATGTTACCTGCCATTGACACACACAAACACATAAACTTGAGTTTCCAAACTGTACACTTCACTGTGAGAGAATGAGATTCATCCATTATGTCTCCATCTCTGACCGTCCACATTTTATCTTACATTCAATTTCAATTTTCAAAATGTAAAATGTATGTACGCATGACTGTAAGTCACTTTGGATAAAAGCGTCTGCTAAATGGCATATATTATTATATATTGCTATACAGTGGTGTAAAGTACTTAAGTAGTTTTTTGGGGTAACTTTACTATTTATATTTTGGACAACTTTCACTTTTACTTTTAATGTACTTTCTACTCCATACATTTGCCCTGACAACCAAAAGTACTCGTTACATTTTGAAGCAGGACAGGAAACTTGTCCAATTCACGCACTTATCAAGAAAAAATCCTGGTCATCCCTTCTGCATCTGATCCAGCGGACCCACTAAACACAAATACTTCATTTGTAAATTATGTCTGAGTCCCTGGCTATCCGAAAAAGAAAGAAAACCGTGCAGTCTGGTTTGGCTAATAAAGGAATAATATAAGGAATTTGAAATTATTTATACTTTTACTTTTGATACTTAAGTATATTTTAGCAATTACATTTACTTTTGATACTTAAGTATATTTAAAACCAAATACTTTTAGACTTTTACTCAAGTAGTATTTTACTGGTTGACTTTCACTTGAGTCATTTTCTATTATGGTATCTTTACTTTTACTCAAGTATGAAAAGTGGGTACTTATTCCACCACTGTTGCTATAACCACTGAGAAATCCAGAATATTTCCAAACTTTACAAGTGGGTTTGAATTATCAAATTATAATGAATGTAGGTTCCCAACCTGTGCGAGAGGTCGGAAGAGTTCGTTTGATTTAAGTGGGAAAAACTTGCGCTTAGGTTACTGCATTCCTCAATTTTATCACATTTTAATGACCTATTCTCATTATCTAAATTTACAGAGCTTGTTGAAATTTATGACGACAGAAGAAAATAATAATTCGGCAAACTGTGCTCACTGGTAAATAAATGCTTGCCACAACACCTGATTTGGGTATCTATATACTGGGTCATTTTTGAATAGTGTAGATAAGCAGAGCTGGGAAGTAAAGAACAGTAGGCATTTCTTGCAAGGTCATGTGCGCACTTCCATGGCATGAGTCAGTACCCCACTGTGCCCAGTAAGGTAAATAGCCCGCCATCGCTCTTTCTCACCGGATCTTGTGTCAAAGGTTACCACAAACACAGCCACTATTTGGTCCTTTTCCTCCCATCCCACTCGTACTTTCAGAGATATTCCAGGGTCGGCATTGATGGGACTGGGAACATCCCATGGGCCAGGGTAGCCAGGGCTTGGGCTCCCGATTAAACTCGGAACAGCTGTTACAGTTGCTGGACCCCCAGATCTGGTGCTCCAGCCTATGCCAGGCGCGGTGATGCCAAGAGAACAGCCGTCTGGCGGACTCGATTCCGATCCATTTTCTTTTGCTGGTGGGGGAACCGCCTGGGTCAGTTCGGCTGGTGAAATCTCCTCCCAGTCCAGCAGTGGAGCGCGATCCGACTGCTCGACCATAGTGCTTCCTAAATGGAGGTAAACAACGCGAAACTAAGAAGAAAATAATTTGTACTAGATAAAGTCAGTACTGTTTCAACAGACCATTATGTTTTTCACCACCCCTGCCATTTTCTTGCTATCTGTATGCGTGTCACATCCGCAGATGAAGAAAGAGTATTCTGCCAGCGCAGTGTTTTGGTGATGATATCACACATTTCCGCTCACGTGGGTTTATTAATATTTGATAGACCTATGGCCTATTTGACAAATTTGCGATAAACTGTGTTTATATAACTCCCTTGCTTTTCATGAATGTTACAATTGTAACATTTGTAATCTAATGATAGGATGGCCCGAAGTTGTGTTGTCGATGACTCCATAGATCGTAAGAATCTTTGATAAATTTGTAATAGCCACAAACATTCCCATATGTAATTATATGCTGTAGGATCACAAAATAAATTGTTTACGATCAAAATGTTCATACTATACCTTTAAAAGCAGGTGTGTTTATTCATGACATACATTAAATTCAGCCTTTAGGATGCAGTAAATCGGATAAAAAGAGGCTGGATAGGTAACGTTTCTAAAGGAGTGCGCTGAGTCAGTAACCTCTGTAATTATATATGCAGATGTGTCCGTTCCAGTGTGTTGGGGGGAGGAAGGCCGTGGGTGGTGCCATGGTGGACAGATGAGTGCTCAAAGGTGGTGGAGGAAAGGGATGTATACAGTAGCACTAGGGGTAACACTAGAATGGCTTGACAGAAAGGATTCTCATGGAGTATCAAAGGAAGAGAGCGATGGCGAGAAGAACGTTTAAGACAGCGAAAAGGGAGGCATGGCAGGAACTTTGCTCCACTATAGAGGGACCGAAATTGTTGGGGTTTGGAAAATGTTTTTAAAAAATGATGGGAAAGGGTAAAAATGATGGAATTCCAGTGTTGGTAGAAAGAAACGTTAGCTGTATCATGTAAAGAAAGGGCTAATGTCCTAGGTGGTGCATTTGCAATGGTTCATAGATATGAGCACCTGTGTGTTGAGCCACACCCATCACTATGGGCGGGCCATAGGGGGCCGGGCCCGCCCCCCAAAATGCTTGTGCCCCCCCCCCACTTGAGGGAATTTATTATTAAATATACGTACTGTAGGCTAATAATAATTGTGCCCTGCCCTCCCATGCATTTCATATGCCCCCCTTAAGACTGAGGTCTGGCGACGGGTCTGTGTTGAGCGTAAGAGGAGACATAGGGAAAAGTTAAAGGAGCATGGAGATGTTTTAAAGAAAAAGGGGAGTCAGGAGAAGCTATGGATGCAGAGTTTTCTATGTATGAGATTACAAGAGCATTGGAGGGCTGCGGGCGGATTGCTCCTGGAGAAGATAGGGTGTGTCATGTCATGTTTAAGCATGCACCGAACAGTGTGTTGGAAGCAGTGTTAGGGTTGTATAATAAGGTGTGGAAGACTGGGGTGATACCTGGGTGGAAACGTGCGGTGGTGTTGCCATTTGTAAAACCAGGTAAAGAATACTTATGTAAATAATATCACATTTACATAAGTATTCTTGACCTGGTTTGGAAATGTATTTTTTGTAATACATTTCCAAACATTTATTTAAACCTGTTTTTGCTTTGTCATTATGGGGTATTGTGTCAGTCACATGCAGGAACCAACGTTATTAAGGAATAATGAATAATGTAAATCATGCTTATTTGACTTGTTTGTGTAGCAGTACAGTCATGGTCAAAAGTTTTGAGAATGACACAAGTATTGTTCTTCACAAAGTTCGCCGCTTCAGTGTTATTGTCACGACTTCCGCCGAGGCTGCCTCCCCTCCTTGTTCGGGCAGGTTTCGGCGTTCGTCGTCACCGGCTTACTAGCTGCTACCGATCCATTTTTCATCACTCCACTTGTCTTGTCTAATTAATCACACACACCTGGTCCTTATCCCCAATTAGTAATTGTATAAGTGTTCCCTCTGCTTCCTTGTCTGTGTGGGTGATTGTTTGTTGTGAGCTGTGTGTAGCTTGGTTGAGCTACCCTTACCTTGTTGTTTGCCAGGGTAGATATTTCCCCTGTGCCTGAGTTTTGTTGTCGCATGCTTGCGCAACTGTTTATCGACGGAATAAACTTTTTGGATGCGTATTACTCTCCTGCGCCTGACTCCTTCTATCACACACATCACAGTTATGAGATATTTTTGTCAGATGTTACTATGGTATACTGAAGTATAATTACAAGCATTCCATAAGTGTCAAAAGATTTAATTGACAATTACATTAAGTTTATGCAAAGAGTCAATATTTGCAGTGTTGACCCTTCTTTTTCAAGACCTCTGCAATCCGCCCTGGCATGTTGTCAATTAACTTCTGGGCCACATCCTGACTGATGGCAGCCCATTCCTGCATAATCAATGCTTAGAGTTTGTCAGAATTTGTGGGTTTTTATTTGTCCACTCGCCTCTTGAGGATCGACCACAAGTTCTCAATGGGATAAGGTCTGGGGAGTTTCCTGGCCATGGACCCAAAATGTCGATGTTTTGTTCCCCGAGCCACTTAGTTATCACTTTTTTCTTATGGCAAGGTGCTCCATCATGCTGGAAAAGGCATTGGTCGTCACCAAACTGTTCTTGGATGGTTGGGAGAAGTGTTCTTAGGCAAAATTGTGAGTGAGCCCACTCCCTTGGCTGAGAAGCAACCCCACACATGAATGGTCTCAGGATGCTTTACTGTTGGCATGACACAGGACTGATAGTAGCGCTCACCTTGTCTTCTCTGGACAAGGTGTTTTCCGGATGCCCCAAACAATCGGAAAGGGGATTCATCAGAGAAAATGACTTTACCCCAGTCCTCAGCAGTCCAATCCCTGTACCTTTTGCAGAATATCAGTCTGTCCCTGATGTTTTCCTGGAGATAAGTGGCTTCTTTGCTGCCCTTCTTGACACCAGGCCATCCTCCAAAAGTCTTCACCTCACTGTGCGTGCAGATGTACTTGCACCTGCCTGCTGCCATTCCTGAGCAAGCTCTGCACTGGTGGTGCCCCGATCCCGCAGCTGAATCAACTTAAGGAGACGGTCCTGGCACTTGCTGGACTTTTTTGGGCGCCCTGACGCCTTCTTCACAACAATTGAACCTCTCTCCTTGAAGTTCTTGATGATCCGATAAATGGTTGATTTAGGTGCAATCTTACTAGCAGCAATATCCTTGCCTGTGAAGTCCTTTTTGTGCAAAGCAATGATGACGGCAAGTGTTTCCTTGCAAGTAACCATGGTTAACAGAGGAAGAACAATGATTTCAAGCACCACCCTCTGTCACGCCCTGGCTCTGGGGACTCTAGTATGTTGAGCCAGGGTGTGAGTTTTCATGTGTGTTGGTTCTAGTTGTTGTATATCTATGTTGGCCAGGGTGGCTCCCAATCAGAGACGGCTGTAGCTCGTTTTCTCTGATTGGGAGTCATACTTAGGTAGCCGTTAGGCATTCATTCAGTGTGGTTTCTTGTTCCGTGTTGGTTTGTGTATGTAACCAGGGACGTCACGTTTTCGTTTTGTTGTTTTGTTCGTGTGATCATTATATAAATAAATATGTTCGCATTCAACGCTGCACCTTGGTCCTCATCTCTTACCGACGATCGTGACAGAAGAAACCACCAAGACTGGACCAAGCAGCGTGTCCAGGAGCCATCGCCAGGGAGATCTCTAGCAGATCTCCTTCGCCTCCTCGACTGGGTCAAGCCGGGTGAGGAAGAGAAGGGCTTGACATGGAAGCAGAAGGGCGAAAGGCTGGCGAGGGACATGGAGACCTGGTCCACGGGTAGGAGAGACGCCCAGAAATGTTTTAGGGGGGGGGCTAACGCCGTGGACGACGGGCCAGCAGGAGACCGCGGCAGAGCGGCCCAGCGGGTTGGCAGAGGAGGCCGCCAGGTTACGGGGGCTACTGGTCGAAGAGGGGATGGAAGGTGTAGAGGCACGGCGAGAGGTACTGGGGTGTGTTACCAGTCCGGTCCGGCCCATTCCAGATCCCTGCGTAGGACCAGTGGTGTGTGTCCCCAGTACGGTCCGGCCTGTTCCTGCTCCCCGCACCAGGCCAATGGTGCGCGTCGTCAGCCCGGCTCTGCCCGTTCCTGCTCCCCGCACCAAGCCAGTGGTGCGCTTCGTTAGCCCGGCTCGGCCCGTTCCTGCTCCCCGCACCAAGTCAGTGGTGCGCTTCGTCAGCCCGGCTCGGCCCGTTCCTGCTCCCCGCACCAAGTCAGTGGTGCGCTTCGTCAGCCCGGCTCGGCCCGTTCCTGCTCCCCGCACCAAGTCAGTGGTGCGCTTCGTCAGCCCGGCTCGGCCCGTTCCTGCTCCCCGCACCAAGTCAGTGGTGCGTTTCGTCAGCCCGGTTCGGCCCGTTCCTGCTCCCCGCACCAAGTCAGGGGTGCGTTTCGTCAGCCTGGCTCGGGCCGTTCCTGCTCCCCACACCAAGCCAGTGGTGTGCGTCGTCAGTCCGGCACAGCCCGTGCCTGTTCCACTGGTGCCTGGTTCAGCACGGGTCAGCTGCTTCACGCCGGAGCTAGAGCAATCCGCTCCACCAGTGTGCAGTCCAGCTCCGGTCAGCAGGGCCAGACCGGACCAGGGGTACTTTGGGGGGTTAGAGAGCGAGTGGGGATCATGCCCGGAGCCGGATCCGCCGCCAAGGCGGAGTGCCCACCCGGTCCCTCCCCTGTGGTATTTGGTTGGCGCGGTCGGAGTCCGCGCCTTTAGGGGGGGGTACTGTCACGCCCTGGCTCTGGGGACTCTAGTATGTTGAGCCAGGGTGTGAGTTTTCATGTGTGTTGGTTCTAGTTGTTGTATATCTATGTTGGCCAGGGTGGCTCCCAATCAGAGACGGCTGTAGCTCGTTGTCTCTGATTGGGAGTCATACTTAGGTAGCCGTTAGGCATTCATTCAGTGTGGTTTCTTGTTCCGTGTTGGTTTGTGTATGTAACCAGGGACGTCACGTTTTCGTTTTGTTCGTGTGATCATTATATAAATAAATATGTTCGCATTCAACGCTGCGCCTTGGTCCTCATCTCTTACCGACGATCGTGACACCCTCCTTTTAAAGCTTCCAGTCTGTTATTCTAACTCAATCAGCATGACAGAGTGATCTCCAGCCTTGTCCTCGTCAACACTCTCACCTGTGTTAACG